GGGAGTTTGAGGCAAAATAGTCTCGAGATTTAACACTATTTAACCATTATCAATATTATATATAAAAACTCAGACTACATGTGTAAGTTCACTGGTGGCTTTGGACAGTAAATAAAATGATTATATTTGTGTTGTAGACATTGGATTCCTATCACCACCACAAAAACAGTGGAATACCCCTTTAATATTCATGATATGAGAGGGATTGGTTGAGTTCAAATTGTCTATCTTGTTGAAACTGATGTGATGTAATGTGGTTTCATAAACACAGATTGAACAAACCAGATGAGCAGTTTCACCAGCTCCAACATGTACATCTGCTAAATCCAGCCAGTCAATGGATCCACCAGTGACTCTAAGACACATGACAGATTTGAATAACAGGTACTCGTAAAAGAAATGTATGCACTGGTTTATGAATAAGATCACATGTGTTTAAGTTTATTTCTTTAACGTTAAAAAAGTGTAAGTTCAATAAATTGATAGGGAAACATGACTGCTCTTGGTCATTAAGATCCACAGCATTGATTTCAGTCTTTCTGTGGATCAAGCAGAAGTTTTCACAGCAGTAAATGGTCTGATTTCTTATTACATAGACAGACGCTGGGCAGAATGTCTCCAACAACATGCATATCTACCAAAAGTGACCAGTCAATGGATCCGCCATTGACATTCAGAGATGAACCCACATTAAATCATAGGTATGTCTGTCACTTAATTTCACCTTTATGCTTATAGCTCTGAAATCAAGGGTAGTAATTGGGATTTTACATACCCTTTGCTGTCTACTCTTCTGAGAAGGCTTTATGCTAGATGTTAGAACATTGCTGTGAGGATTTGATTGCATTCAGCCACAAGAGCATTGTGAGGTCAGGTACTGATGTTGGATGATCAGTTCTGGATCACTCCAGCTCATCCCAAAGGTACTAGATGGAGCTCATCACTCCAGAGAACACAGTATCACAGCTCCACAGCCCAATGCTGAGGGGCTTTATAACCACCTAGCTGACACCTAGCGTCCCATTCTTTTGGCACTGTTTTTCTATAGATATTATACAGGCTGTGTTTACACTTGTGCACATTAAAGTAACTGAATTGCGTTGCTGTCCAAAGAAAAACATTTATCTGCATTTTTGTATTTTTTTATTTTTCTACATTATTTGAACCAGGCTGCTGCCCTTTGTATAGCATGAAAATTTCATGATGATTGGTCCAATAGAAATGTTCCAAAACCACTTGAAATAAAACCCTTTTATGTTAAATAACATTCAAAGTTAAGAAAGTTTGTGCCTTCTCCTGTAAAGTTACTGTTTTGGAGATACTTGTTTCTCTTTGGACAGTGATGATTGACTAATTAGACGGATTTCTGGACACCTTTGGACACACAGTGTATGTAAGTCCAGGTACATTCATGCTAAATGAAGAAATTTCTAATTTAGTCAAATCTGTTTAACAGCTGCAAGTCAGAAAGAACATCATCTACTCGAACTTGCATATCGATGAAAAGTGGTCAGTCAATGGATCCACCAATTACAATCAGTAAAGAGAAGGATCGTTCTATGGACAGACGTGTTGCATTAAACCACAGGTAAACATTTGAATGTGTTTCTCAGCACTGGTAAGGATATCAGATGTCCACTATAAGTGAATCTCACCGTTAGTTCTGAGTGAGTGAACAGTTGTTGTTCTCATATTAAACACAATCTGCTGACGGAGGATCACTTCAGGTGTTCAGTGTGTACAGATGTGCTGAAGGATCCAGTCTCCATCCCCTGTGGACACAGTTACTGCAAGACCTGCATCCAGACCTACTGGTCAAACCAACCTTAGAAAACAGCTACTGCTGTCCTCAGTGTAGGAAGAGATTTAGAACTCGCCCTGCTCTGAATCCAAACTCAGCTCTGGCTAAAGTGGTTCGGAAGCTGCAGCAGGCCAGGTTCAGTCCTGCTGTTCCTGCTCTCTGCTACGCTGGACCTGGAGATGTGGCCTGTGATTTCTGCACTGAGAGGAAGCTCAGAGTCCTGTCTGACCTGCCCTGCGTCTTACTGTGAAACCCATGTGAGGCAGCACTACACAGTAGCAGCTCTGCGGAGACACACGCTGGTGGAGGTGACTGGAGATCTGGAACAGAGACTCTGCAAGCTGCACCACAGAGCTCTGGAGGTCTTCTGCAAAACTGACCAGACCTTCGTATGTCTTATATGCACAATGGAGGAGCACAAAGAGCACGATACTGTCCTGGCCAAGAGTGAAGAGTCTCCTGTTCAGGTGCGTTGTTGAACATATAGTCAGCCACAAGCGGCTGATTGAAGTGCAAATTAATATTGACAGCTGTCTGTAAACTGGAGCATTTACTATATTTTTTATTATACTCTCTAAAAGCAAATTCAGAATTGTTAGCTGCAAAATGGAGTTTTAAAGTTTTAACTTTTAAGATTTTGATTACATTTTTAATTTGGCAGATAATCTTATCCAGAACATCCATGACCAACAGACAAGAGCTTTTTCTCTGTCTTTTTAGGGGACTGACTAGTTAAAAAGGAATAACTCAAAAATATCATAACACTCCTTCATTGTCAAAGTACCTAAAGGCATTAGTTAATTGCTTTTAGTTCTTAAATCATTATGACATACTGTACTTAAAATGCAAACATAGCAACCTATGATTACACTAAAGCATTATCAAACATTACCTCTAATATTTATCTTTTAAATTTACTTAAAATCTGAACAAATGTTTTCACCTTATGTTGTCTGTTGGTTGGGAATCTCTGATTAAGAGGCATTGCAGGAGAAAGCGATGAAAACCTTCAAGCCAACAGCTTTTTCAATTGAGAAGTCTTCACATGTGCTGTGAAATTTTCACATGTAGATTTTTTTCTTCACAAGATCTTGCAGAGTTATGAGAGTGAGCTGTTTTATCTGGCAGAAACCTGCAGAGGGCTTGAAGAAGCTGATGGTGGGCTATGATTCAGTCTATTTAATGCTTGTTTTCATAAGACAGTTCTCTAATGTCTGTCAGTCTAAACTTACAATCACAATCAGTTAAACAACTTCACTGTTTTTATTTTTCCTTCAGATTTTTTACCTGGCCTTGTTGAAGTTGCTGCACTCGGTCGCTCATTGGACCTTGGGGTGTTATATGACTGCCACAATGATTCTTTCAGCTCAGGTAAAAACATTTGTTTAAATTAGTCCAATGACAAAAATCAGGGGTTCAAAGGTGGCAGATAAAATCGATCCGCCTTCCTGAGATAGAAAATCTAGGGGTAGATCAAACTGAATTTAACCTTATTTAGCTAAACAACAAATCTTACTTAAATGAATCTCCCTGATGCAGATGACTATCTGAACAGAAACACTTGGCCACTTTCCAACTACTTGACAAAGGCCGTCTGAATGCGTCTTAAGAAAAGGGAAAATAGGGCTGTAGACAAATCCCCAACATTGGTAATAACATTACTGTCAAATGTTTCACATGATGCTAATATTAAAATCTATAATCATTCACCGATACATGCAAAGCCAAGATAGTAGTACAATCAGTACAGTAGCAATATTTCTGTGCTTTTCCAGGCTGATAAGGTGCAAATCCAGGATTACTACAACAGTGCAGCTACTACAACAGTGGACTGAACTATGTCAAATTAGTCATATTACAGTCATAATCTAAAAAAGATAATCAAACCTTGAATTACTCAAATCGTGAACTGTGCATCCAATATCTTCTATATGTATTTTTAAATTGAAAAGTTCAGCTCATGCAGTTGGATGTATTTTGCTGGAAGTCAACCGAAAACTCAATTTTGTCCAGCTTCTATTTTCCACATTGATAGTTTCGCACATGTGAAGGTGATCTTGGAAGAATTTCACAGAGCAAACTATTCGAGTGTTTTGTTCTAGACTTCTTCTAGTGTGCTATGCTTCTCGTAAGTGAAGAGGAGTTCTAGTGGACTACAGCTAGACAGAATCAAGCTTTGTTTTGTTGTAATATTAGATAATACTGACAAGACATGGAACTGGAACTGATACAGTTGATCAACTATATCTAAATCAGTACTGTAGAACAGGTTTCTGAGATGTCTAACGGTCTCAGGTAGGATTTAGTAGTGCCTTATCTTCTGTTTTGTTCAGTATGGCTTAAGGCTGACAAATTCAGTTTGTGATCTATTGTGTATTAATCTAGTAAAGTTTAATATTTCTGAGATTTCTTTTATGCCAGACATCTGATTACATACACCAGACTTTCAGACCAGTCTTATATTTTGTTTTAATAATGAGGTATATCAAAAAATGGTATGGGTTCAACATGGAAACATGTTGGGGTAGGTACACTGTCAACAATCAACATCCTTTTAAAATATTTCATTCTCTTTTAATTCAGATGTCGTTCTGTGGGATGTGGATACCGTTCCTCTTTGAAACTGTCTCTTCCTCAGCCCTGTGTGGATGTGAGGATTTTAGAGAGCGATTCTCTGCAGGACAGACTAAAAGCCCTGGACCTGACCACTGCTCTAAGAGCTAGTGTTGTACCAAGACTGGTGGACGTGGCTGGAGCTGCTGCCTTTCTGAAGCACCCTACTCAGTCCCAGCTGCAGGACAGAGTCACTCTGCACTACAGAACCTCCACCAGGCTGGACATGCTCAGTCACAGACTGCTGCACAGTGGAGATCCTCTCTCAGTGACCAGTGAGTAGCTGTGCTGTATGGAGCCCAAGCATTTTTCATCTTTGATAATGAAAGTGATAGCAGTGAAGGAATCAGAGAATTGAAGGCTACAGTAAAGATGATCACGTTCTCAGATGATCTCTCCAGTCTCAGTGAAATCGAACAAGCCAGCTGTGCATTGTATAACTGCGCTGCCTACACTGACGGAGAGGATTTCAAAAGTCCAGTGGACTTTAAGACAGCTGTGAAACTGTACAGTTCCCACCACAAAGAGGTTCCTCAGAAAGTTTGGCTCTACCCTCTGAGGAACCTGAAACAGGCATCTGCTTATGTGCTTAAAGAAATTAGTGAAGACTTGCTGCACAAAGCAGAGAACGTCCTGGAGCATCTGGACTTTCTGAAGAGGGATCTGGGTATTTGTAAGGATATGATATCCAGCTGCTCCAATCTTGATAGAATAACATGGTTTAAAGCCTTGAAGGACACCTTTTCTCAGTTTGCTTTGCTTCTTCAGCAGTATCGAGACGCATTTCAGAGAGGTTTGGACTCCTGCGTTAAGACCCTATGAGAGAAAGGAGAAAAAGGAGAGGAGAATTTGAGAGACCTTCTGAAGAGGAACGACCAATCACCATTCAGTCCACAGAACATGTATCAGTGGCTCCAAAACAAAGATGCTGAAGTGAGGGCTTTGAATGAATGCAGAGCTGCGAAACATCACTGTTGTGAAATCTCAAGAGAATTTAAAGCGTGTTATTCAAGATTCCCCAGCAGACAGAGTGCTGTGTTTCACTCTCACCTCACTGGAGAGTGAAGATCAGTTCCTCTCAGCTCTGAAGCAGCACATTGATTCAGTGAACATGATGAACATGCAAGAAGCTCAGCCACCATTCAAGCTTCCTGATATCAGCCAGAAAGTCCTTTCTGACCTTCGTTCATTTCTTTTCACCAGAGAGGCAGAGGAATATGCAGAGAAAACTGAGTTCTTTGCTGCATCGGTACCTGATTTCCCGGCTCCTCTATTCACCTGTACCACTCTGGGAATGTTGTGAGTGACAATTTGAAAATCGATGTAAAGCCAGCACCTGCACAAGTAATAGCAGTGAAGCTAACATGTGTTACCTTGAGGCTGCAGAGTTCAGAGATGACTTTTGCTGATCAGTACAGAGTGGAGTACAAAGCTTTGAGCTGCAGAGGAAAGAGTGTCACTGATGCAAAATGGAGAGCCATTGAAATCAAGAGAACTGGATCAAATTATGTGGTCTTGGGTATCAAACCAGAGACACAGTATCAGCTCAGATATGCTGTAATGAACAGTAACAGCATGAGTGACTACAGCAGAATCACAGAGTTCCAGACACCTTCTAGAGCCAGACCTGGACAGCCTACAGTGCTCACACAGAGTAAGGAGTCTCTCACTGTTGCCTGGCAGAGAGTTGAGGCTGATGGAGATTATCCTGTGCTTCGCTACATTGTGGAGTATATGGAGGCTGGTCTGGAGGGCTGGCAGTTCATTCTAACAGAGGGTCCTGAGTGTGAATACACCATAACTCTCCCCTACAGCACCTGCTACAGAGTCAGAGTCTCTGCTGTCTATGAAGAGAGAGATACCAGCAAACCCAGTGAGGAAACAGAGGTGCCACTGGATGGTAAGCTGCCTGTGCAGGATTGAAATTATTAGTGTAATAAATTCTTTTTCTGATTAAGGTAATTTGTTACTATTTTCTGAACTTCCTTTTTTGCAGTCTGGACTATAGACCTCTCAGAGAGAAAGGCCTCCCTCTTCCTAGAAGTCCTAAAACTCCAAACAGTGAAGAAACCAGTAGAGCTGAGGGGCTGGCCAGAGGAAGAGAGTGAAGTGAGGAGTTTCCTTCAGTGTCTGCCCTACATCTCCCAGCTGAGGTTTGCTCTAAAGGAATAGTTCAGTTGTATTTTGTGACCCATCTATACAAATCCTTCCATAAAAATGTATAAGCTAAAAACAGTAGCTGCTAGTTCGTAGCAAGACACTAGTATTCCTGCATGTGAACATTACTGAAAACATGTTGGGTGATATCCTACATTAACATCACATTCGTCGTACCTATCATAGATGAGATTGCTCTAGAAATGCGGCTGAGCTGGTTAAACTTGCTCAGTGCTGTAGGGTTGACCACATACCTGTACAAAAATGTGTTTATGTTATGGTTTACATCTTAGGAGATCTTCAGACCACAGTATCAGGTTACAGACATCAGACAAAACACCTTCAGGTCTCTGGAAAAACAAGTAACAACATGTCTCAGCTCTCGTTCATCAAGTGTTTCAAACAGCCTCATGCGAAATAGCTTCAGAGAAGAAAGCTAAGCTAAGCGGCCACAAACTCTCAGACGGTAAAGTTTGTGGGACATTTGCAAGTTCATTGTTTTTCCTGATCTATTAATTACAAGTTTTTGGCAAAATTGAAGATGAAATCATATCACAGCTGCTACGTTTTATTATCATGCTTTTATTTGACAAACATTAAGCTTTAACTCGTGTTATTCCTGTTCGCACTCATGACCACGTTGGTGTAAGGGACCATTGCAAAATTACCAAATGAAAAATTAATGCAAAGAAAACATTCTCCTTTCCTCCACAACCCAGTTTAACGATTGACTGTGGTTATTTTCCACATGGTTACCTGAATACGAGGACTCTGTTACTGACACAGGTCTTATAGGAAACTTCTTGAAGCCTGTTTTTGTCCATACTTGTCCATTTTTACAGTTAACAGTTCATCACAGAAACCATATGAGCCAGTTGCAGTGAGGGGATAGTAGGTGAACATTCATGCAGAGGCTTTATTATGGCGTTTCTCCAAAACTCATACACTGTTAGTACTAGCCATTCCACAACCAGGGTTACACAAAGCTCAAATTAGGTGCATTCCTAATAACAAAACAACAGGGTTTTTTTTCCTTCATTCAAAAATAACCAAGGAATGAACAAGATAAAGCACTTTGAAAGATGAAGGAACAAGAGAAAGAACAAAAATTACTCATTTGTAGCACAGAATTATGGAGCTTTTAAGTTGACCAATGGGCAAAGGAGGCATCACCAGGAGGCACTGGACAGAGTCTGTCACTAGCCCAGCTTCTGCAGCACCAGTTCTGGAAGTGGACAACAAGTGTGAGCAACAAGACTGATTGGATCACTTGAGAGCGGAATATGAATTCTGGGCTGAGAGGAGGTACAACTGAGGATAAAGGGGGAAACTGGAAGTGAGTTTGAAGACTACATTTAACTGGACCAGTAATCATGAATAGAAGCAAAACATAGATCTGAAGCGGGAGCTACTCCCTGCAGGAAACTGGAGCCGAAGCCCCATGGGAATCTAGTCAGGGACAGATCCAGGAACTGGTTCCTGATCAGGGCTATGATCTAGGTCAGGGTCCAGGGCCTGGAATAAAAGCACAATAGCCATGACATCAATCAGGAGGTCAAGTGGAGCAAGATTAGATAAGAGTTCAGGAGCAGAGTCTAAAAGAACAGTCATAGATATGTTTAGAAGAGAAGAGACAGAAGAAGGTTTGATGAGACTGCAGACTTGGAGGCTTTCAGCTTGACGAATTCAGAAAGAGCCTCTCGAGTGGTGACTGAGTAGAAGGTGAGGCAACGGGCAGGGAAGCTGGAGTGGTACAATCACACAAGCATGAAAACTAGAGGGCTGATGTCTTCAACCATGGTCCATGTCTTGCAGCAAGAAGATATGTTGTCCTCAGCCATGCTTCATCCTCAACCACAAGGGAACTAGAGACATTGGAGCGGATATGAGGGGATTGAGATGCAGGACATGCCCTGAGCAACAGTAAAGGCAGAAGAATTGTCTCTCAATGCTGACATGAGTCTTCATCATGATGCATCTCAAAAATAAGTTATTCACACTTGACATCAGAAATACCTCAACTGGAATCATATAGGGTCACATAGAACAACAGAGAAAAAACGAGAGCAAACCAGATGAGAGAAACCAACAGGGACATGGTTTAACTTAAAACCCTCTTGTCACTGGGGAGGTATCCTCAAGGGAACATAATTGTACCATGATTGACTGAAATGATATTCTCTAAATTGTACTGACTCCACACGCCCCGTCTCATCTCCAGACTTTTTATTTTACTGTTCTGTTTTAAAACATTCGGTTATGAAAAGGTACAAATACGAACTTTTCACCTGGAAAAAACTTATTTAAGGTTCACATTTGGACCTTAAAACCACTGTTGTACCTTTGAGGGTATATTTACATTGTTTGTACCTTGATGAGTGAAAAACCTGTATAGAACCTTTATTTCTAACAGTGTATGTGAGGCAATACATAACATGAACAAATGGAGAAACTCAAACATAAGAGAAAATACAGGTGATATGACAAGCAGGTGGCACAAGCACTGGACTAAACCACAGGCAAAGTTAAAAGGAAGGGAATCTGTGGCACAAGTCTGTTTTGGATTACTTAACAACTTGAAGCTATTTGAGGTATGCAGTTAGCACAATGCTAACTGGTGGCAATAAGCTTCCTTTGCTTGTTAGCTACATTAGCCTTGTAGCTTCAGTCAGAAATCTAATGAATCAAACATGTCTTGGCTGATTGACTGCACTCAGGGTAAGGGGTGCAATTATGTAAATTAGATTTTTGGTGTAATGTTGATTTAACTGTCTGACGATGTTTTGTGTAATTCTGCGCTGTGATGTTTCAGGCTGAGGGGTAGTATGGTGGACAGAATGGTCCGAGCTCTGAGAGCTACAGTTCCAGCTGAGTTGACCATTAAGGAGCTTTCACTCGTCGAGAACTGCACACAGTGGCCGGAGGAGGAGCTGTCCAGAGTTCTCAGCAGCTTAGCTTCTCTTCTGTTGCTGTGGAATGACCAGTGTCTGAACCTGAATGGACAAATGATGGAGGTTCAGTCCATTGTCTCTGTGTGTGTCTGTGTCTGTGTGTGTGTGTGTGTGTGTGTGTGTAGGTTGTCTAAAGAGAGTCTCCAGAAGCTGGTTGTTGTGGTGAATGAAGCTCAGGATGAGGAGCTCACTCGTGGTTTCCTACAAAAAGTGGGTGGAGATCTGACTTCCTGCTCTCTGAACTGGGAAATGATCCACTATTTCCTGCAGTACCACTTTAGGAAGAGCAACATTAAACAGCAGAACATCAACTTAACACTACATTGGACAGAAGCTCAGAAAGTAAAAGGCAACATAAATGTGTAAAGTAACACCACTTGAATTCCTATTTTTCTAAACATCTGCATAATTAAGTTGTTAAGTCATTCAGTGGTTTGATGTGAAATTTTTAAGTCAGAATTGTCCACAGTGATGGTGACAGGAACCAGATGTGTGAAGAGTTTAATTCCTCCAAAGGCTACACCACGAAAAATTAGATAGGTTTTTTTAATCCATTCATGGTGGAGAGGTACATGTGGAGCATTGTAAAGGCAAAATACCCCCAAAGAATTCACCACTGTTTTATTAGCATTACATACAAAACAGAAGACACTAGATTCACTGGCCAGTTGGGATTGGGTTTCTTTCACCTCCACTGTGAAGAAATTTGAGTCTGTAAGTTTCTCTACACTGGACCATTTCACACCAAAGCACTCTGAGTGACTCTGTTTACATCTCAACAATTAAATTGAAACACAAATAGCTGAGTCTTCCTATATATTTTTCTATAGATTTTCTTGTATATGTGGTATTTTTTAATACTTTTATATTTTAAGAGGATACAATACAAAAAACAAACACATGGTCCAGAATTTGAGTGCAAAAAGGAAAAATTAAAGGAAAATTATGTCTGTGTGTGTATGTGTATATGTATATATATATATATATATATATATATATATATATTATATATATACTTTTTTTGTAAACATATATTTTGTTAAATAAATAAATAATACATCAACATAATAATAAATAATACATAAATAATAATAAATAATAAATTAAAAAAAAAACATGTAATTTGACCAGTCATGCCTGAACTTTGGCGTACAACAGTATGAAAAGAAATACACATTTATTTCTCTGATGAAGGTGATTTTAATCATAATTTATCGTATATATTTCTTGTATGTGTAGAGCTCACTCCCAACAACGTATATCTTAGAAACAAACATTGAAAATGCTCTATAATGTGGTCTGAAACCTTTAAATATATCTGCTCTTCTTCAGGGATTTGTAGGCAGTTCAGTGGATGTTGTTTTATTCTTTCTTTTTTCATTTTAACTGTGCTTTTCAAATATTTGAAGCTACTCATACAATTATAGTCGTATCCTCTTTTATCGGTTGCTTTTTTTTCTGCTAATGTTTAACTGATCACTGTAAGCACTTTGAACTAAACTGTGTATGAATATGTGCTGTATAAATAAACTTGCATTTGCACTTTTAAAGCAACTTTAATAAACTCTGGCTCATCAGTTCTGACTAACTGTTATTCACTGTTAAAGTCCAGAAGAGGGGAGGCCTTTTAGCTGAGCTTCAGGAAGTGGATGAGCTTAAAGGAGCTGCATAACTTACAGAATTACACATGATTTACTTACAAGCTTCAAAACCTCGCTGATCTCCACTGAAGTGCACTGTAAACCTTTCAAATGATATTAAGAGCTGAACAATTAGAAAAAGGAGCTCATTCTAGGAAATGAAATTAATTTCTATAATGTGATTGCTGGAAAAGCTTTTAAAGCAGGATTGGCTTTTTAAATGATTTTTATTTATCTTGCTACTGCTATGTATGTTTTAAAGGGACTTTAAGAATTAGCTTTGTGCACACAAATAATCTGGCATGAGACAAAACAAGGGCTTATTTTACATTTAAAGAGCCCAATATCTGACACTTCTATTTTATTTTCATAAGATCCTCTCATAACATTAGTTTTAGGTACCAAAACATGAATATATGTCAATATTCCCTTGACTCTCTTTATCCATCAGAATATCTCTGAGCTAAACTGCTGTAGGCTGAGTAGGTGGAGGGAGGTCAATGAGTTGGCTCTCATGACATCTCAGAAACAGAAATGGGCTGTTTTTGCAGCTTAGTATCCATATATGGACTGTATGGAGTGCATGGACTGGATAGTGACTGGTAGGTTTTGAAAGTTTAACAATATTTACTCAAACAAGTACGTAGCTTTCCATGACATACAACACAAAATCATATTCATACACGCAACACTGATTTATTGAATGTAAAGAAAGTAAACATTTAGAAGAACAATAAAACTACAAAAGACACTTTTCTGTAGATTTTCAGTGAAAATATCCAACACATCCTCTACTGAGAACACTTTACCTCTGCAGATTTTAGTATAGTGTTCATTTACTGAGTTTAACATAGCTGAAAAAATAACACAGAATATAACGTGCACTATAACTTTTGTAGAGGCCACATTTAATGTTTCACTTTGATGTTTAGTTGTTCACACTTCTGGTGTTAAAATGTGATGGTAAATAGGCCAATAGAAATGATCTCAGATGACTTGGGGAGTAAAGGAAACTTTTATTTGTACGGTTCATTTTGCGCCATCTGCTGGTCATATTGACGTATTACAGACGTACTACATCTGAGCGGTTGTTTCACTTTTCATCGGTTTTTTCAATAATTTAGAGGTTTAGATGTAAACAAAGCCATTCAGAGTGGTTTGAGAAATGTGTGAAATGGTTCCTTGTAGAGAAACGTAATCAGATATCTTTATAGTGGTGGAACCAGGGGTCACAATGTCTAGAACACAAATATAGCCATTTTATTTACTATCCAAAACCACTATTGAACCTATATGTGTCTTCTGAGTTTTATATGTGATGCTGATGGTAGAATAGTGGTAGTGGTTTTGGGTCACTGGATGAAGGGATAAAAATAAACACATGAAAATGTATGGCAAAACAGTGATAGAACAATGTCTGAGGCATCTGCAGCAAAGTTTTCCATGTATTAAACGCTTCAGGTGTCTATAATCACCATCACCGCCACTGTGAACTCTGAACACATACAGTCTGTTAAAGCCTTTAGTGGATAATTGGTGATTTGGCTCCATCTAGCGGCCAAACTCACAAACTGACTCAACTGATTTTTCACTGTAGCAGCGTCACGTTTTACAACATATAAACATGAACATGAACCAGTACAATTAAAATACGATAACAAGCGTAATAAGGAATGAATTAACTAAAGCAAAAAGTATATATTTATATATGTAGCTGTAACATATTAAGGTGGAAAAAGGGAGAATTATTTATTTATTTACTTATTTGTTTGTCTGAGGGTTTTAATGGCTGAAATTATACAAGTGATGATACAAATATTCTTTTCTATTCTCTTATATTCGCTGTTTTTGGTCTGATATACAGGCATAAAAAAATAAATAAAGAGGAAATTAGATTTAGAAATACGCTTTCATTTTTTTCTCTGTAGGAATCATCATAATCTAAGTTGGATTTCATTAAATAATTAAACCAGTGTGAATGGCTTTAATGATGAGATTTTTTTTTTCATTTCTCCTCAGGCAGCCATCGTTTAAATTAACTAAATAATCGTGAAATAAGGAGAAAACTAAACCAGTCATGTGCAAACTGACAGTATAAACTCACGTTGCCAGCGTTAATCATGATATCTACTGGGCCTCTAAACCCCAGACTGTGTTTTGAACGTTTATCTGAGTTTTTAGCTCGATATTGTACCAGAGAACTTGTAGAGAGGAGAATTCCCGCTCTGCAATGTATTCCGGGTTTCTCAGACGCTAGAGGGCGCTCCCGAGTGAGTCCAACATGAATGATATGGAGCATTTGAGCAAAATCATAGTTTATAAATGCTGAAACATTTTTAATGTAAAAGAATTCGATCATTTCCTGAACACAGAACAGCATAAAACATTTGAACACCGCTGTTATGTTTTTAAGAGCTTTTAAACTCGAGTTATTGGAGTTTAAAACGGCACCTCATGAATGTTCATGACGTCAGTGAGCACGAACAGCCAATGAGCTGCTCCGCTCGCCAATCAATCATCAGGCTCTAGCAGTAATGCCCGCCTCCTGTTGCCCAAAGCCCGTTTGCTGTAGAAAAAACGGAAACATATTGGTGAGATTTCTTTGTTGTTTAGGTGAAATACATCCTTCTACTTTCTATAATTAAAGAAAGGTTCTGTTCGAGTGATTAGAAACTATTTTAACTTTTGTTTTTAGCCGTTGAGCTCCATTCACTCCCATTCATTGAGGACTCACTCGTGGGCGCCCTCTGCTGTTCAGCAGTCCTGTTTTGGTATAACGGGGGGAATAGGAAGAGGCCAGGCTCCTCATAAACCGGCTCTGATTCTCCTCTCTATAAGTTCTCCGCTTCAGGCGGTCATCGTGTAAATTAACTAAATAATCGTGAAATAAGGAGAAAACTAAACCAGTCATGTGCAAACTGACAGTATAAACTCACGTTGCCAGCGTTAATCATGATATCTACTGGGCCTCTAAACCCCAGACGGTGCTTTGAACGTTTATCTGAGTTTTTAGCTCGATATTGTACCAGAGCCGGTTTATCTCTACAAGCTCTCTGACTGTACGGTTACTTGGCGCCATCTGCTGGTCATTCCACCGTATTACATCTGAGCGATTTCCTCACTTTCCATTGTTTTCCTGCATGAATTTCTGCATAATTCCGGTGGAAACAGAGTCATTCAGAGCGCTTTGATGAGAAATGGTTGTCCTGCATGTACCTCTCCGCCATGAACCTCTCAAAATTTCTCAAAACAATCGTTAAACAATGTGCCAGGTATCAATCAAAGTATTTAATATGCACTGCAAACACAGTTACGTTGTGACAACGTTATGTGTTTGCTGGGTAATAACTTTTTGTAAATGAGCCTTTCATTAACATATCTCTAAAGTCTCTGAACTCTTCAGACGTCTGGTTCCTATCAGCATCGCCGTGAACAATTCTGACTCGGTAAGTTTCTCTAGAACATTCTTTAACGTCTAAACCACTCTGAATGACTGGTTAGTTTCCTAACCATTTAATTATGCAGAAAATTTAAAAAATGTGGAATTCCCGTTTAAAGTGTTTAAAAGATGCTTTAAAATTGTTTTAATATTTAAATGATTTTTTTAGTGATAATTATGAAACTATTTCTTTCATTTTTTTGTGATTTCACTGAGGGCTTTTAACTTATGTTTTAATATTTAACCAGCTTCTGTAAGTCAATAAACTTTAATACATCTTTATTTGTTTTTTTGGGGAATAACGAAACACTCAGATTTTCTGACTCAAGATTTTACTGACGTAACAGTCTTAATTTTAAACTAAATACCGAGTATGCCATTTTGTCAGTCGCAGAATAACAAACAAACAAACAAACAAACAAACAAACAAATAAGCTTCTCTTGTTAAATAAATGCAATTTTCACACACGTTTTCTGAACGAAATCCCTTTTTAAACATTTTTGTTACATAACTATATCATTGGAATCATAATGTTCAGTAAACATTGTAAAGCTTAAAAACCTGTATTATCCTTGCGACTTTTCCATCGTCATTTTAGGCTGAATCTCAAATGGCTCCCTACTCCCTATGTAGTGCACTATTTAGGTCATGAAATAACGGCTTACAGTATGTGTCTGAAAGAAAGCCTTTTATATTAATTTATAAGCTGCACGACTCTCTGTGCAACATTTAGTACACTATTGGGGTTTAGAGGCCAAAGTTTCCTGACCAGTGCAGTCCACTACATAGGGATTAGGGAGCCATTTGGGATTAAGCCCAAGCCTTGATTTGTTACATTCACCCCTGTATTTTTTTCGTTTTTAATACTGCTATACAGCGGCAGCTTGAAGCAGAGGAGCAGGACAGGGGTCTTCGGGGAGTTTATACTAATATTTTTAGGACTATCAGTATTATTTATCACGACGACAGAGACTTTTACTGAGAGTAAACCTCTCATTTCCTCTCCTCTTCCTCAGTAGCGGCTCAGCGTTGCCTAGCAGCCGTAAACAAGTCCCTGAACGCGCTGGTACCGCTTGGCGGAGAGGGCGAACATTTATTCACAGCATATAACGCTTTAAAACACGTCGGAGATGTTTTAATGATCTGTCTTCGCAGGTGGAGCCATTAAAAGCGCGTTAGTGTGTTTTAGAAGTGCTGTTGCGCTGCTGTGAGTTAAGAGACCGGAGCGGCGTCAACACAAACACTGTGAGTTTTACTGTTTACCTCCGAATAAACCGACACGATCTGACATCTTAGCGAGCTAGAGTCAACAGAAATCAACATGCCGGCTAGTAAACCTGCATTTATATAGGTTTATTTATAAAAAAGTATATATTTATATAGATTTATTTATAAAAAAGTATATATTTATATATGTAGCTGTAACATATTGAGGTGGAAAAGGGGAGGTGGAAAAACTGTACTGTACAGAAGTGTAGTGACCAGAGGGAGTGACAGTGACAAAATAAGCCACTTCTACTGATGTTAAATGATTGAATATGTATTAAAAAGCATATATAATGAAAAACATACTGAACAAGTTTGATAAAGTGTGTGAATGTTGTTAAAGTGTCAAAATGTACTCTTCACTTTCTGTAAACAGCTGATCTTATAAGCCAGCCTACCATAGAATAATTAAATACTATGGAATATAATGTGTTGCATGCAACTTTGATTGTTTTTGAATGGCTGTGTGTAACTGAAGCCTCAGAAGCTCATCTAGGATCAGTTATTATCATTGGTTATGTTAACTGAGGCTGATCCTGCACTAGCACCTTCGGTCTGAGACAGCTGATAATTATGGACCATTGTCTTTGGCCAGATTCGTCTCCAAGTGAGGAACAGAAGAAACCTGGAAAAGTGTGAGAGCGAGTCCTGATCATGACCTCCTCGCTCTCCCAGAGAGAGTCACTGCGTGGTCAGACTGGATCAGGCCGTGAGGATGCTGGGCGGAGGATGGTGGGGATGTCCACACCTCTTTCATTAGCCCTCACTCCGGTGGACACAGAGCTGCTGAGATCCAGGCTTGTTTCAGCAGGACCCAGCAGTGTCCAGCGAAACCCAGATGCCCTGGTGTTCACTCACAGCACCAAGGCTCAGGAGAGACGGCGGACCACTCAAAGGCCTGCCCAGCTGGAGATACTGGTGAGAGAGAGCGCCAGGCGAGACCATTTTGTGTTAGAATTATTACTCTTGACTGAACAGTTATTACTCATTTGTTCATTTAGCTATCACTAATGCACTTATTGCTGCTTTTCAAACATACAACATTTCCTCCTCCTAGTCACCTAGACTTTCAAAAGGATATTCTTAATTAAATATTTCCTTTATTGTTTTTTTTTAAATAAAAGAGTTTGATGTGAACATTGGTAACATTTCTCTACCCAGTCCAATGTTCTCTACCCAGTCCATACAAGCTGTACATGGAAACTAAGCTACAAAAACAGCTTATTTTAAATTCAACTTGGTGATGTCATAACCATGAACATGTTTGCGTATGACCACCTATTCCCTACAGCAGTTTAGCTTCGCCCATTTGTGTCAAAGTGATGCTGAGTGTTGTTACCGCAGACAGTCTGTAGCAGAGTTATTGGATTGGAAGATGTGGAAAAAATGATTAAACGTTGTGCTGTTCCTGTCTGTCAGGAAGCAAATGGATCACCGTGGCCTTCCAAAGCATTCAGACACCCAAAGAAAAGGAGCTGAAGTTTATTTTGCACTCCTTAGGATTTTAGTTTAGAGTCTAGATATCACCATGGGCTGCTTTTTCAGTAAGGGCAGCCAATCAGAACAGAGGGCATTTACATATATCAGTCTTAAAAGCACAGTAAGCCAGCCTGTTTGATTCTAAGGGATACAGAGTGGGTGGAAAAAGGCCAAGTAAAAATTAATTACGACCATTGCTGGTTCATAAAACTGCAGATATTATACATTTGAGGAAATAAAAATAAACCACAATAATTATATAACATATTTACATACATACATACATCATCTAAACCGCTTATCCTTCTGGGTCGCGGTGGGGTGCTGGAGCCTATCCCAGCTGTCATTGGGCGGAAGGCAGGATACACCCTGGACAGGTCGCCAGTCCATCGCAGGGCAATATAACATATTTAATATAATATATTAAAATATTATCAGATATAAATATTGGTGACAAAAACTGAAATACTTAAAAAGTACATATCTAGCAAAATGAAATCTATGCAACTGCTTAATAGTTTTTTGTTACTGTTTTATTTAACATGTTGATTTTTAATCTTTTTTAAAATAAGTTCCTAAACTTTTGACAGACAGTGTACATGCAGTGCAGTTTATATATGCGCTGTCTGCTTTCTTCATTGTATATAATATCTTGTACGTTCTTATCAGAATTGTAGTGTAATAACAGCATGCTGACTCTGCTCTGTTCCAGCCGGCACTGAAGCAGTATCAGGAGCGTAACCAGCCTGAGTTCATCCACAGGAAGAACAGAGAGAGGCTTATTAGTGCTGGCTGGAAGCCCCCTTCCCCCTCCTCTGCTGGCATAGAGAGATCGGACCCCTCCTCGGAGAGACGGCCATCCACTCTACAGTTACCGCAGATACCTGACCACCTAAAAGAAAGACAGGTCTGCATCTCATTCAGTGCTGTTTTATTCATATTAAAATTTTAGTTTTCTCATTTGGTCTTCAGTAGATTAAAATCACTGAGGCCAATGCCTGGTGACGGTCAACCATGGGAACAGCACCCGGTGACAGTAAAAGCTCATTTACCACCATAAATACACCACTCATTTAACACATTTTTTTCATGCAAACCATAGCAAGACACTAGCGCATAGCTGCACTTTTAAATATCTGGTGTGATATGCCATGTTAATATCACACCTGTTGTATCTAGCATAGAGATTGTGAAAACCAGCTGTTGAGTTGAGCTGGTTAAACTCGCTCAGGGAGGCAGGGCACTGGGTGCTGTTGTGACAAGCAGATATCATATACAAAAAGCTGCCTATGTACTATGTGGGGTACTTTTCAGGACATCCTTAGACCACAGTGTGAAGTTTCAGTCATCAGGCAACACAGCTTTTATTTAACTCATTATAAATCTGAATCTGTCAAATTGCCTTTCAAAGAAATCAACAAAAACAAAAGAGGTTAGGGTTTAGGACAAACACCAATATCCCAAAATAACATACCCTATAAATTATGACTTTGAATATATTTAGCTTATCACTATCTCAATTAATGTCTTGGGTTTAATACATTATAACAGAATCTTTGTATGATCTAAATAATTGATTATGAATGGTCTATACACATTACATGATAATTAGCTTACTGTGCTACAAAACGTTGTAGCGTTGGCTTGTCAGAAAAAACGTCTGGCATCTGGAGAGGATACCTACTGGAAGAATGTATTTCAGTCCATTAGCGTCTTAAAGCAGTTTAAAACTCTAGTAAAAGCCAAAATAAATCATTGTTTTCTTTGTTTATGGCCAGCATGTTCTTCCCACCAGTTGTAAGCAAGCAAGCAAAGTTTATTTATATAGCGCTTTTTACAACAGGTGTTGTCACAGAGCAGCTTTACAGAAAAATCGGCATTACAGAAAGAAATCCGGGTCCAAACCCCCATGAGCGTCACCAGTGGCGCCAGTGGCAAGGAAAAGCTCCCTAAGAGCAGGAGGAAGAAACCTTGAGAGGAACCAAGACTCAGAAGGGGAACCCATCCTCCTCTGGTCGACACCGGGTAGCAAAACATTGTTAGTATAAGGTATTGTAGTACACAACGGGGAAAACAGGTGGAGCAATGGTTAAATTGATTAGTTTAGTTTAAGCAGCAGCATGAAGCCCAGTGGTGGTCAAGCCGGTCCAGAGGGCTGGCGAGCAGTGGGCACCCGATCAAGGCAGGCGAGGCAACAGCATCAGACGCACAGGAATGGCAGCTGTTCAACTCGGCAAAGAAAAGAAAGAAAGGAAAAACACACAGAGAGTCAGTTCTGTAAAGAGTCACTGATCACAGGTTACAGTATAACAGAGCAGCAGAGACTCTGTCAGGTCTGGATCTGACAGGGAGATCTAAAGGCTTGACTACACAAGTAAGTTTTTAGCCTAGACTTAGAGACTGAGGCTGTGTCTGAGTCCCGAACATTAACAGGAAGATTATTCCAAAGCTGGGGGGCTTTGTATGAGAAAGCTCTCCCCCCTGACATAACTTTATTAATTGTAGGTACTAATAGTAAGCCAGCACCTTGTGATCTAAGTAGGCGTGATGGTTCATAGTGGGAGAGAAGTTCACTCAGGTACTGAGGGGCAAGTCTGTTTAGAGGTTTATAGGTCAGTAATAGAATTTTATAGTCAATGCGAAATTTAACTGGTAACCAGTGTAGGGTTGATAAAACTGGGCTGATATGGTCAAATTTTCTGGTTCTAGTAAGAACTCTGGCTGCAGCGTTCTGGACTAGCTGAAGCTTGTTAAGGCTTTTGCTGGGACATCCCGCCAGCAGGGCATTACAGTAGTCTAGCCTTGAAGTAATAAATGCATGAACTAACTTTTCTGCATCCTGTAGAGATAATGCATTTCTCAATTTAGCTATATTGAGGAGATGCAGGAAGGCTGTTCTAGTAATATTAGTTATATGTGCGTCGAAGGACAGATCAGGGTCTATAATGACACCAAGGCTTTTTACAGTTGAACTTGATGCTACTGAGAAATTGTTAAGTTTAAGTGTAAAATTAGACAGTTTGTTTCTAGCTGCTTTTGGACCAAGAAGCAGAACCTCTGTTTTATCCGAGTTAAGAAAGAGAAAGTTACTCGACATCCAGTCTTTTATGTCTTGTGATAATGTTACTAAATAACGGGCCTGAAAAATACTAGGAGTACCAGCAAAGGTGGCTTTAAACATTCAAATTAACACTTTTCTACATTCACATGTGCGTTTTCTCACTGAATTCTACGAATATTTGCATGTGCGCTTTTGTAGTTCGTCAGACAACAGAGCAAGAATTTTTGATTTGTATTGTGCACTGATCTGTGGCTGTAATTTCACTAGGCAGGATTTGAGTTTCAGTTAACTAGGTAACCAACGCTGAAGAGGAAAGAGGTCAAAGACGATTTTATTACTGTTCAAAAGTTAGGAACATGAGATATTAATCATTAATGTTAATATATATGTTAATATTAATTAACTACATGTCATATTAATAATTATTTTATTTAATTACTTAATAATTAACCTATATGATGTAGGCTGGAATGTTGTGAACTATAGAAACAATGTTATAAACCAGACAGTGTATCTTTAAAGGTATTGTCATTATATTGTTATGATTATTATTTCATATTTGAAGTTTTTGGGAACTATTAAACTACAAGAAGTCATATGTAATTATTTAAATGATACATTTCCTACTTGTCTTTTTTGTGAGGTTTGCTCACTTTTCCAGTTATCTGTAGCTCTCTTCATCATTCTGGACACATCTAACCTTTCTTTTCAGATAAATCATTTCAAAGCTATAAAGTTACATAGTACTAGCATCATATTACAACCCTATTTCCAAAAAGCAGGGATGCTGTGCAAAATGCCCATTTTGTTGCAACATGTTACCTCAAAACATGTTGCTGGCATCTGATTCAAAATGGGCATACATTTTTCAAACAACTATAAAATGTATTAATTTCAACATTTCATATATTGTCTTTGTGCTATTGCCAATTAAATTAGGGTTTAAATGATTTGCACATCATTGCAGTTTGTTCTTATTTACATTTTGCACAGCATCACAACTTTTTTGGAAACAATGTTGTAGGATCATTTTAAATGTAAACCTGCAACAAAATGAGTTCTGATAACAGTGACACCAAGCTTTTGGATGGTGATTTCAGTTCTTTGAATGGAATTTCAATAAGGCAGTATTAAGTCCTGAGCTGATCTGTTTAACATGTGTATTTCAGGTGCAGCTGACTCAGAGCATGCTCAGCTCTGCCCCTCCACCCAAAAGACCAAAGAGTTCCCCTAAACAACGCATCACCACCTTGGCACCCATTAGCCACACCCCCTCTCCACCGCTGACCAATCCGCAGCTCTTCAGCTCAGTAGAGGAAGTGATCCGTGCTCAAATACGCTCCCCTTCTGAAATCGCGCATGTCATCCGGAGCAACCCGGACCTGGGTTTCCTCTACATGACATCAGCAGCCCCCAAATCATCCATCAAATATGATCCATACAAACTCAAGTACGATTTTTAACAATTAATAATTAACAATTGACAGAATACAAACTGAACTAAAAACTGAAAACTAAATAATTCATAGTAAGCACTAAATAATTGCTGGTCGCAGTTGCTGAACACTTTATAATATTACTGAATCATTCATAAAAGTTACTGAGTAATTCATAGTAGATACTGAATAATTCATGACATTACTGAATAATCAGCCTTAACAATGCAACCAACCTACACATCATGCAAACATGGCTACCATTATGCAATGGTGATTAGGTGGGTTTTATAGGCAGCGAATCAGTCAAGTGATATTAACACCCAGGAACTCCACAACGAAGGTGATGGCATGATAAAATGTAGAATAAATGGAAAGGCTAATTTAATGAAATAAAGTTTGAAATGGTATAGCCTGTAAAACCCACAAAATACCAGCTAGCTAACAGCAAAACAGCGGAATTTAACAGATTTTTCAAGATTTCTTCAATTGTCAATGAGTAGCTCAGAGTGTTTTGATGTGAAATGGTTCATTTTAAAGAAACTTACTGACTCAGATTTTCTTGAGAGTGGTGGTGATAGGAACCAGGATTCCTGACATCTACAACACAAATATAGCCATTTTATTTACTATAAAACCAACCATACCATATACCAACCATATCTTTTAAGTATTTATATGTGATGTAAATAATGATACAGTAGCAGGAATCCAAAAGCATGTTTTATTTGGGGAAATAACATTCTATTAGGTTGCATTTGACAACCCAATGTGACGTGGTTCCTTTAAACATCATTACTGTAAAGTCTGTAATTTCCACACTGAATGGCTTTGTTTACATTTATCTACTACATATGTATAATATATTCAATAAAATAACGCCATGTTCTCTGTTTTACTGACAGGATTGTGACATATGAAAAAATCAACAAGTCGGACTACTACACGATCAGCGCTCAGGGGGTGACGCACTACTGTGAGGGCCAAGTGGACTTCCTGCCCCTGGCGCGCTGGGAGCAAGAGTTCCGTTACCACCGGCGGCTCCTGCGCATCCCAGTCTTTGCCCTCTTCCGCAAGTGGAAGGCCTTTCGTGTGTGGCGCACCAACGTGCGCTCCAAAGCCATCAGCAAGTGCAAACGCTCGCTGCAGGAGCGCCTCTTCATCGTCAACGAGGTGAGAGAGAGTGTTTGTTTATGCTTAAGAAACTAGTAACTCACTCCCTCATATTTAGCAGACTGAAAATGGTGAGATAGCAATAAGCTAAATATATACAAATTCATATTTTTTATTTTTAAGATTTTTAGATGTCTTTTAAAGTAAATGTTGAAAGATTTAGATTTATTATTAGTGTAATTTTTACATAAAACTTTATTTAAAAACGTTGTTCCATGTTTTCATGTCACCACAAAACACGAAGAGTTTTACTTCATAGGCGGAGCCTTATTTTAGCCACACACCTGCATTTTAAAGCAGGAAGTGTGACGGCATCCCTGTCCCTCATGGTCACATGAGTAGGTTAGAGCACATTGATCACATTATTTTGAAGTAAAAAAAATATTTTTTGTTGAAAATATTATGATTTTATGTGTGTACATCTTCAAAGCTGTACTGGCTAGCATTTTTGAGTTCTGCACAAATTTTGCTGAAATAGTTCCTACTGAAACAGCCACTACTAAGTCTTTTAACCTGTTTAATAGAATGATCCCATATCAGAATGTTATTTTTATCAGTGACAGTGTGTGCCCTTGTTTTTTCTCTACCATATTAGAATTATTTTATACATTTATCTGTCACCAAATAGATTTTATTTTAGTGAAAACATTGATTCCAAACTCTATCTTATGGTTAATCCTCCAAAATAATGCTGACAGCATTAGCAGTGTTTGCCTGCTGCTTCAAAAAGCAGGTACAGCTACTAAATTATATAGTAACAAAAGCCGCTAGATGCATTAATTTTAACACTTAACTCAATCACTGAACCCCAGAACTCTATAGTTATGACTTATTCAAAATATGTTTCAGATTGTGATGGAAAGTGATGATTACCCTGCAGTACTGATGTCTACTAAATGGCAGAATGTGTTTAATTTGTTTTCAATTTCAGTTATGCATATTATAACGTCAGCATTGGTGGTTTGCGTTGAGATCCCGCCCCTCTGAGAGCTCCACCAATCGTCACATACAGAAGCCGAGCTCCAAGACGGGACAAAATTGCACTGTAAAAGCCTTCAGTCCAATAAATGTTTTATGAAAAAAAATATCATAATATTTTTCAAAAAGCACAGCGACAAATATTAACATATAAAGTGATTCCAAACTTTTGAACAATAGTGTAGAGTGTATATACGGCTTGATTTTCTCCTCTCTCTCAAAGATGAAAGCTTCAGGTACTGTGTGTCTAACAGGGACAGATTTGGTGTCTACCAGGTCTTCCAGGTGGTTGTTAGGAGTCCCACATTCTTTGAAGCTTTTAATCATTTTTGAATTCCAATTTATTATTTTCCTTTGAATTCTTTTTGCAGGTGGATTGTTTTACAAATAATGTCCTGTTGTTTGTTTTTGCACAATTCTGCATATTGTAAAAATGTCTTTAAGTGTCACTGATTCCCCCCCCCTTATGTGTAATGTGTGTAATGTTGCCTTGCAGTCTCTGCGACCGGCGCTGATTGACATCAGAGAGATGTGTTATCGCATCAGTGACATGGGCCTGTGCAGAATAGAGAAGGATCACACCTACAGACTGCAGGACTTTCAGACTGCCCAGTACATTCAACTCCAAGAGGTCAGAAACATTTACATGTATGGAATTTAGAGATGTGTTGTTCACTCAGAGAATGTGTCCCGTCTAGGCCTCTCGTTTGGGTCATAAGTATTTAAAACCGTTCAAAATGAGGAACAAACATGTTGAGATAATGATAATTTATTCCAGCATCTCTATGGGATTCTAATAGTATGTTAGTACTATACTAACTTTGATTAACATGAACATTTTTGCATGAAAACATTATACGTTAAATGCTGTTATTTGAAGTTATTCCAAGGCTTATCTCAAGCTTGCAAAAGATATATTATCATATGTTTGTTTTATCATATGTTGCACTTGTTAGGGAAGAGCACTGACGCAGAGCTGCCAATGTTTTCTATTCCTAAAAACTGACTGAAACCTGGTTAGACTAGTTGCATTCACAGTCAGTGATGTATCTTGGACTTCCTGAAGGCCTAGAGTGTTTTAGTGCCACCCACTGTATATCAAATTGTGAGCACTTGGTTCCCCTCTTCCTAATTATTTTGATAGTTGATATGATAACCCTGATTGTGTGTGTGTGTGTGTCTGTGTTTGTGTGTGTTGTAGGTGTCCTCTCGTCTAGAGGAATTTAGGGAGCTGGTAAAGGAGGTAGCAGGGGCCGCCTGTCGCACAGCCATGCTGGAGGCTGGATACACACCTGATTACGGCAACTCTGAGACTGGTTCGCGCACACATACATACACATACACACGCATACACACACATACACACACATAAACACGCATACACATGCATACACACACATAATCTCATGTTTGTTTTACATTACTAGTGAGGGCTTCCAGTTATTTCTGTTAATTTTTATATGACTGTAGCCAAGTAACACTACACCTACACCTAAACCTAACCTTAACCTTAACATCCATATTCAGGGTCAAATGAAAATGCTGTGCCATTCTGTGCAAGAGCAGCTCAAGTGTTCTTAAAAAGTACATATATATATATATATGGAGGGCCATTGGGTGGAGTGGGAAGTGTCCTCTAGTGGTGGGAGGGCCATTACTGAGATAGTCCGGGCTCTCCTGACCACCCACTGTAGACACTTGCAGCCCTGTGCAGAGCAGTTTCCAAACCAGACTGTGATGGAGCTGGTGAGAATACTTTCAGTGATGCGCCTGTAGAAGTTCTGGCTGACTTGCCAGCTCTCTTGAGCCTTCGCAGAAAGTGCAGTCATTGTTGTGCGTTCTTAACCAGTTGTGTTGAGTTGTGTGAGACCAGGTGAGATCTTCACTAATGTTGACAGCAAGAAAATTTGAAGGTGCATCCTCTCTCTACCTCCGTCTAATGAATGAGCAGTGGTTTGTGCTGCTCTGCCTTCCTCTGATAGTCCACAATCATCTCATTTGTTTTGTCAGCATTTCCTTCTGTACCAGTGGCAAGACCCACATGTCATTACACTGAACGCTCCTGCCACCAGTTTCTCTTTTCTTAAAGTGAACATAGCTGACCACATATTAAAGTACAATTATGCTTGACCACTGATGTGTGTTTTGGACTGTATTTTTTATACAGTCTGTCTAGACAGTGACACCACAATATGTAAAACTCTGTGGCATGCGTGAGCTGGTTGGGCAAACATGAGCTCCACTGTGTGGATTTGTGTCCAAAGCTTTACCCAAATGCCTAGAAAAAAGGAATCGATTCTTGCTGGGATTGACACCCAGCCGTTGCTGTTATCCTCTCCTCCAGGAAAGGGCTTGTCTTCATAATGTTCAGAAATTAGGAAACAGAAACATCACATGACTATAATGCAAGGATAACTTGTTTTTTTGTGTGTGTGTTAGATGGGGGTGAAAGTAAACCCTGTGCTGATTTGGAGCTGTTGTATGAAGAGGCTTCAGAGAAGATGAGCTACACAGAGCAGGCCAACAAGAGATACCACTGCAGTCGCCTCACATGGTGAGCGTGTTGCTCTCACTCTATGGTAAACCTAACAGAGTACAACTCACAAAACAGCAGTGTGTTAAACAGTTTGTTTGTAGTTGTATTTGTGTGTACCTGGTTGTTTTATTGAGGCTGTGTTTGTATGCGTGTGTGCAGTTTTATCCGCCTGGCTGATTACCTGATATTGAACACCATGCATGTGCTGGTTGTCAACTCCGTCAGCAAACTGCTGAGTGTGCTTCAGGACCAGAACACGCACACACCCTCACACTCACTCATGCAAAGCTGGGCCAGCGGAGAGGCTGACAATCAAAACCAGAGGAAGGTGAGCATATGTGTAGCGTCCTGTACACTGGGTTGGCAATTTTAGATGAGGTACACTCATTGGCCTTTTTATTAGAAACACCTACCATGACAGCAGCCCATCTGTCATATTTATCAGCCCCCCTCCACCTATTAGTAGACGGTGACCATCAGAATGTCTAAAAACCCCATTAACACTCTGGTGGTCTGAATGGTAGAGGTGGTCAGATGGGCTACAGTCAGTAACTGTAAACCTACAGTCATGAAGCCTCCATTTCATGAACTCATCACAGCTATATATCATCATACAGCAGTGTTTACTACAGAAATCACTTTGTAAGTAATCTTTTTTTCATAGAATTGCAATTTGTACAAACGTGCATTAGTGAGATCCTGCTGGTGTGGGTTTCCTCTTTTTCAGTGATGCAGACAAAGCAACTTGAGTGCAAATACCTCAGCCTAGTGGAGAATGATAATTACAGCTGTGGATAGCCTGTTTATCATAAGGCAGTTGACTGAGAACTTGGATTTCATGTATGTTACAGAACAGTGTAGCAGAACAGATCACAGATGCTTCACTTCTGCCAATGTTCATCACAGAGCTGATGCTGGAAACTCACATGCTGTCCTTCCAGCCTTCCATCGATGACTTCCAGGTGTGTCTGTTTACGTTTACCTGTGCACCAATCACTACTCAAAACAAAAACAAATAAACTCAATGATTTGGAAGCTACTTGCATGTTTTATCATTTAAGGGTAAAATCCTGAAATAAACAAACCTGAATATGTCTAGAATATGTGGGCCTTCATATTTAATTAGCTCCTTATATGGTTGTAATCTAATCCTGTTCATTGAACTGTTTGCATGTTTTAAAAAAATATGTGACAGACATAGTTATATACAGTATTTCAATTCTTTAGGACATACAATTAACTTATTTATAAAATATCTTTATTTACTGTATTTTAAAGCGCACAGTGGCATGAAGGCATATCTATGAAGACATGTCTATGTCGTCAATATGTGTATGAAAATGTTTTGATTGAGTAAGGAATGAATTTTGGTCAGTGTATTGATGAATACTGTTTGTGTGTCAGGAGTGCTCAGCGGAGATCATCTCCCGCTTCCAGGAGACAGTGCTGTCTTTGGAGCCTCTGGTGCCTGACTCTTACTTTCACGCCTTCACTCAACCCATCATTAACAACAAGGTAGAACACTTCTGACTCTCAACTCACTGTTTACAGCAATTTGCAACACTACTGAAACACAACTCATTATGTGAGAGCAAATTATAATACTTACAATAATATTAGCATTATATTATTTATATATAATATTATGATAATTATAATTTCAATACTGGAATGATTATTTAATGTTCTTAATCACTGATAGATTGTCTATCTATATATACTGACCTCTAACTTATCAACAACAAAGTATAGCACTATAGAGTGTAACTACCATAACTTAATTATTGACTATTGTAAATTAATCAGAAGCTTCTATGAATTATTTAGTAACTACTATAAATGATTCAGTATCTACTATGAATTAATCAATAAGTACTATATATTTTTTTTAGAAAGCAGCGCATCGCTCCCCATATCAACAGAGTGCAGAGTAGTAGGAAATATCTTTAGTATTCTTTAACAGCACATCTGTTTGAGAGTATTACATTTTTGCTTCCATCAAGCGATGATTTGCTGGGAATTAGCATCATTATGAATGAATCAATGGTGTTGTACCAAGTAGAACAGTAAAACTATGAATTTTCTATTTTTTTTTGTGCTTGTTTCTAAAGATATGACACAAACATTACTTTCCAGTGTCTATTAGGATGCATAGAACCAGATAAATTGCCTTTAGAAATTCAATTATAATGCTAATGCATTAATGTGTGTGTGTGTGTGTGTGTGTGTGTGTGTGTGTGTGTGTGTGTATAGATGGAGGAGAAGATGTGCGGTGATGGTCCAAGCTTAGAAGCCACTCTTGAAGCTGACCAGCACCTGCAGGGCATCATCCAAAGCATCAAGGTTATCATTGTCCCATCCATAAACACAAAAGCAACATCAACACAGTGTTCTGCACACCAGGACTGCATGATACGGACACTGAATGCGATGTTTGGGAAAGCTGTGAGATGTTGCGGTCAGCGTTGGCTGGTGGTCAAGTTTGGGTATTAAGTTTGGGTATTAAGTGTGACTGGGACAATATATGAGAAGGGGATGGGAAGGTATTTAGGCCTAACAAATATAGAGAAAAGGTAGTGAATCAGGTATGGTGATTATTTTTTTTTAAATTTATTATTAATTACTTAACCCCTTATTACACACCTGTATAGCAAAAGAATAGGTGAACTAGTTTGCACTAGTCCCTGTAGTTACTGCATAATAAGCCTTAGTATGTAATAAGCCTGAGACCAGGTGTGGTTTGACCCTTTAACCCCTTAAAATCCCTTTGTGCAGTCGTGTCTTCTATTTTGCAAACATAAATGGCCTTAGGTCTTGACAAATAGGCAATTATTACAACTACAATTAAATATTTTTTCTTTTTTATGTCAGAAAACTTAACCAAAAATAAAATACTCTCACTAAGGGATGGCTTTATCAAAAATTGAAGGACTTTAAGCTTTAGCCTCTCCAAATATTTGTTCAAAAGCTGCGGTGGGGTCAAGAGTGAATCAATTAATGGTCCGTGTTACCACAGTTTCATTGACTAACATTATTGAATGAAATTTTAAAATGTTGCTGTCCAGCCAACCAAATTTTTCATTTTTTAGCATGTCACTCAGCGGCCTAGGACATTTTACTTAAATTGAATTGATTTTACTAATTAATGCTAATGAGGGGTTCATTGTGTTGCTAATTTGAATGACAAATAATTAAAAAATTCAACATAAAGGCCATTCCAGAATTTTCACGACGTATCTACCATTAGAAGTTTAGAAAAGTACCAATTTGTACATCCAAATGTTTGTTAAGAAAGTGACTACATGTTTATTATGATCGAAGATACATCCCACCAACATGAAAGGAACCTACAATTTTACTTGTTTGGTTTTTTTCCAGGATTCTGTTCAGTTTGCGTTTGATGCTGCGAACACGTACGCCCGTACGTTTGAGCCTTTCCGTCTCTTCTACAAGCAGAATGAAAGCCTGGATCTGAACGCTCTTAAAGAGCAAGAACATGGTAGGGCAACCATCACTACCTTCATCACCATCAGACCTTTCATGTTTACCTGTGCACATTGATGTGGATCGAAACTCCCTTCATAATGGTAGTAAAACTCTGCTTTTGCTTTGTTTTAATGACTTTTTCATTGGTTACTGCAGTCAAATCAGAGCTGGATTTGGATATTAGCATAGCACTATTCAGCTACATTAATATGTAGTTATTTGGAAACCTTCATAACAGTAGTGATGTATGTTTGTGTGCGTGACATAGAAGTGGGCTTTTTCGAGCAAAGTCTGGAGAAGTATCACCAGCAGCATAAGGAGGCTCTGGCCATCATGCCAAAGAGACACTTGGGGATGCTCCTGGTGGACACCTCACAGCTAAAGAGCAAACTGACCCCATCCCCACTGCGCTGCCTAGAGGTTACACAGATATACACACACACATATACACACACACACACACCTACACACACATCCCCCCCCACACACACACACTCCCACATACACACATACAATGATGTTAACGTTATTTTCAATCTAGTAAGTAAATGTAGTAGAATCTGACCTGACCACTGAGTTTCATACCTACATACATAAAAAGTTTCAAAATTACTAAACATCTTTTTTAAGCCTTTAAAAACAATCACTGAATTCTACGAGCCAATTAATATACATAAGAGAGTATCAAACAGATATCTATTTTAATAATTGCTGGAGAAACAGCAGTAAATTATATTAACCCTTTAATGTCCATTTGAATTGCCTTAGATTTATATGTTGTGTGAACTTTCTGAGCACCGATCTGAAGACTTTTTTTATCGATCAAACTCTGTAGCCAAAAAGTGCAGATTATTAGATATTATTATATCAAATCTTTTTAAATATGTGTACGTATATGTGCACACGTACCCGGCCGGGTGGCCAGGGCCCGTTCTGTGTGTAGTTTGTATCTTCATTTTTAGTCTTGCTAACCAGTGAAATATTGAAATTGATTATTTTGACATTATTAACAAATATTCAAAATATGTTGAGTAATCAATCAATAGAAGTCAAGTTGCACAGAAATTTCTTTATTTAATGCGGCTGACAATCTACAGCTAGCTGTACAAAAAGTTTCACCATGTAAAGGCAACTCAAAAAAATGTCACAGTCACCAATATAGATTCTTACTACTCACTCCTGCCCCCTGCAGGCCATTAATGACATGCTGCCTCTGCTGGCCAAGAAAAAGATGGACGCCATCATCGCTGAGGCACAGGATGCCCAGTTCAAACTGGAAGTCATTCCCACGGTGACCACTGAGTATGTCAACTCCCTCACCTTCCTAGAGGAGATCCAGGAGCGGGTAAGTGACAGAAACGCGTGATCTGCATGTCCCTTCATACATTTATATCTCTCTCATAGTATTTGGGTTACTAAGTGTTGGAGAAGATTATCTGGTAAAATGAATATCTCTCTCTCTCTCAGATTGAAGTGCTGGACGAGCAGATGGAGACAGTGTGTCAGATGTATAAGCTGATTGACAGCTACTCTGTGCCGACCCCACCAGAAGACTTTGCCGTGTTCGCCACTTTGCGTCCGTCGGTAACGGCTGTGAAGAACGCCATCGATAAAGCGTTAGGAGAGAAAGACGCAAACGTTGGCAAATTCTGTCAGCACCTGCAGCAAGACATCACTGAACTCAACAAGGAGGTGAAGAGGGTCAAACAGCAAGCAGAGGTAAGTGCTCACACCACACCTACACATACCATTTTTACATCATTTGCTATTATAGTTTTATTGTGGAATAATACCTGACCATATTCTACTGCTGAAACACTTACATTTAGTTAATAAATGTTTGCAATAATTGGATCAGTAACTAAATAATAAAGAAAAGCTTCAAAATGCTACTTTAAGAAACTTTTATTTGATTTTATGATAGTAGAAGTTAATTTTTAAAAAGAAGCATCAATTTTACCACAAACAATGTCAGGTGATACAACCCACATTTGTTAAAAATATTACATTTTGAAGTGATTTACTACAAATGAAAACATGTATAAACGTATCTGTTTACTTGAACACTTGTATAGACCTTTGTCCTTGAAAACACATTCACACAATGGTTCAAATAAATAAGCATTATTATAATAATTACAATTTTTCTTGGTTTTCCTGGGGTCACACTTTCTGACTTGGTAAACTGAACCATTTTATTCAATGTCTTGTCTATTCTGCAATACAACCATTTTTTTAAAAACTTTTTTGCTGTCGGTGGCGCCACATGACATTAGAGGAAATCAGGATGTACGGAGAAAAATTCCAGCCAGTTGAATACTGTTAAAGTTAATCTGCATATATAACCAGATGGTCGCAGCTTCTAACATTTTAAGTGACCCTTATTAGTCCCACAACGGGGAAATTTCATGTCCACATTTTAATCCATCTGTGCAGTGAAACACCACATACACACTAGTAAATGCACACACACTAGGAGGCAGTGAACACATTTGCTCGGAGCGGTGGGCAGCCATATCCACGGTGCCCAGGGAGCAGTTGGGGGTTAGGTGCCTTACTTAGGGGCATTTCTGTCATGTACTACTGGCTCAAGGGATCGAGCCGGCAACCTTCTGGTCACAAGGCTGGTTCACAAACCTCCAGCCCACAACTACCCCTGAGTCCAAAAAGACAAGTTTTATTTGGCTGCACTGAAAGTGTATTCACATAAAAGAAGTACTGTACAAGGGTGTAACAGATGTCATGTATTTGTAAAATTATGTAATAGGAAAATAATGGATTTTTTGAGGCGGGTCATTCAGGGGTTGATTTTTTTGCTTCAGTTGCTCTTCTGTCATTTTGAATTCCCAGAACAGGCAGATCCTGGACATCAGTGCTGATCGGGGTAAAGTGCGTATGGTGCTGGGAGAAATCCAGATCTCCATAGACGAACTGCAAGCACAAGCCTTCAGCTACAAATCCTACCAGAAACAGTTTAAGGTCAGTGGGTCAGTCCAGCCACCAGAGGGCACTGTTACTGCACATACCACATGCACATAGTGTACCGTGTGCTCCTTTAGCGATTATTATTACGCTTAGTCTTTGTGTTCACACCCCTGTTTGTCTGATTCTGTGTGTTTATAGGTGGAGGTGACGAAGTATGAGTCTCTGGAGGAGCTGAGTGCTGAGGTGAAACTGAAACATTTGCTGTGGGATGCACTGGAGGAGTGGACCAGCCTGCAGAACACCTGGATGCAGGTCAGTCTTGCAGTCTCACACACATACACACACACATTTTCCTGTTTTCATTCCAGAATTGCAGGTATCAGGATGTTCATTACCATTAATAATAAACGTAAATGGCCTAAACTACTAAAAATGCAGCTAAGTAGCTTAAAAGCTGCCTGTTGTATCCGGAAATCCAATTAAGCTGCAGTTACGATGAAAACATTACATTCATGGTGGCAAATTAGTCCTCGTGCCACGTTTTCTGACTTCCAGACCAAATCTTTAAATCAGTAATTAGTTGGCCATTTAACCTCTACAGTGCCAGAGGTGAAGCAGATCTACCTGGTAAATGTAAATATTTAAATTGCCATCCTGCTTGCATTTTTCTTTGCTTGACCAGATGTGAAATCTGTAACAAAATAACCCTGCTGGTGTGGAGGAGTTGTAGTTTTTGAATACAATGTGCAGTGTGTAAGATTTAGGGGGATCTATTAGCAGAAATGGAATATGGTATACAAAACCATGTTTTTATTACTGTAAAATCACCTGTAATTACAACTTGTTGTGTTTTCCCTGGCTTTGAATAAGCCCTTCATATTTAAATAGGCAGCAGGTTGTCTTTCAACAGAGGCTGCCACGTTTTACAGTAGCCCAGCACAGACAAACCAAACACTGGCTCTGGAGAGTGCCTGTCGTATTTTTACATTGAAGCAGCAGCTTGAATTTGGTGGCGCTTTAGAAGAGTCAGTGGTTGCTGTAGATGCTGGCTGACCATTTTGTGACCAAATTTTGACAAATGGAGGATCGTACTTATTATTTAGCTACACTTCTTTAGAAGGACAGATTCTCTTTCTCAACAGTTTCTTTATTGATGACGTTTGCAGGCATCTGCCTTTTACATAAATTATCTGGACCCAGTTTCGCAAAACATCTGTGCTGAGATCATCTACTCTGGGAGAGGGAGTGTTCACTGTGATGCTTGCTTTACCATTTAAGAATCGCCTTTGTGCTTAGATGCTTTTGGAAATCTAGCTCTGATCACCAGCAGAGTTTTTACGATGATCAGATTATTGTTTTTTTGTTTTTGCAGAGTAAGTTTGATGAGCTGGACCCGGAGCTGCTGAGTGCTCAGGTGAATAAATATGGAAAGTATGTGAACCAGCTGGAGAAAGGTCTTCCACCCAACAGCGTCGTACCTCACCTTAAGGCCGGTGTGGACTCCATGAGGGAGAAGGTGGGCGGGGCTTTCTTGTTCTTTCACTGAGTTGGTCTGAATAAGTGACCCACAATGAGTGCAATGAAAGAAGTTTGCTTGCACTCATTTGCTTATAGGGTTACTCACATAGTGTTGCATATGGGCCATAATCTATTACCAGTCCAATGTTTGAATTATTTGTCATTCAAATTAGCAACACAATGAACCCCTCATTGGCATTAATTAGTAAAATCAATTCAATTTAAGTAAAATGTCCTAGGCCGCTGAGTGACGTGCTAAACTAATACGTTTGTAGGTAGTTGTACTTTCTTGAAATTTTATTGCGTTTTGAACGGCTAATTTTGTGCTTCACGTTACTCTAATGTGCAAATGAGGCTTCTCCTTTTCTCAGCGTTTAAAATCTTGTTAAGTGTGTAGCAGCTACGCAGTCACGTTTTCCTAATGGCAAGTTTGACTGCGTTTTGCTGAAAGATATATAACGTAAAGGAATATGTTGGGGAAAAAATCACTGTTTTGCACTTACCTTAGACGTAGTCGATCAGCCAAGACATGTTTGGTGTCCAAATTTTCCTTCTTTAATGTAGCGCTGGAGCTATGAGGCTAACATTGCTAACAAACACTAGAAGTCAATAGTCACCCAAATCTTTTCCATAAATACATCCCTGAAACCTCTCTCAACCCTCCCAAACCATATGTAGGTCATCTTTAAGGTTGCACAGACTTGCTGAAGTGGTTTAGGACACAGTATGACCTGTAAACTATGTAAATGAACTTCACTGTATAGCTCAACACTCTGCAGACAGCCATTTTGGACAAGATGTATCAATGTTAATCATGTATCTCAGTTTGACAATTATTTATATATGTAGCATCCACACGTCTGCGTGACGAACGTGCACACAAAGAGGAGTTGAATTTCATGCATAGTCATAAACTTAATGAACCTTAAGTTTGCAGTTTCAGCAGGTTGTATTTACAGAAAGGATTTCAGTGATTATTGACTCCTAGTGTTTGTTGGCTACTTCAGCCTTGTAATTCCAACAAAACTGTACATAAAACATATCTTGGCTGAACAGCTTCATCTAGGGTAATTGAAAATGTATGTATTGTTGTTTTCACCAAACCATTCGCTGAACCAGAGTTGTGGATAATGTTTGATTATATTACTGCTATGACAGAGATGTAAATAGATTGCAGTGGGATTAAATAAACTTAGTGAAGGACCAGAGTAGGATTAGCCAATGCTGATCAATTAAAATATGCATGGATCGACTCTCACACTGATATCTCTACTTGACTGATGTTTTGTTGACTGCTTTGTTTTTTATTCCTGAATTCCATCTGTGTTTGTCAGTTCATTTGCGTATGTGTGTGTGTGTGTGTATGCATGTAGCTGCCGGTGATCAGCGATCTGCGTAATCCATGTCTGAAAGCTCGGCACTGGGAGATGTTGGAGGGCATTGTGGGCTCCAGTCTGCTGGAGGAGCCTCTGACACTGTACGCCCTTCAGGAACTCGACATCTTCACCTACAGCCAGGAGATCCAGGAGGTCAGTCAGAGTGAGAGAGAGCAAAATAGAGGAGTGGAAGATTAGAAAGATGGATGGATGGATGGATGGATGGATTGATAGATGGATGGTTGGTTCTGTTATGTATTTGTTGTCCAGTTTGGACCTGTCATGACTGTGAAATACGAGCCTGAGAAAAACAACCCAAATCTGATTAAATTAGGACCGCCAACCTTAAAGTCTTAAACGAATAAAATCATGTTTTTATTACTGTAAAATCAACTGTAATTACAACTTGTTGTGTTTTCCCTGCCTTTGAATAAGCCCTTCATATTTAAATAGGCAGCAGGTTGTCTTTCAACAGAGGCTGCCATGTTTTACAGTAGCCCAGAACAGACAAACCAAACACTGGCTCTGGAGAGTGCCTTTCGTATTTTTACATTGAAGCAGCAGCTTGAATTTGGTGGCGGTTTAGTACTGAGAAAGAAGAAGAATCAGTTGGTTTACAGTCAAATTCAGCCAGAATTTTTTGGGTTACATTTGGGTTCGGACAGAATCATGTGGGGCTGCAGTCGAGTTGACGCAGAATTGTTTCAGGCTGTTGGGTTTGGACAGAATTGTGTTGGGTTACAGTCGAGTTCAGACAAAAATTTTGTCAGGCTGCAGTCGGGTTCTGACTATTTTGTCAGGCTTACTGAAGGTCAGATACTTGGTGCTGTGTGTCTGGTCAGATTTAGAAAGAATTTTATCAAGCTGTGTTTTATCCAGATTTGGATAAAAATGTCAGACCTGGATAAAGTTCTGATATGGACATCATGAAAATCTGAGATAGATGGCAACTTGATGAATAATGAATAATGTACTAATAGAGCTCTGATATATGGTCTGCCTTTTTGGTCCTCTTTTCAGGTATCAGGCCAGGCATCAGGAGAGGCTGCTCTGGAGGCAGTTCTGAAAAAGGTCAGTGCCCAAGAATGTGGTCATATTTTCAACTCTGTGTGGCGGTTATACCTTTGAACACACTTGTGTATGTTTTGATGCTGAAACTGCCATTAGGTGGAGGACTCATGGAAGACGACTGAGTTTGTGGTGCTGTCTCATCGTGACTCTAAAGACGTGTTCATTCTTGGAGGAACTGACGAAATCCAGGTGAAAAATACTCTCAGCTCTCCCTGCTGGTAATGTAGGAACAAACAGCCTGTTGTCACTGTCATAACAGAACGTTGTATCAAAATCTTTAAACCAAAAAAACGTTCATTAATATTTGTTTAATGGAAAGAGATTTTATTCTTAGTAATTGTGGACCACTTTATTGGTTTATTCATCATGAAAAGTTTATACAATGTAAAGAACAGCTGACATTTATGTTGTGCAAACAGCTGGTGTTATGAGATTTTGAAATGAAAATTATAAATGTGTTTGTGGCTTATTTAGTTTGATATACTTGCTCTAGTGCATCTGAATCAAATCGATCCATCAATATCTGACTGTGTACTTAATAAAAAACTCCCAAAAATTTGGAACAGTCATGTAAAATGCTTATAAAAACACAAAGCAGTAATTAACAAATTATGTTTGACCTGTATTAAATTGAAAATAGCACAAAAACGTGATGTTTCATGTTTTACCTTTTGAACTTGTAAATATATGCTCATTCAAAATGTGATGCCTGGAACACGTTCAAAAACCATGTTACATCTTTCTGTTTAACAATATTTATTAATCTTTTGTGGACTGAAGATACCAGTCTTTGGCCATTATTTCCTTCCATCTGAGAAGTCAGAGGTTACTGGCTTTCACTTGTGGCCTTGCCCCTCTATGCAGGGATATTAAGTTATTAAACACTGCAGAAAGTGAAGTAACAATCCAGTGTGGTGAACCTCAATCCAGTCTTTGCTAGGGCTGAATGATTTGGGGAAAATATTTAATTGTGATTTTTCTGACTGATCTTACAACTGCAATTTATTTTTTCAAATTATCAGTATATTTTTTTCTATTATTATTTATTTATTTAATTGAATTTCTGTAAATTAAAGTTCAAACCTGTTTTTTGGGCAATAAGGCCAAAATATCTACCTTTTCTGGCTTGAGGCTTGTCCCCTGAATGTAGTATGTGAGACTGCCAGTAAGTTGTAGTTGTGATGTCACAACACATGGAGGTTTGGTTTGATTGGTCTAACTCATCTACAGGTAGTTCACAAGCTCTGTGTTACATGGTTAACTTTCCCCACTTAAGACCTAAGACAATATTTTTGATAGTGTAGGCTGTAGTTAAAAAATGCAGCTCTTATGATTTGAAAGTTGCATTGTGTTAAATTGCAATTCCTATATAAAATGATTAATCTTTCAGTCCTAAGTTGCTCATAAAGGACTAGTCCTTCCTTGGATGCATTCTTTTGTACCCAAACATGATTGTTTCACATGTTTAAGATGTTTTTTGAACATTTCACAATGTTTCTAGTCTTAAATTGCCCATTTTTTGGAATGTTTTTGTGGCATCATTTCAAAATGTGCATATATTTACAAAAACAATGAAGTTGATTACATTGCAGCATTAAACATCATATCATTGTAGTGTTTTCATTTAAATACAGGTGGATTTACAAATCACTGCTTTCTGTACTTATTGCATTTTACATCCTTCCCTGACTTGTATGGAATCGAGGTTTGTAAATAGTGAAGTATTAAAATGCACACATTGTATATTTTGTGTGGGGTGTTTGTGTTTGTGTAGGTGCTGTTGGATGACAGTTCCATCAACATGGCCACGGTGGCATCCTCCCGCTACGTGGGTCCCATCAAGGCCAGAGTAGATGAGTGGCAGAGGCTGCTTGCCCTGTTCAGCCAGACCCTGGTAATCAAACCCAGATCTGAGTTTATATTACACCAATCACCTCATAGAAATGTGACCTGAAACTTTCTCTACTGGAAACTCAGTAAAAAAAAAACTCTCTGTAGGACGAGTGGCTGACGTGTCAGAGGAACTGGCTGTATTTGGAGAGCATATTCAGTGCTCCTGATATTCAGAGGCAGCTTCCTGAAGAGGCTAAGATGTTCCTGCAGGTGGATAAATCCTGGAAGGAGATTATGAGGAAGGTCAACCGTCTGCCCAATGCCCTACGTGCCGCCACACAGCCAGGTCTGACATAACACTCACAATAAATATGTGTCATATACTCTATAAGCATGTAGAATCCAGACTGCACAACACACATTATTTGCAGATGTCCTGGTTTGTTATAATACACTGTGTAAGCTTATATGTTTATCACTATAAAGCAGTAAAGTGTTCATTTAAACCTGCACAATAACATCTCTTATGCTGTGTTTACATGTTGCTTTTGAAAAAATATTGCTCCATGCCTCAGATCATGGAAGCACTGATTATCAGAGGAGAGCTTTAGCGCTGCTTGTTGTCTTTTTAAGGTTGAAAAAGACAGGACAATGATTTGTACTCTAGCCTGGCCGATGTAATCAGATATCGTTGATGATTGACAAGTAACCTGATGACAATGCTTAAAAGGCAATAATCGCCATGTTGGGAAACTGACAGAGAACCAGAGAGGACTAAGTTACTGTTAAGAACTTTTAAGAAGTGTGCGGACGGACGCCCTAATAGTCTGTTTTGTTTTTTTTTGTTTTGTTTTTTTTCATGAGATAGAAAGGTTAGCTGAGAAGCTACACACTGTAATGTTAGGTTTACCTGCCACACATGTAATAATTTCTTTCATTTAAGTGACACAACTGTAAATTGTTGCTGTTGTGCAACAATAGTGTAATAAAATTACCACTTTAAAATAAGACTACCCTTAAAAAACGTTTATGAATGGTTTAGAATTAGCTCAATAATGTTACTAATTAGGTCATAAACACCTTAAAAAGTATTAATAAACAGTTATAACACATTCATAGAAAGGCCAAAAGTGACCTGTTGTATCTGATAAATATGAATATATGATGAAGCTGACAGGTTCAATGCTAGATGTGATAGATAACACAAGATCAATAACAAGCAAAACCTAACACTGTAAATGAATGTGAGTTCAGTATTAGGCAAAGAACAGGTCACTGTTGCCCCTTTTAATTGTGTTTTATAGCTGCTTATTAATAATTTTAAGCTGTCTTTGACCTAAATGATATTGAGATTGCCATAAGTAAACTCATTTAAACCATTCATAACCCCTTTATTCCCCTCTTATTCTATAGTGGAACCTAGAAAGGGTACAAAAAATCATGTTACATTATCTTCTGTTACAAGTTAAGAATGTTAATTAATACACTGCACAACTTTATTATTGAATAAAATGACAATGATGACTCATGACGAGTGATTCTAAACTTTTGAACAGTAGTTTATATACAGTATATCCTTAAAAACTCATAACTATTCCCTCTGTACTGTAAACATAGCCTACCTTGTCGAACACCTACTAAAAACAGGTATCAGAAGAAAAATGAAAGAACTTGTCAAGATTGTGCCAGCGGTGAAATTGCACCTAAATGCTACTAAGTTGCTTGACAGTCTGACTGGAGTGCAGAGAAGGGCTTGTTCTGAAGTGTTGTATTGAATGTTTTCTTGCCTCAGGGCTTCTGGAGATCTTCCAGAACAATAATGCTCTACTGGACCAGATTCAGAAATGCCTGGAGGCCTACCTGGAGTCTAAGAGAGTCGTCTTCCCCAGGTGTGTACACACTGTTTATTTAATGTAGTAACAGCATATTATTGTTTCACTCATGTTTAAGTAGGACATGAACCAATCTGAGATCAGATCAGAGTTCTTGGCATATTTTAATAGATGGTTATGAGTTACATCACAGTGCAAAAGTCAGATACAGACCATTCTTTATTTATTTAATTTCCAAATACAAGTTTATTATTTTGTCTGTGTCAGGAAAAAAGCACAGAAGCCTCAATAGCTGCATATAATACCACATTATTTCTGTGTCAAACCTTTTCAGAAGACTTGCTTTCAGTGTTTCAAAGAAATCTGCAGGGATATTTTTCACACCTCCAAAATTCAGTCTTAGAATTTGGTTGCACTTTCTACTTCTCATGATCCAAGTAATCCCAAATAATTTAGTGATGTTGAGGTCTGGACTCTGGGATGGTCAGGCTGTTTGTTCTGAGAACAGAAGCAGTTCCTTTGTTTGTTTTTTCTTCTTTTGACATCCTTTCAGACTCTTAGAGCTGAGTTGTCTTCTCACAGTGGAAACACAAACAGAAAATCTTTTTGGAATCTTTTCACCTCTGAAGCAAGAGTGGAGCTTGATTTTCTCCTCTCTCTGTAAGATTAAAGTTTTAAGTGCTGTTTATCTGATGGGGGCAGTGTTGGTGGTCTACCAGGTTTTGCAGATGGTTGTCAGTAGTTTCATTTTCTCTGTATCTTTTCTTCGTATTTTGACCACACGTTTTGGAAGCTTGTACTTTTTCACTTTTTTTGTTTGACTTTCTCCTTCCTCATGAAAGTGGATTATATTATATCAAATCTTTGAAATATCTCCTTTAGCTAGTTTAGATATTCATGAAAAAGAAATACAAGACAGTTAAGGTGAGTTTGGGTAGTTGCTTATGTGAACTATGGGAAGAAAATGTAAGTGACCCCTTTGGGAACAGCTTTTGTTGAAGGACACAGCTGTAACTGGTTGGTTTAAGACTGAAAGGATGGAGGAAATAAAGAAAATTTGTTTAATTATTTTTTTGTGTATGTGAAGTGCACACTGTATGCACTGTGTAAATGTAACTTCTGCCTGATTGGAGTCAGATTGAGTAATCAGTTTTAAATGAATGAGATCTGAGGAAAAAGCTGTTATCTTCATTAATGAATATGAGATTCGTTCCTCATTTTTCATGCAGGTTCTACTTTCTGTCTAACGATGAGCTGCTAGAGATCCTGGCGCAGACGCGGAACCCTCAGGCCGTGCAGCCACATCTGAGGAAGTGTTTTGATGCGATCTCCCGTCTGGAGTTCGCCGTGCTGCCCCCTGCCACGCCTGCTGAGGCCGAAGGAGAGAAGCACTACAGCAACGACATCCTGGCCATGATCTCACCTGAGGGAGAGAAGGTCTGCTGACCACTGCTCCACTTTGTTAAGCTAGTGATATCATGTGAAATGTGCACACATGACTTATGATAGTGTCACTATTAAGGCTTATTAATAGGAGAGGGAGAGAAAGTGTATACAGAATAGTAGCGTGATACTTCAGGTGTAACAGTAAATGAATAAATAAATAATGTTGTATCTAGGGGCCTGTATAATTTACTATTGTAAGCCTGAAAGCCACACATTTTCTGACTAAATGATTTATGATTTTTGATTGATTTGATTGATTAATAATGCAGAATGCCTTGTATTTCAAAAAGTATCTTATTTATGACTTAATAACTTATTCTTGTTCCTAAAAATGGGCATACTTAAAATTATCTGAAGAAAATGTAAGAAACATTTAGTGTCTAGTTTACAAAGTTTAAATCAACATTATTTTCGTTATTATTTTAAAAATTGAATAAAACAAGTGACTCCAGACTTTTCAACAGTGTATAAGATAGGCCTACATGATAAATCATACTTTTATCATTATCATGATGCGAGTTTTTATGCTTAACACATGGTTAAGAGCTGCGGTGACAGAACAGATTAAATTAGCTCTTGTGTCAAAGTGACATAATCAGTTTCTTGTGCTGGATTTGAACCCTGCACTCTCCCTTAACCATTCGCCCAAACAGCCAGTTACAAAACACACATGCACAGCTCAAAAACTACACTGTCCTGGAGTACTAGCCTGTAAAATGCTTGAATATTTTGTGTTTTTATTACATTACATTACATTATCGCTTCTCATATTGTCATTGTGATCCACAAGCTTCACTGAATATTGCATTTTAAGTCCATGTCATGCAGCCCTAATACATCACTAAACTACTACTGTACTGTAAAGGACAGGACATTTAAGCGTATCTGTGTGTTCTCTGTGTGTGTACGTGGTGTGTGTGAGTAGGTGATGCTGGGGAAGGGGCTGAAGGCGCGTGGTAATGTGGAGGATTGGTTGGGAAAAGTGGAAGAAGCCATGTTTTCCTCTCTCAGACGTCTCAGCAAAGCCGCCATCTCCGACTACCAGAGCAAACCGCGGGTGGAGTGGGTAGTGGCTGGACACCCCTCACAGGTGTGTTTTAGGTCATTATAGCAAACGATACGTGAAAACATCTAGGACTGAAAGATGATGCGAATAATTAGGATTAATCACATTTTTTGTGTAGTTAATCATGACAAAAGAAGCTTTATTAGAAAGCATTTTATTCAGAAATTCAGTACATTATATATATATATATATATATATATATATATATATATATATATATATATATACACAAACACACACAAACACACACATAGATAGAAAGATAGTTGAGTAGTTGGGTAGACTAGAGAGACTATACTAGATAGATAGTCGTTCAAGGTAGTCTGGAACTCAGAGGCCCATTTATTGATTTAATTTCTTCAAGGGAGATTCTTCAGTTATTTTAAGGGAGATTAAATATACGATAGTTCACTTATATAAGGAAGACGAAAGTCAAAAGAAAGTAAATGAAAAAACAGGAGTTTCCAAAATGAGAATTTCCTGATGCTGAGAAATGAATAAGTTGTACTTAATCAGTGTTTTGAGTGCTGTTAGTTTTGATAAACACACTAACAGCATTGCAGTAACTGGAAATAACATTAGTTTTATCGTGAGAGCTATCCACAGAACTTACCATTCAAAAGCTGTATTTACACTACTGCGCTACTACTGATGGTTTGAAGAGTCAAACTAGAAAAATGCATTAACAGTGTTAAACCATGGTGGCGTTAATCATTTATTGCGTAGATTATTATGTATATGAGGTTTGAGTAGACACAGTGCACATGTACACATATACATAGTTGGGGAACAAGAACATCGCTGTATGTTAAAGTGATGTCAGATTTCACCTCTAACCCCAAATGTAGCTGATCTGTCAAGGCATGTTTGGTATCTGAGGTTTATTTTTTGAGTCATCACAAACACAGATCCTCTCTCTTTGTGTGCTCTGTAGGTGGTGCTGACCATCTCCCAGCTGATGTGGTGCAGGGACATGGATAACTGTCTGGAGGGAGACCATGACCACTTTCAGGCCCTGCAGCAGTTTGAGCTCACCAATTTCGAGGTGGACATTTGCAAAAAATCACTTTTTGGTCTCTATTGTTGATATTAGTTATTTGTTTAGCTTACTGTTTGTGTATGTGTGCGTGTGCGTGTGTGTGTGTTTGTGTGTGTATACAGAGGCTGAACGCTCTGGCTGCTCTGGTGCGGGGAAATTTACCAAAAATTCATCGGAACATCATCACAGCGCTCATCACTGTGGATGTCCACGCACGAGACATCGTCACTGAGCTGGTCAAAGAGGGGGTGAATATGTTCCTCTGTATTTTGTTATATACTGTAGCATATTTTCAGGAAATCAATGAAAGTATTGATAACATGTTTTTTAGAAATCAGATATGGAAATTACAGAAATTAAAGTTTTTTTTTGTAGCGTGGGCACAGAGAATCATGAGGATTTCATTTTTTGTTAGAATTGTGAGCATAGGATCATGGGAAATTCAATTTAGTTTGAATCATAAGTAGAGGAAATCATGGAAATTTACGTTTTTAGAATGATACACAGAGGAAGACACGGAGGAAATTACATTTTTTTTGGAATCAGCAGCAAAGGGAGTGATGGGAAATTAAGTTTTCTGGATTCATAGGCATATGGATTTAGGAGAAATTGAGTTTTGGAATCATGGGCATAGAGAATCAGAGGAATTTAATGGTTTTGAACTTATGGACAGAGAGAATTTCCAAAAATGGCTGGCATGAGGAATTACTGGAAATTAAGTTTTTGGAATCATGGGCAGAGCGAATCACGGGAAATCAAGGAACCATGGACAGAGGGAATTGATGTAAGTGATGTGTTCTGGAATCATGGGAAGAGGAAATCAGAGCAATTGGGTTTTTTTTTGGAATCATGGACAAAGAGAGTTGCAGAAAAATGAAAACTGATTGCTGTTTTTAAACAGGGCATCATTGCACATACAATTTAACGCTACTTGATGCTTTATTTCCAGACATATTGTTATTGTATGCACTGTAATGAGTATTTTATTCAATACAGCCCTGCATGTGCAATATGGTGCAGTGCTTTTGTTCAGTTCTTTGCAAAGGCCTGTTCTTTAGATCATGTAAAATGTGTGTTCATACAGGTCGACTCGAGCAGTAACTTTGAGTGGCAGAGGCAGCTGCGCTACTACTGGGATGTGGATCTGGATAACTGTGTGGCTCGCATGGCTCTGTCTCAGTACATCTACGGATACGAATACCTGGGAGCCTGTCCACGCCTGGTCATCACCCCACTCACGGTAACATGCACTGTTCTTCAAAAGTTCAAAGTCAGTTGTCATAATAATTATTTTATTCAGTAATAATTTATACCGTGTAGAACCCTAGACAGAAGATATCTGTAGATGTTTTATTCAATATTTTAAGAATTTTAAGAAGAACAAGAAGATATTAAAGTATAAGAAATTTATAATTATCTATTTTACTGTGAAGTTTTGTGCCTGGGGGTTTGATAACTACTTTTGAATTACAAAACTTTTTGGTTATTCATTTTATTATGACTAAATTCTGGTTTTATTCATAACTTCATTTTCATTCAGTTTTACACAGCTTTATCAATCGTTATAGGACCAGGTGCTGCCCTGCTCATCATTATGAACATATCCAACATTTTTTTTCATTTTCACTGCTTCCTGCTAATTATTTGAGACCAGTGAAGCAATAGAGTAACTAGCATCTTATTCCAGTCATTTTAGAACAGAAACAGAATTGGATTTATAAAATGGATAGTCACAGACTTAAAATCTGATTGATTCAGTCATGTGCAAGGCTGTTGTACTCACAGATGATCACACACAACAACTGAATTCTGTACCAAAGTGGCAAGATGTCAAAAACCTTTGTGCTGCTCATGAAATAATCTTTGAACTGGCGTGTAGCATCCATGGACTCATGGCATCCATGTGACATCCATGAACATACCCTACAAACCTGATTTTGTTTAAACTTATTTCCTTTACAACTACCACTTGGCAGATAGTTAACAGTCTAACAGACTCCTAACATTTTTAGTTAGGCTTGAAATATTTATTATTCACTGAAATATTGCAAGTCTGTAACATGCAAAGTAGAGAATATACTGCTTCAAATGTCAGTGTTCAATGCCGTGAGCAGTAATACACCCAGTATGGGAAAGTGAATATACACCACTGTTAGCTTGGCACTTACATAACAGTGCAAATGTCATCGAGGCCCTACAGAAATTAGCATTGTTTTAGTGGTGGTGCTCAATAAACTGATAAACAAAAACTATTTATGAAGCACAAGTTTCTAAATTAAACACTGGTGTATTACGATAAGCATGGCTGATAAAAAATGTTAAAAAAGTTAGTGCAATGGCTGAAATATACAACAATGGGCTATTAAAAGTTCTTAGAATCATGTAATCATGTAATCATCTCCATCCTAACTAAATTAATTACATTTCTTGGTGGTCATTAATGCAATACATCATGAGAGGCTATGCATTACAGTGACTTTACTGTAGGTAAAATTAGTACTTTGTTTAGAATAATGTAGTTTAGTGTATGCTAATATTGCCAAGCAACTAAGAACTGCTAAAGGAGGACAAGAAGTTGCCCATCATTGTAAATTGCCGTCATTTCATGAACTTTAAAGTTTTTGTAATATAATAATGAAACCATCATAATATAGCAGTACGTAATGCTGAAACCTTCGTCTTATAAGTCGTTTTTGCGCACCACATTACCACCTCACCACTAATGCTGATTACAGCTACTGCCTCTATGTGCTTTCCTGTGTTGTGATAGCATCATGCTAACTGTTCCATGCATTTGTGGAAGACAATCAGTTTTTGCTAACATACTTTTTTTACAGTGAATCTTTCAGTAAAAACTTCAGCCTAATACTTAATATTAATAGACGTTTAGTCTATTAGCTGTATTTCAGTCTGTTTAGCTTACTGTCTTTTAGAAAATCAGTTGTCAGCTCAGTATTTTATGACAGTTTTGAACATGTCTTAGCCAATCAAATTTCAGGACTCGTAATAAGCCATAAGCCACTCAAGGCCATGAGTTACAGTGATTTAGGTTTAGGTCAACATTATTTCAAATGGCTTATTGCTTTGTTGTATTTGTGTTTATATTGGTTTATAGGACCGTTGCTACCTGTGTCTCATGGGGGCATTACAGCTGGACCTGGGTGGAGCTCCTGCAGGTCCTGCTGGTACAGGAAAGACTGAGACCACTAAAGACCTGGCCAAAGCCCTGGCAATCCAGTGTGTGGTCTTCAACTGCTCTGATGGACTTGACTACAAGGTGCTCTGCCTCATACTTCTTCATTTACACCAAGTTTCTGCTTTTATTTTAATAAAATATATATAAAAAAATTAGATACAAACAAATTATAAAACCCAAAAGCTGGATTTGCCATTACAAGAAAACATGTCCTTTATACACAGAACCCTTAAGACCCTCAAGGCCAAAACTTTAACATTAGCTAAAAAAAGTCAATTGTGTAGCCTTGAGCAATAATTAAGTGCAAATGCTATCAATCTAGGCTCATAGGAGCAATAATTTCCAAAAATACTTGGCAAATACTTGTGACAGACATGCAAAATGCAATGTTAGATAAAACTAATAAATTGTTCATAGTATTCTGATGATGTCACACAATCGTGCTGCCACTTTGGTGGGCAACTTCAAATTTATGCGCAGTGGTGGTTTATTATGAGATAGCAAAGCCAAAATTGATCCAGCAAACCCACTAAAACATGTTTTTTTTTTGGGGAATACTCAAACTAATTGTTTTAAAGCATATTAACCAATATATTTGAGTGTATTGCCTTTATTTATTTGATTTGTTGCTGTAGTGATAACACATGAAAGATGAAATCTAAATGACTGTTATTAATGCTGCGTCCCAAACCACATACTAGCACACTATATAGTGTGTAAAAAACAGTGCAGCACCATTAGAAGTGCACTCATTAGTATAGTAGGTGAAGTGTAGAAGTGTGTAGTTTGGGACGCAGCATTAAATCAGCCAGTGAAATGCATTCAGAAGTGTAGCAGCTGTTTACAGCTCTGCTGTGCTGCTTGTTAGCTGCTCATTAAACATTTCCAAGCGAAACTTTAAGGTACTCACTGATTAACGATGCATTTATTGAGGTTAACTGGATGTCTACACATTTTTCTATGATGCCTTCTTTTTCGTCACCTTCTTTTTTCGAAATGTGTTCCATTTATGGGGCGCTTAAATGTAAATGCAGCACCATTTAAGCTGGAACGAAAAAGTCTAATAAGACGTCTGCAAATAAGAAGCTAACTCCAGCTTTCTTGTGTCTTTTACTTGTTTTTGTAAAATCTCACATGTTGGAAGCTTCTGTACTTGAGAAACACATACAGGTTACACAGATTCAGTCCATCAATCCAGCTAATCTTCTAATTATAGCATTTTCTGGAGACTGTATCGAAAGTGTCCACATATGTTTTCTTTTTTTTGCGGTCACTCTGGCTTGTTTTGTTTGGTCTTCATCCACCTGCAGGGTTGTAGCTGCAGCAACAGTGACTAGATGAGTGATATCAGAACACAGTCACAGCTTTACAGAGTTACAGCGAAGGGGCGTTCTTATTGGTGTAACTGAATGCTATGAATGGGCTGTGAAAGACGTTATCTGGCAGTGTCTCAAATCAAGATTTTGTTATATGGGTAATAAAGTAACATCAGCCCCATGTTGAACCTTTAGTAGCAGGATTTAGTAATCTGTGAATCAACACAGTAAAAACATTCAATATATTTCATGCATGTATGTCATAATATATAGCAGACACAAGGTAGTCTCCAGCATCTCCAGTACACACTGAAGACTTCATACAGCAGCCTAATAGTGCTGAAGAGGATAAAGCCTGCCGATCATGTCACATCCACATGTAGAGGACATGGAAAAAAAAGAGCATCGTGACTTCTGTACTGACAGGAAAGTCACATTTGTTATATGTGTCTGGGATTTTAGATGTTCAGCAGGCACACATTCACATTTACAATGCTGCAGTTAGCAAAGAAGCCACGGTGACAGTTTGTAGTTAGGGACAGGGGTTTAGTGAAAGGTGCTCAAGGATTGGTCTGCTCTGGTCTGCATCATATTATTGTAGAAAATGAAGTTTTTCCCACTTCAGAGTAACAAGCAATGACACGTTCTCAAAGAAAGTAGTGGAACAAAAAGTAAAAAGGGCTTTAAAATGTAGTGAAGTGGAAGTAAAAGCACCAAAGAAATTGCACATACACACGTAAGTGCAGCTACGACGTACATCACTGTACATCACTGAAGTCGAGAGAGTGGTTTATTTGCGTTTGACGTCGCTGGTTTTCCTGAAAATGCGTCAGTGTTTCTGTAAATCCAGTCCCTTTATCACCTAATTAGGCCACCTTCTTCCACTACGCAGTAATTCACTTCCAGCAGAACTAGAGGCTGATTTGAGGTGCGTCACTCCTTTCTGTTTCTGTGACTGCACTGACGTCCCTTCTTCCCGCAACACTTGCTGATTCATCATGCCTATAGCCATCTACACTCTCTTTCATTACTCTTCCCTTCTGTTACTGGCTCTTTCTTCATTACCCTCACAGGCTTTTGGAACATTCTCATCTGTTTTATCCTCCTCATAAACAGGTATCTGCTAGGTTCTGGCCGATATTGACGACCCACAGTGTTATCAATGCAAATGATAATCGTCATTTATTAGTGACTTAAGCCCTATTCGAACAAGACTAGTTTTACATGGTGGGGTAATGTTATTTCTACTGGTGTTTCTCTTTACCTTCTGTAAAACAAGCAGTAGACATAACCCCAGATTATATTAATCATGTGTGGATTGAGATGTCAGTAAAACACTATCATATTCTGTGGAAAAGGAGTTTCTTAAGCCATGTTTAAGGAGTTTCACTGCTGGCTTGTGAATTTCCAGACTAATGACAACTAGGGATGAGCAACATGATGGTATTTTATCATTTTTGAGATAAATTATGTAACAATATGCTTTTTTGAGTGTATTGGGAATAACGTTAGTACTTAAAGAACTCTGACCACCTGCATATTTCATTACAAAGAGAGCATAACTACTCCTGTTTAAATGGATTTAATGCAGTACAGTTTGTAAAACATTGAATAAAAATTATTGTGGCTGTAGGCTTATTATAGTATCTTTATATGTGGTGCTACAGGTTCTTTTTTTCTTATCAAATCTCAGAAACTTTATAGCGTGGTGCATATTATGTATTGTAAAATGTCTTGAATTATCATGATATAATATTTTTGCCACATCATCCACCCCTAATGACAATGATAATGAGACAGTGCGTTCAATTAAGACAGCAAGGTAGATGGTTAGAATAAGCAAAATAATGCCTGAATGAAATGTTTTACGTGTTTTCTACTCATAGAATAAAAGCATTGTGTAAATCAAGTAGCTCTTTCCTCACTTTCCTCACTCCATCACTTATACTGAGATTTCTTATTGTGTGAATAGAGAACCAACTGTTAGTGAACAAAACAGCATTGTGGTTGAAATATCAGAAACAAGATATATTCAGTCTTAATGTTTAGCATGAGAATAACAAGTTGTGACACAAAAAGACTTTTCTATGAGGAGATGAGATGAAAAACGTGAGTAAATGAACAATAAGCAGTTCAGTTTTCTCAGAGCAGTGCAGTAACCTGCCACAAGAGGGCAGCAGAGGCTCATTTTTACAATACCGCTCAGCCTGCTGCTACAGTGCAGTTTTGGTTTCAGAAGAGGGGCATGGCTTATCCATGTAATAGATGGATTACTGTTCATCAGTCCATGAGTATGTTTAGAGTAAAGTTCCCCCTTGTTCAGTGGAAATTTACAGTGCAGAGTAAACCTTTCTGGTTGCAGTGCTTGGTATAAAAATGCATTAAGCTTTTTTAGATCACTGTACTTGTAGTGGCACACTTCCACCAATGTGTTCAGTGCTGGTTTTTTAATACATTATTTTTATGCACAGAATCGTTCAGCAATACCGTGATGCAATATACTGTTAGAAAGCTTGAAATCTCAGGATTCAATTCCTGCCAACCATTTTATGATCCGTTATTCACAGCAGTAACGATTGACTCATTTGCAACATGAGCACCGAATTAACAAACGCTAGCAAATCTGTGGGTCCTTACCTTCCAAGCCTTTCCACTACTCACAGAGACATCATAATGTCAGGCGGAAATAAACTTCCCCATTCCAGCCTGTTACTCTGTGTCAGTAATTCATACAATAATTCTGATGATTGAGAAAAAACTAGAGAGTTACACCTTTCAAATGAGACCAAGATCATGACTGTAGCCCAAAGTATGTTTGAACAGCACATCTTTTACTTGCCGTTTCAGGCAAAAATAGGGCGACAGTTAACAGGGTAATGCTTGTTATAGAGGTTGGCGATATAGCAAAATATAGTATCATGGTACTTTGAGATGTTTTTATGGTAATTTTGTGATTTTTATAAGGTTAACACTTTGAAACAGACACATTTTAGAAATTCTATCAAAAACTATCAAAAACTGTTCGTTGTTGAATAAAACACTGCGTGAAGTCCAATTGTAGAGATCTGATTATGCTCTCTTCGTTAAGTAATAGTGTTGCAGGGCCAGACGTGATCTTGTAATGGGAATGAGATGACTTATTAAACTGTTGTTGCTGGATTGAAACAAAATTCCCCACCAACAAGAGTATGCTCCTTCTAAAACCACCCCAAATCCTTCAAGTCTGTGCTCTTTTAACATCTGGAGTACATTGATAACACCATCAAAATAAACTATATAGCAAAACATCATCGATAGGTAACAGAACTGTTCTTTTGCAAGAGGTAATGTTTATTTCTACCGCATGTAATGTGTTCTCTGCACCCGCAGCACACATCTACAAGCTTATTTGGAGTTTTTCAACTTTTCATCCATGCTAACTTACATTACACACTGTGCTAACATGTGCTAACGACAGGCTTATTGTTCATTTTACAATTTAGGTAGGGGCACCATCGCCCCCTGGTTTGAGCTACACCTTCCTGGAGTGTTCATTGGTTCAGTAATTTCATACTTAGTTTGTTCCCAACCTATTAAGTCTAAGTTACCACCTTTATTTAGCCATTTGTCCCTGGATGTTCTTGTTATGAGATCACATCTGGCCTCCTGACACTATGAAGCATGTTTCCTTTAAATACTGATCCTTTAAATGATATCCATACTCAGAAATGCATATGGAAGCCACTGCATCACAGTTGAAATGTTAGAATGTATAATAATTGGTAGCAGGGGTGCGCAAATATCATATCACAATATCTAAAGGCATTTTCACAATATACAATATGTATTGCGATATTCTGACATAGACACGTATTTACATATTTCACTGCACTAAATCCAGTTAAACATGGCTAATTATGCACTTGTTTTAAGCAGGACATACAGATGTTCAGTGTGCTTTAAAGAGTGCTGATATCTGTAAGAACAAAACCTCATATCTCCAAAATGGTGATTTGATAGGAGAAGGAAAAAAGTTCTTAACTTGTTATGGAAGTTAATGTAATCATTTTTATCCAAGTAATTTTGGGCCATTTCTCTTTAGTCTGTTCAGCATGAAGTTTGGACACAGCATAAAGGGTAGCTAGAGTTTTCAAATTATGCAAAACTTGTGAAGGTTTTTGAGCAATAGCAGCAATATGCTCACAAAAGCATATTTTCTATTATAATAATAAAACTTATCACAAAAACAATAAAATATTGTCACTTTGCCCACCCCTACTTATAGTAATTTAAACTTATAGTAATAATAGTAATAATATTTATATTACAATATTTATAGTAATAATATTCAGTAAAGTATGTGCTACACAGTTCTCAGGCTGTTGTCTCTATTCATCTGCTGTCTAAATAGATTTTACATAATCAGTTATTTTTAAAATTGATTCAAATTCAGACAGAATTGTAGTGAAAGTGTTCAGTTTTCACTGAGTGGAATGGTTATGATGTCAGAGTCGTCCACCTCTGCGAGTGCTCCGTCTGTATTTGTGCGTCAGCATGGACTTGTAATATAGAGCCATTGTTTAACACCTCCCCTGGGGCTTGTTCACACTATGGCAACACAAGCGAGGTGATGAAGTCATTAGTCCTTTTGTCTGGTTAGTACTCTTATTCATGCTACAGCATAATGCTGCACTGACCGAACCCTCGGCTGAGCAGATCTCCTCACACTCTTTCTTACTAGAATGTTCCTCTGGGGTGTTATAGAGCGTTTCCTTCAGAATAAATATGAGCACAATATGATGTGAACGGCCAGGCGCTGGCTTATGAATCAGCACAATCTCCTTTATTATCCCCCTGACCTTATTGGCTAGTGATGCCGTTGAGAGTTTATTACCTGTAATTGAATATAACTTCCATTTCACTTTGAAAGGTAGAAACCTTTTGAAAAGGACAGTGTAAGGAGCCTAACTAGATTGGCTTTCAGGCTTTGACCCTTCAAAGCCAGCCGTAACAAAAGCATGGCTTAATTTGATATTAATTATTTCTCACTCGTAGCTCATTGAAACAAACAGAGAGGTTCTGTTGAAAGCCTGGATTCTAAACTTGCGGTCAGTGACCACACTTCGTTTATTTCATTTCAGTTCAGAGCTGCCAAGTTATTTATTTCTCAGATGTTTCTGAGGAGATTAGATATAAGATAAGCCACTTGAATAAGGAAGGAAAATAAGTGAAAAAGCCCAAAAGTTCCCAAAATTGGAGTTCTAAAAATAAAGAGAAAACGAGACTCCTAACAACCACCTGCATGACCACCTGTTAGACCACCAAAACTTTCCCCATCAGATAAACAGTGCCCAGACCTGAACATCACTGAATACTTAAGATGAAAATGTAACAAACTACTAAGATGAATTTTGGAGGTAAAAAATAGTTTTCAGTGAGTCTCCTGAAAACAGTGAACATACTAAATACTGAAAATGTGATATTATATTTAGTTGTTTAGGTAAAATTGACCATACTGTGCAAAAATGTTAGGCACCTAAAATGGTTTTAAACTATTTATTTCAGCCATAAGTGTGTTTTTGCCTGTAAATACACTGAATAGCACTAGAATAAATATGAATAAACAGAAATAATATGTGGTGAACTGGTTTTAAGATCACAGGTTTGGTTTCCTTATTACATTGTTGTCTTTTCTTGATATCAAAACAAGTAAAAAAGTCAGAAGTGCAGACTTTGAAACTTTGTATACAGAATCTAAATGGAAACTATATGTAATTAACAAATAATATATGTAATGAGGTTCTTAAATAATTACATTTAAAGTAACATCTCACAAGGCAAACATAGTAAGTCTACACTATTATGAGTTAACAACAACAAAAGGCTGTTTAACTGTGGTATCATATATGTAAATGGTGAGTTGTGTGCAACATTGCATGAATACGTATATGTGTGTGTGTGTGTGTTTGCAGATGATGGGGACATTCTTCAGTGGCCTTGCTCAGTCCGGAGCCTGGTGTTGTTTCGATGAGTTCAACCGCATCAACATCGAGGTGCTGTCTGTCATTGCCCAACAGCTCATAACCATCCGGAACGCCAAGGCAGCCAAGGTAGCACTCAGAATCTGAACACTCTGCGTGAAGGTAAAAGTCTGAAGACTGGAATAGTGGGCGGGGCTTTTCAGTAGGAACAGGATGATGTGTTCAATGTGGCATTCTGTAGAATCATATGCTTTCTGTAAATAAGAAATACACCAAAACAGCAGAGACTTCACATTTCACAACTTCTTAGATAAATAAAATCACAAGTAACATGTACAGTCTCATCCAAAAGTTTGAACACCCCTGGTCAAATTGAACGTTTTGTTGATATTTTAAGTTGCTTTCTATTTGGTACACATTACCTTGCATCTGCACTCATTGTCCATTTTGTCTGAAACACCTGCCATACAGATGCACTTTGTGGTTTACAGCAGAAGTGCATAACTTCGGCCCTGGAGGGCTGGTGTCCAGCACAGTTTGGTGATTTACCTGTTCAAACACACCTGATTACACTCATCTGTTACTTGCCAAGTTCAGTGGGTTTGTTTGAGTAGAAAAACCTCCAAACTGTGCTGGACACTGGACGACCAGGACAGGAGTTGTGCACCCCTGTTTTATGGCTATTGACGCTTCATCAATCACCCTCTAGCCTAAAGAAACAATTTGGCAAAAAATAAAAATTACACAGGTTTCCGCTTAACGCCTAATAGAACAGATCAGCCAAGACAAGTTTGTTCGCAAAATCTTCTTTACTTTAATAATAATAATAATAATAATAACAAAGACTGTAATAATAATTTCAATTTCTGCAGCACCGTTCACATACAGAAGACCACTTTATGCTAAGTACTACACAAAAAACAATTAAGAGAGAGAAGAAGAAGAATAAAGTATTGCTGAAAACAGGAAAGATTTAAGGTGAACTTTGAAGAAGGTGTGAAGAGATAAAGGAACAGAGCTTAATTTTTTGTGAACAATTGTTAAGACGAGAGCTTCATAATTTACGGGCCAAAACACAAAAAGATCTGCCCCCAAAAGTCATGTTAAAAAAAAAAAGTTAACACATCTACAGAGAATTGTTTCATTCACAGTTACTGTTTATTTGCTGAATTTAACATAATGTAAAACGTGTTATATTTATATGTGTTATAAAAGCTATATTTAAGTGTGTTCTCTGTAGGGGATGTGTTAACCCCTTAACAAGGTTTTATTACACACTTCTATAACATAAGAATAGCTCCATTAGTTTGCATTAAAGTCCCTGTAGTTACTCAATAATAAGCCTTTGTATGAAATAAACCTGGATTGTTAAGGGTTTAACTTATTTATACTTACAAAACATGTAATTTGATCAGATGTTCAGTCTTTTGCATACAACTGTAAGTGAAATAGCAACAAAAAAGTGTTTTCCTTTATTATGTCTTCTTGAAAGTACTAGTTCCCCCTGACCCCCCTTAACCACTGCTGTCAATCAGTAAAGTCTGCTTCTTTAGTTTTACACTGGATCTAAAAGGCTAATATTGCTATATAATGTAAGCATATACCCCAGCAATAAGCATTGTGCAAACTGCATGTCTGAATCATCACATACTTGTGTGTAACAGCTGATTAGCTGCACTTACATTTAGGTAAAGAGAAAATTGTGTACATTTGATTTTTTGACAAACTACTAAATGTTAGTAACAGTAATTAAATGGGATAAATGACGTTGCTGTGTGTCTCTGTTTGTAGCTGTCTCGGTTCATGTTCGAGGGCAGAGAGATTAAGCTGGTGATGACGTGTGCGGCCTTCATCACTATGAATCCAGGCTATGCAGGCAGGACTGAACTTCCAGACAACTTGAAAGCTCTGTTCAGACCCATCGCCATGATGGTGCCCAACTACGCCCTCATTGCTGAGGTGTGTGAGTGTGAGAGAGTGACCCAGAATATGTTTCTTATGCTAAATTGTCAGTTTAATAGGTGCTTATACCTTGTGCCTACACTTATTGGCCATTTTATCAGAAACACTTCCATACAGATGCACGTTGTAAGTTTACAGCTATTGACCATAGATGAGCAATTTCTCAGTCAATACTTTCACAAATAAACGCTATAGATGACATTTGTGTTATGTTGTTTATTTTTTTAAATAACTGTTAATCGTAGATTTCTGAACTGAAGATATGTTTAAAAATGGAAACAAAAGAAATGTGAGCGTTTTCTCCAGGGGGATATCTGGAGAAAAAATGGAAGAAAATGTAGGCTATAGGTGCTATCTTCTATCCACAGGTCTTGACCATTCCACCCATTCTTCTGGGTAAGCCTCAGCTTTATGCTTTAATCTGCTCTCTCTCTCCCTCTCTCTCTCTCTCTCACTGTGCAGGTCATCTTATATTCGGAAGGCTTTGAGTCCAGTAAGACTCTGGCGAGGAAGATGACTCAGATGTATAAACTGTGCAGTGAACAGCTCTCCCAGCAGGACCACTACGATTTTGGCATGAGGGCTGTCAAATCCGTTCTCGTCATGGCCGGGTACGCTGATCTGAGAGCAGTCTGAACGCGGTTAAGTCCTGCTGCAGTGTCCCTAAGGTCTGGCTAAGGCATGCTACTGAGCCAGCTTTGTTCACTGCTGTTAAAGCCAGATGAAAAGCCTCCTTCACGCATTTCACTGCTGTCAAAAGAAAATCCAGTAGCAGTAACCTATTATTTAAAAAAATAATGAAAAAATAAAAAGGGTCCTGATTAATTGCTAATAGAAATTTTGAACAGAAATGCTTTCAGTTCCAAGTCCCGTCACTGGTTTTTGGAAAATTTGGAAAAAGCATCTTGGACCATGAAATACATACAGTGCACTAACTACAACTGTAAGAATACATTCAGTGTGTTGATATTTGTGTCATAGCTCAACAGAACAGAATGATCAAATTTACCATTCAAATAAATGTCAAGTGGTGAAACTACATATTAATAAAAAAGTTTAAAATTATTTACAGCTACTGAGAACATATATAAACTAGTCTTTGTACTTGGACATGTTTATAAACCTTTGTCCTTGAACTTAAGATTTTTTAAAATAACACTTTTTCAAGAGTTTTCATGGAGTCACACCATCTGACTTACTAATCTGAACCAGCCTGACCCTGATAATATTTGTGAAAGGGCCACTGACTTTCATCGGCATTATTTATGTTGCAGTACCCTGCTCACTCTTTCTTAAAAGCAAGTCAGCATGAAAGTTCTTTGTTTTTGGTTGTGCCCCATGACATTTGAGGAAATAAGAAATTGCAGACAAAAGTTTTGTTATGAGTTGAATCCTTTAAGGCTCCCCTATTTTACAACATGCTGTGATTTTAAAGGTTTCAAACATAAAATCAGGCCAGTTCTATTTTATTTATAACTTTGTTGATATGTGGTTGGACACTGACCAACTGACATTTTTAGACCTGAATTGATTTAGGTCTAAATTGATAGACCTTCATTGTTAGACCTAAATTGATTTTGAAAGGAGGTATCGTGGAATAATATTATAGAATACTGGTAATGTATTGTTGCTGTCATGTCATTTTCTCTTGCTTGTCCTTGTAGTAACAGCATGTTAGTGAGTGCAGGTGATAGAGCGAGAAAGTGAGAGCGCACGTTTTAATGTGTTAAGGACCCCTTGCTGGGGTTAAATGTGTCGTATTTCAGCGAGTGAGTGAGTATTTGTTTGTGTTGCAGTTCTCTGAAGCGAGAGAATCCACACCTGAGTGAGGACGTGGTGCTGATCAGAGCGCTGCGAGACTCCAACCTGCCCAAGTTCCTCACTGACGATGCTGTGCTTTTTGGGTAAACACTCCATCACTGATTCACACATTCACAAACACTGGTTATCTTGAACACCCAGCGGTTTACTGATTTTTTTTTTTTTTTTACTTATTACTTGTCAGGGGTCCAACCAAGGCCAGTAGAGGCCTGAACAAGAGGCCAACTCTAATGTAAAATATACAGAGAATACAGAATAGCCAAGTGCACTTCAGCAGAAAAAAATACATTATGGAAAGATTTTCAGTAAATAGCTGCAAAAATGTGCATTACACAATATTTAGCCTCGCGATATTATCACCTGCAATGGAGGGTTCAAATTTGAATATATTTGAATTAGGGGTGGCCATTATTAACCCTAACCATATCAATTACCAAAACCATAATACTACGTTAGTAAGATAACCGAAACCTTTAGCTTTTTATGTTTATACCAACTAAACAGAACATGAACATTCACATCACAATAACCTGCAGCCTTTTCTGTTTGGAGTACGTAAAATTGTAACGTTAACATTAGCAGTTTAGTTGACGTTAGTTAGTTAGTTGTTTAGTTAGTTAGGTAGTTTACATAAACTCTGTAGTCTATAACTGGTAGAGTTTCTACATTTCTATTAATAAATGTTAATGAAGACGTGCTAAGGGTTGAGTTGAGAATGAAACTGGTTGAGGATGAGTCCAGCTCCGGAAAACAGGCCAGACATAGCTGGCATGCACAAGTAGGCTCTTGCTAGCTGCCCTGGCTGCAGGCATTGGTTCTTTTCTGCTTTCCAACAATTCAGAGGATACATGTGAAGTGGTCAGGCATGTCCTCGCAGTAGTGGTGAAGTTGCGTGAGTTGATTTTGTTGCGGTGAACGTCACATTAGAGGTCTGCAGATATAATATTTGTGGTACAGGACTAGCTTTCATTGTCATACTGAGGTTAACCAGACCAGTTGTGGGCAGAAGCGGGACAACACATCAACACATCAATTAATAAATAAATAAATACATAATATCTAACAGCAAACTACCGAAATGTAATAAACTCATGCTAAATAGTTGTGAAGCGACCAATCACATGAACAACAGGTGAATTACGTTCTTGTAGGCTAGAAAAGTGGCGGAACCTTCAGACAGTCAGGTGGCCACAGCTGTGGAAAGTGCAAGTCTGATATGTGACAGTCATTTTAATGTATAACTGAAGCACATGGAAAGCAGCTATTTGAGACTCCCCTCACACCAACTTCTCCAACCAAGCTTTAGTTTTGCTTAATAAAATGTTTTTTTTGCTCTTTCCTAGCTGTAGACCTGCATAACTTGAAAGCATATCATCAATGAATTCAATAAACCCACCACACTAATAAATTGATAATAAAGTCCCTTCAGCTGAAATGGATATGCAATAAAATCTAGAACTGTCTAGAATCTACAGTGCTAAATAACATGGCTGCACATGGCAAATGTTCGAAAAGCTTTCCAGGAATGACAGCACTAAATAACTTTAAACAGTGGGAACAAGCAGCATTCCTAGGCTTCCGGGAATATCCGTACAAAGAAACAAGCTCAAAATATGCACCATATGATGATGTTTAAAATAACTTCACCGTGCTGCATCTGAATTAGCCCGTGGCAAATATACAGGGCTGTATAGAGTTTGTGGCTTATTAGCCTGCCGTCTGACTCACAGGACTCCTTGTGCACATCCGTGTGCTTTTTCACACACCATCACACACCATAGACCTAACTGAGCTTCAGACATTACCCACATCACCCGCTAAAAGCACAGCATGATTTGTTTGTGCATTGTAGTGCTGTTCCAAACCGTGAAAAATTCAGCTATAATGCGCTCTCGGTAGAGCTTCAGTGAGGGTTTGACTGCAGTTTGTGCTTTTTTTGGTCCCGTTTATAAAGAGACGGATTTGAATTTGAAATGTGTTTTCACCTTTTTCAGATTCCACAGAAGTGTCACTCTGTGTCACACTGATTTGCAGTAAACAAACTGAAATGTCTAGAAATAAGCTAAACAGGCTAAGTTTGCTAAGTAAGATGCTGAAAGTAAAAAGGTGAAAGTGATGATTGATGGAACCTGCAAGTAAAACAGATCCAGTCGTAAAATCTGATGAGCCGTGTTTGAAGCCGTTGTAAAATACTCGATAAATGCAGGCCTATGGCTTTGCTGACTCCTGAACTCTGTACTAATGCACCAACTGACTAAAACCCACGGATGGAATGGAATAATCTGATACTAACGGATGAAGTTAGAACTTGGTTTTGTTCAAACTGAGGGTCGGACAGCTTATTAGCAACTAGGCTAAAGGGTAGTGGGCTATAACAGACTAAAATGTAGCTAACAGGCTAGCCCGCTCCTCTTTTAAAATTCAGCATTCACCTTTAAACTGATGTATTTACTGAATGATTTACAGTAATATAAAAAGTACAAAATATGTTATTTAAATGTCTTACAAGTTCCAAATGTCTGCGTTTTAGATAAGTCTTCCTTAAGTAGTACTAAACCAAATGTGACAAAACAAATGCGTGGCACCATTAGCTTGATGCTAACACAGCACAGGAAATCCTGTAGTGTTGCTCTCTTAAACTAGCATCATAGTTGTGGTAATTTGTTGAGCAGAAACTACTTATTAAACATTTTTTTCTTTATTAAACACTTCTATTTTTTTTTCAATATAATTTCAAAAATTTAAAATTTGCTGAAATATACAATGATAGCTGACTGAAAGTTCTTCCTTCAGCAGTCAAGAGCTTGACAATATTAGCATACATTTCTTTGTGGAATAATTGTTTATTGCAGTTGTTTATTGCAATTATTTGTAATTATTTATCATTTATATTTGTATTAATTTACTGTGTTGTCTTAGCATCAAGCTAACAGTGCACACATTAATTTTCCCACAGTGTAAAACAGATCTAACAAAAAGGGGGACATTTAAGGCACGTGAGACATTCAAGTATTATTTTTTTAATATTTTGTCTTTTTATATTGCAGTTTTATAATCAGTTATTCTGTAAATACTTTTGAATACACAGAATAATAATGGAGGAGCGTTTTAGCCTTTTTACATTGCACAGCGTACTCAGAAAACTGAGACTTTACTAAGTCTGTGTAAATGTAAACAATAGCCTACAGAGTAGGTTTTCAGGAGTTCAGCTGTGAGGTGGTCATAGGTTTGCGTATGTCATATATTTTACAACAGCAACTTAGTCAAACTGAGGGACCAGAAATATGTGTTTTATATAATTTATGGGGAAAAAAACTAATTTGCCCTTTCTCATTCATAGGGGTATCCTATCTGATCTTTTCCCTGGAGTGACCATTCCTGAGCACGATTATGGTGTTCTACAGTCCACCATCCATGCTGCACTTTGTGCCCGCTCCCTTCAGCCTCTGCCCAGTATGATTGGTAAAGTAATCCAGCTGTACGAGACCATGTTAGTACGTCACGGCGTCATGCTGGTGGGCCCCACTGGAGGTGGAAAGACCACCGTATACCGGGTCCTGGCTGACGCCCTGCAGGCCCTCTATGAAGCTGGTCACAAAAACCCCTTCTACCTGCCCGTAAAGACCTATGTGCTCAACCCCAAGTCCGTCAGCATGGGGGAGCTGTATGGGGAGGTGAACCCACTGACTCTTGAGTGGAGGGACGGACTGATGGCCCTTTGCGTGAGGGCGGGGGTCAATGACCCCAGTGATGACCACAAGTGGGTGATCAGTGATGGGCCAGTGGACGCGCTGTGGATCGAGAACATGAACACGGTGCTGGATGATAATAAGATGCTGTGCCTGGCCAACAGTGAGAGGATCAAGCTCACGCCCTCCATCCACATGATGTTTGAGGTGAGTAGGTAGGAGTGTAGGTAGGAAATAGACATTCATACTAGCACTAGTAATCGTGGCATGTGGAAAAGTCTCAGAACTTCATTAACTCATTAAACCTTGTGCTAGCATTCAGCAACCATGGACTCCTCTTAGCAGCTTGCTGAGGATCTGGAAATGAAGTTAATCGCTGCTTTCAAAGCAGCGAAAGACATATAGAAATATATCAAAGTGCTTCCAGCTCGCAATTTCCACGGTCTGACATATCATTAAGAAATGGCTGTTAAGGGTCACTGGGAAAGTCAAGGAAGGATCTGGAAGACCAAGAAAACTCGCAGATAGATAAAGTATGCAGAGAAACAGATGGACTACAGTCTGTAGTTGTAGAACTACAAAGTGCTCCTATATGGTAAGTGGAGCTGATAAAATGGACAAAGAATGTAGAAACAAGGAGGTGGTTTTAATGGCTGATTGGTGTATACATATGTATGCGTGTGTGATGTATCACCCAGCCCATGTGCACGTCAGCTTTTCTAAGCTACAATGAGAAAACACAGATATTATATGACATCATACCTGTGTTTCCATCACGTTCTTCCCATACACACTGTTTGATATAAGGCTGATACACACACTCACACAACTTTCCTGTTGCTGTTGAACAGAATTGTAGAACAAACTGTTTAATGCGATTAGACTCAGCACTCAACACACACACAAACACCTGCCCTATTTGTCTTTATCACACTCTCCACACACACTGTTTAAGATAGAACTGATAAACAGTCTCTGTCTTTTTCTCTCTGTCACACTCTCTCTCGGTCTCTGTCTCTCTCTCTCTCAGGTTCAGGATCTAGCTGTAGCCTCTCCAGCTACAGTCAGTCGTTGTGGGATGGTGTATATAGACTCTGAGGAGCTGAAGTGGATGCCATACGTGCAGACATGGCTAACAGGCCTCTCAGAGAAGGTAAACCCACTCAAAACCACCTGGCCTGGATATAAAATGCCCATCTGAAGAGATAACTTGGCATCTTTTGGAGTTTGCATTATCGTTGTTAAAGCAATTACACATAGGATGTGGTGCAAATAAACCGTGCAATAATGCATTGGATAGGTTACTTTCTATTTTGGAAAAGTGACAGGAGCAAGGAGAGTCTTACTGCCTCATTCAGGAGCTGAAACATTATAAGAGCTTTGGTGTATAGCTTAGATGTCTGCATCCAGTTTGAGCCTCAGGGTTTGTCAGGGTTTGGTCCCCTTAGTTCCAGTGAAGGGTAATGTTAATGCTACAGCATACAAAGACATTTTAGACAATTATGTGCTTCTAGCTTTGTGGTAACAGTTTGGTGAAGACCCTTTCCTGCTCCAGCATGACTGTATCCCTGTGCACAAAGCGAGCTCCATAAAGACATGATTTGATGAGTCGAGGAACTCCACAGACACACTCCAAAATCTTGTAGAAAGCTTCCCAGAAGAGTAGAGGAAGTTATAGCCACAAAAGGAGGCAACTCCATATTAATGCCCATGGTTATAGAAAGGGACGTCCACAAAGCTCATATGGGAGTGATGGCCAGTAGTCCACATACTTTTGGCCATATAGTGTATGTGTAACGGACAAGACACAGTTGGAGCCAGTTGTGAAGGGGGAGTTATAAATGGATACCAGTTGAAGGGCAGCGCAGCGAGGAGCAAGGAAACCAAAACATAAACAAGCAGCAGGGACACTAGGCTGAAGACAGAAAAGATGGCAGAGACTCCTCTTTTGGCCCAGAAGTGTTTTATTACTCCCAAAGTAGCACTTTGTTTTTTTTTTCAAAATAAACCCACTTAGACTATATATTAACTTATTGCAAACCTATCAGAAAAACATGCTCAAAGTTGAGAGTTCTTCCCACTCACAAGCTTCAGCAAGATTCTTAAAGGAGCACTGAGGAAATGGTAATGCCTCTAATAATCAGCCAGCAGGAGCCAGTGAGCATTATATGTATGAGCTTTGGCTAACATGTCTCCCCTGATCATTGGCCACACTGGTACTCCTGCAGTGATATATTCCTTTAATCAGCACTTTTAGAGTCATGCGGGGAACACATGAACTTTACAACGTAGAACAAAACATAGTGAGTCAGTTTCTCTGATTCAGCAAAACACTGAGCGGGTCTACCTGCAGAGATAATTGGGTTGCATTGTGGAATAATTTCCTTTTCATTGTAGGATTGTGATGCTGTTGGGAGAGTGTATTTAGTGCTGGGTATGTAGACAAGGAAGCTGACTAAGCCTAAACTGCCTAGGTTTAGAAATCATATTACAGATAGATACTACATATATGATATCTGAAACACATCAGGCATATGCAATATATTGGTGCATAGATACTCATACATATATAGCACATATATCATATGTTGTTATTATTATTACTATTAGTATTATTATTAATATTATTACATTAACATATTTCAAATTTGCATTAAAAATAGACATTTGGTAGTGGAAATCACCTAAACCATTGTCTAAACAGAATCCAGAAACACTGCCGCCTTCTCTGGGCCTGAGCTCATTTAAGATGGGCTAAGGCGGACTGAATAATTTAAGTCTGTATTAGTGTGTCAGTAGGAAACAGCATATTTTACATTTCTCAACATTACATTTGCTATGTCTTTTAAAAAAGTAACATTATATATAACGGACCACTTTCTAGGTTAAAGCTCTTCAGGTCTTTGTAGGCATATAGTCCAGTGCATAATAAAACAAATATAACAAGCAGCTGATAATAATCAGTGACGTTATATGCAAATTGAAATAAACTGATTAACTGAAACAGCTATGTAGAGGGCATAATCTGGTTAAGGGTCAACCACACTAAAATGGCGATGTTGTGATAGATGTGGCAGTTTAACCTTCAAATCTTACACTACGGCAGGAGTGAGCAGAGTAACAGGACATAAGGTGGTCATTCTGCAACAGTGAGGCCTCCCAAATGCAGAAATTTCACAGTAGACAGGTGTTCCAGATGTGCTGTCCAAGCTCTTCTGCAGAAGCACAAAAAGAATATGCAAAGTTGAAAACCTGAAATGCAGTGGTTGGCCACAGAAACTGAGTGCAGAAAATGTGAAGTACATCTGGCTTACTTTTCTTTGAAATTGGACAATGTCCAGCACCTCTCTCAGCTCAGAACTTGCAAAAACCACCAGGACCCTGGTACACCCATCCAAAGTTCCAAGATGTCTTGTAAGAAGTAGTCTTCATGGAAGAGCTGCGACCAAAAAGCCACTTAGCTGTAAGATAAACAAAGCCAAGTGACTCATCTATGTACAGAAACACAAGGACTTGAGTTCAGAACAGTGGCAGCTCTGAAGTGATGAGTCAAAGTTTGAAATGTTTGGCTATAACAAAAGGTAGTTTGTCAGCCAAAAGGCTGGAGAGCACTATGTGGATCAGTGTTTGCATTCAGCAGTGAAGCATGGTGTAGGTTCCCTGCAGGTTTAGGGCTGGATTCCTGCAATGGAGTTGGTCATTTGATCAAAATGAATGGCCCCCTCACTGCTGAGAAGTACAGGCAGATTCTTATCTATCATGCAGTACCATTAAGGAGGCATGTGATGGGTTCCACATTCATTCTTCAGTGTGACAGTGACCCCAAACACAAGGCCAAAGTCATAACAAACTCCAGCAAAAACAAGACCAAGGAGCCCTACAATAGATGATATGTCCCCACAGAGCCCTGATCTCAACATCATTGAGTCAGTCTGGGATTACATGCAAAGACGGAAGTGAGACAGCCAAAGTCTGCTGAAGTACTATGGCAGGTTCTTCAAAAGGCCTAGAACCACCTGCCAGTTAAGTACCTTAAAAACTGCACGCAAGTGTATCTAAGAGTATTGATACTGTTATAAAAGCGAAGGGTGATCAAACTAACTGTTGATTTGGTTTAGTTTTTTTTTGCTTATTGCATTTTCTAGCAAGTAAATTATTAAATACAAATTATGCATGTAATTATTTTTTTAAAGCATCCTCACTATTCGTGTAAGTATTTTAAAGATTCTGCTCTTCACTCAGATTGTTTTGCTGATAATATCATTTGTAATGGAAAAAATGTATTACATCAAAAAAGGAAATTGCAAAATACAAGCATTTTCTCAGACTTTTAGATGAATATAAATGGGACATTTTCATTACATATAAGTTTTTCTTGCTCAGATCTCATCTTTCTGCCTGTATGGTTCACATTTGTCTTTGTATGTGACCCATATTTGTATGCAGTGTGAATGGACCTGCACTCTGAAATGACCTGAGTATACACATGCTAATCAACAGCCTCATGTGAATCATCCATGTGCATCATGAACAACAGCATTAAATGAGCGAATGAGCAGCACAGGCTTTCACTGCAAACAATATTAGCCCTGTGTAGCACTCAGCTGTTCGTGATTAGGGGAGATGGTGAAAAAAGGCCAGATGCTTAAATGCTTCTGCTGTTTACTAACAGAAGCTTCAAGCTGCTATTGCTGCTGTGATAGTAATACTTGCATGTGTGGTGGCCAAAATAATCACATGCATTCTGGTCTAGCTGTTCTCATTAAGGTTGTATGTCTACAAATTAGATATGTATGTATGTAGAAACACATATGAAAGTGGCTCAGATCTGAATGAATAAACTCAGATTTTTGTGTCCACACAGCTCTGAAAACATCAGGTCTCTGTACCACTTTCATGCTACGAATCTCATGTTCTACCACATCCCAAAGGTGCTTTGCTGGATTGAGATCCAGTGACTGGGAAGGCCACTGAATAACACTGAACCTATTGTCATATTTATTAAACCAGTTTGAGACGACTTTTGCTTTGCTGGATATAGCCATTAGAAGATGGGTAAATTGTGCCCATGAAGGGATGCACATGGTCAGCAACAACATTTAAATAGGCTGTGGCATTCAAGCGATGATTGATTGGTATTGGGTAGGCCCAAAGTGTGCCAAGAAATCATTTTCCACACCATTACACCACCTCCACCAGCCTGGACCATTGACAAAATTTTTGGTTTTGGTGAGCCAGTGCCCACTGCATCCTCAGCTTTCTGTTCTTGGCTGACAGAAGTGGAACCCCACGTGGTCTTTTGCTGTTGTAGCGCATCTACCTCAAGGTTCAACTTGTTATGCATTCTGAGATGCTTTTCTGCTCACCACAATTGTACAGAGTGGTCATCTGAGTTACCATAGCCTTTCCATCAGCTCGAACCTGTCTGGCCGTTCTCCATTGACCTCTCTCATCAACAAGGTAGTTCCATCCACAGGACTGCCGCTTACGGGATGTTTTTCCTTTATTGCACCATTCTGAGTAACTCTAGAGACTGTTGTGTGTGAAAATCTCAGGAGATCAGCAGTTATTGAAATACCCAAACCAGCCCATCTGGCACCAGCAATCATGCCGCGGTCAAAATCACTGAGACCATATTTTTTCCCCATTCTGATGGTTGATGTGAACATCATCTGAAGCTGCTGGCCTGTATCTGCAAATTATTTTGCACTGCACTGCTGCCACACAATTGGTTGATTAGATAATTGCATGAGTTCCTAATAAAGTGCTCAGTGAGTGTGTATGGCACATAATTAAGTATAGATTCTTACATATATAACACATATAGGACATATTACCTTTACATATAGGTACTTACATATATATAAAACATATGGGACAGACTAATATATATAGGTATTTACATATATTTAACTCATAAGGGACATATGTATACCTCCACATGCTGACAGAGTATAAAAACAAATCTTTATGTGTATGTGTGTTTATATGTTTGTGTGTGTATGTGTAGATCACAGAGCCCATGCGTGTGTACCTGATGCAGCTGTTTGAGCAGTACGTAGAGAAGGGTCTCCAGTTCGTGTCTAAGCGCTGTGTGCAGGCCATGGCTCAGGTGGACATCAGCAAAGTCACCACCCTCTGCTGCCTGCTGGAGGCGCTGCTGTTCAGCGAGGGCTCTCCTAGCCTTAAAATGGTACACTCCATCTCACCTTAGCTCCCGACGTAAACTTCCACCACCTTCATATATGAAATCTGATTTAATATTCTGCACATGCTACCTTAAAATGAAACTGCCCAACGTATTCATGCCCTTTAATAGGATGGGTCAGCGCAGCCTGATTATAAACACAGCTTCATCCTTAGGATTCAGAGCAGAAGAGCTTCAAACAATATCCTAGTAGCCCATTTTAACGTAACTTTGCATTGTTTTGGAAATTATATGTATTACTGCTTTATCAAGTATTATTTTAGCAAGAATTGTTTAACCTTTGGAGTAATTCCCTTTACCCAAGATAAAATCACTGTAACCCACAGCATCCGGCGGCTTTTACAAAACAGTCGCAATATAAAATATGACAAAATACAAAAACATTTCAATAAAACATTTGATTTACAGTTAGTAATAATCACAATAACCAGTTTAGGCAACCATGCACTGCTGAAAGAAGACGGGAATTTTCAGTCAGAATGTAGTCATTCATGAACACTTTATGTTTTTGTCATATAATAATAGAAACCACATTAAATAGTAGTGTCTAATGCAGAAACCTTCGCCTTGTAAGTAGGTTTTGCTCACTGAATTAATGCCACATTGATAATATTGATTTCTACAAGCAGCAACTCTATGTGATTTTCTAGTATTGTCTTATCATCAAGCTAATGGTGTCAAACTTAGCTTGATGATAAGTTCTATGATAAGACACTTAGTTTTAACCACTAACACAGACATTTGCAGCATATAAGATTCTTTTGTTTTCATATTGCAATTTTGCAGTGAATTATTCAGTAAATACCTTAAGTCAGTTCTTAACGTTGAATTAATGGAGTAGCAGTCAAGCCTATTAGCTATTATCTTTTAACCTGTAAACCCTGCTATTTATTAGCATAGTTTTTAAGACTTGGCTTGGAAATGGGAACCTCCATTCACTGAGGCTACAAAGTGGTTAAAATAGTATAACAGTAATGATAACAATAGTGATATAAGTGACAACCTTCTCAAAACAGTGAACTGTATGGTTAAACAGAATGGTTATGGTTAAAGGTGGGATATTCTGAGTTATGAGCTTTCACAATCCTCTAAGTACCATAAAAAAGATGGCTCTTTAAAGGTTCTTTAGCAAAGAAAAGAGTTCTATATAGAACCATGAACACTCAAAGAAATTAAATCGTTCTTCAGATTGATGGAGAATGTGTTGTAGATGGTTTTGATATAGAACCTTTTCTATTATTACTAGCTTGGCATTGTAACAATAGATGGGTTCTGTGAGTGTTCATAGTTCTATATAGAACTATTTTCTTTACTAAAGAACCCTTCAAGAACCATCTTTTTTAAGACTGTAGGTGTGAGTTACAAACTCACTAGTATTAGATAATTATTTTGAATGTTTACCTAAAGTACAACAGGTTCTAGATAGCCAGTCTAAATTACACAGTTAAGCTGACATAGTAAAAGACCACATCATTTTTGGAGTAACAAGGTAATAAATGCTGACATACACTAAATATCACTCCGATGTGATATATTGAAGAAGGAAATTGTGAAGGAAGTGCAGAGTAAGTTATATGGCAAACAATGATGAAACAAAATACAAAGATTTCTGAAGTTTTCTGAAGTAAACTGTGAAGAGTCAGTAATAAACCGTACTTTTTTATAGCCCAGATTCAGTTTTGTTTATAGATAGTAGACAGTTATATACTGCGGAAGAGTCTTTATACTTTATTTGTATATATTGTAATATTTTTATGCCACGTAACTATACTGTGTTGTGGAACTCACCATCATTTTACCTAAAATAATTATCTAGGAGTTTGTACCTCACACTTATCTGGTTAATACCTAAAACCTGAGGGAGAGTAAAAATAAAAGCATTACCATTTTTACTTCATCTATCAATACTTTCAAAAAGTATGTATTGTCACACTTTTAGAGAGCACTGTATGATGGGAAATAAGAATGTAGAACGACTCAAGCATCCATATAAAATGCATAAAACAAAAAAACAAAAAACAAAAAAACAAACACAGTTCATATCCCCCGGGTGCAGAATGACATGATGGAAAACGAGTGAACGTCTCGACCTCAGGCACAAGTGAGCACATTCTAAATGTCCTCTGATGTGTAATGACACTTATTTGCACATTCTGCTGCCTGTACTGTAGCATCACAATAAGGCATATTTGTGTGTGCGTGTAAACAGGACTCCAGCAGGCTGAACAGTGTGCTCTGCCAGACGTTCGTCTTCTGCTACCTGTGGGCGGTGGGGGGCAATCTGACAGACAGCTGCTGGGACGCCTTCGACACCTTCGTCAGGCAGCAGTTTGAGGACAACAATGATGCAAAGGTAAAAGCGGCTATGTGAAACATTACAGTAAGAAGGACCCCACTAACACCTTCATTTTTCAACATTTTCCGCCTAATTCAGTCATGAAGATAAATGTTCAGAATGGTTCTCTGGAGAGGAACTGATTTCTTTACAGTGGTGGTGATATGAACCAGCGGTTATGATCTCTTTGCGATGCAAATATAGCCATTTTGTTTTTATAGCTTTTCTATAAAAATATTTTATATATAGTTTTTGTATGTAATGTTGAAAGTCATAAAATCTGCACAGAACGTTTTCTTTGGGTACTGCTTTGCTTTACAGCAGTCTGCATGTACCACTCCTCTGTGAATGAACTTTTAAAAATTTAGCCCAAAAGCTTATCCCAAACCTACTGAGAAACAGTGTCTCAATGTCATCAAACAGCGCATTCTCAACCTTTCATGTCACATTTTTTAGTAATGTAGCTAATTATTAAATGCAAGTTACCATTAGCTATTCAAGTAACTTTAGTTGAAAATTACTTTGCATTAATTACATAGATAGCTTTTTGCTAGCTAGCCAACTAAATTTAGACAGAAGCTACACTGCATTAAATACCCAGCTAGGTATCACTATTTAGCCAACTAACTTTATTTAACTACACTACATGAACTACCTAGCTGGTTATCACTTACTAGCCAACTATCTTTAGCTAAAAGCTACACTGCATTAGATACCTAGGTAGTTATTGCTAGCTAGCCAACTAACTTTAGCCAAAAACGAAAGTTCAAACTACCTAGTTATCGCTACCTAGCCAACTAACTTCATGACAAAAACTGCACTACAGGAACCCAACTATCTAGTTATTGCTAACTTTAGCTACACCTACACTGCAGTAAATACCTGGCTAATTATTGATAGCTAGCTAACAAGATTTAATCAAGAACTATACTGCATTAACTACCTAGCTAGTTAGTGCGATTTAGCCACCCAACTTTAGCTAAAATCACACTGCATTAACTAGCTAGCTTGCTAGCATGTCTGTATATCTAGTCCATTTTATGAGGTTATCAAAAAGATAGCTGTCTTGTTTATGGACAAAAACCCTTTACCACTTGTAACTGTTTACAACAGATAATTAAGGATAGATCGTTCTACAGAATTGGTTCAAAGTCAGAGTTAAAAACACAATTTAGATTTTTAACTGACTTGGACTTTAGACTAAAATCATTTTGTTTTATCTCTATACCTTAATTATGTTTAATTTATTAAAACAAATGAATGAACATTACATTTTGTCACTAACAAAACATTTGTAACACTCCCGAAACACTACCAAATGTTTCGGTAGTGACTGTTTCGGTTGTGACATTTTTAGCTATTTTTCTGCAGAACTCAAAAACACTAGGCGGTACATGACTATCAAACACAGCTTTGAACAGTTTTATGCATATAAAATCATAGCATTTTTCATTAAAACACAAAAAGTTTACTTTACTGCCGAAAATATGTGTTTCGGTAGTGACAATTCTTAATATTCCACACTGACTTTCAGGCTTCGGGACACATTTACTTCGAAACAATGAGATCTAACTGCTCACCATGTGGCCATGAGGGACAGGGTCTCAGTCTCACTTCCTGCTCTAAAATGCAGGGGTGTGGCTAAAATGAGGCTCCGCCCACAGACTAAAACTCTGTGTTTCAGGGGTGACATAATATTTCATTGTTTGTTTTATAGTGTTTTCGGTGGAATGCTTCAAATACAATACATGTAACTGTGACAAACACCTTGTTGTGAATCAAATCCCGCTGCAGAAAGATCTGTTTAAAACTCGCAGTCATGAAATTATTTACACTGCAAATCCATGTTTTGCTCAGATATAAAGTTCCCTGATGAAAAGGTGATGGTGCTCTACTCGCTCCACTGATCATGCTGCTGCGCCCACAGCAACACTGTCATTCCCTGATGATGATGTTACCATCACTGTCTCTTTATGATAACATCTGGCAGACTCTCCGCTATTTAACTTTTGGCAAAGCGGAGGACATTAAACTGAATGTGACGCGCTTTGGCAGAACGCTCTATTTATAATTTGACGACTTCCTTTGACTCTCCAAAAGACTTTCTAAAGACTCCCCATCTGATAGCAGCCCCTCGATATTTCACGAGAGGAAGACTGAAGAAAAACAATCTGTCCCGGAGCTTCCTGTGAGGATGGAGGGAGCGGGGGGGATATTTATTTCAGAAGGTCAGAGAGGGACAGGTGGAGGCATTAATAGTATTCCATAAAGAAAGAGAGAGAGAGAGAGAGAGAGAGAGGGTCTGAATACGAAATTGACCAGTGGTGGAGACATTGAGGGGGAGAAGGAAGCCTCACTTTAGCCTGAAGGCCTTTTCCTCAGTTTTGTGTCTTATCTTTTCCTTTTCTTTCACTCTGTTTTATGTCTCAAGTTATTTTCTTTCGGTATGAAAGGAAACACAGACAGCTGGACTCTATGTGGTAGAAGTATAATATCACCTCTTAGACAACGCGGAGCTGCATTAATGTTGAAACTAGTTGAAAAAATACATGTAATAGAAAAGCAACGGGGCAGTCCTGATTCAGGCTGTGCTCTTGTGAAAAAAGCATGTATGTGTACTTAAATGTGCACTTAATATGAATATTATATCCTTTTATTGTTTACACACGTAAAACGATGTTTTTTCAAGGGTTCTTTAATAAAGGCAATACTTGCATGAGTTCTTTGCATGATGAAATAGTTCTTCAGATTGATGGAGAATGCATTGTATTTGGTTCGATATAGCACCTTTTTGAAAATGGTTCTATATAGCACCAAAAAGGGCCCTTCTATTGTTACAAGCTTGACATCAGACAATCTCTGAACAAATTCCTAACAGTTCCCAAAGCTACACTCTTAAAATAGATTCAGGGGTTCTTTAGTAAAGACAAATGGTTCTATATTGAACCATGAACGCTCAAAGAACCATTTGCATGCTTAAAGGGTTCTTTGCATTGTAAACAGTTTCTTTAGATTGATGGAGAATGTTGTGTATGGTTCTATATAACACCAAAAACGTTTTTTCTTTTGTTGCAAGCTTGACATCATAACAACAGAAGAACCTTTTTGGAGCTATATAGAACATGTTTCAAAAAGGTTCTATATAGAGCCATATACAACACATTCTTTCACAAGTCAAGGAATGCTTTAAGCGTGCAAATGGTTATTTGAGTATTCATGGTTTCTGTATAGAACCGTTTGTCTTTACTAAAGAACCTTCAAAGAAACATCTGAGTGTAGCGCAAACTGCAGCCAGACTTCAGGACATATTACATAACATTTCAGAGAATGGGCCTTAGATTAACGTACAGTGCATTGCTGAAATATTTATTAAAGGTTGTGGTGCTCCGTTGCATTTTGGCCTCTAACAAACAAATTACTCTTCTTTACTTTCTGCCATTCTGCACTCTTAAAAGTGATGATGCTTCAAGGGCTCTTTAGCAAAGAAAATGGTTCTATATAAACCATGAACACTCAAAGAACCCTTTGCATGATTAAAATGTACATACAGCTAAACAGTTGTGTTTAGAACCGTGAGTTCTATATAGAAACATTTAATGCTCAAACATTTCAAATGGCTCTTTGCATGGTAAAAAATTGTTCAGATTGATGAAGAATGTGCTGTAGATGGTTCTGTATAGAACCTTTTTGACAATGGTTCTCTATTGCACCAAAAAGGGTTCTTCTATTGTTACAGTGTCAGGCTTGTTCTATATATAACCGTCAATAGAACGTTCATGCACATTTTCCATCAATCCAAAGCAAAGAACCATTTCATAATGCAAAGAACCCTTTTAATTATGCAAAGGGTTCTTTAAGTGTCCATGGTTCTGCCTAGACCTATATATATATATATATCTCACTGAATATACTGTGTAAGAAATTGCTATATGTGTCAGGTCATAGTACAGTATGTGTCAATTGAAGCCATAGATGATGAACTCCCAACAGTTTAGAGCACCAGCCAACTAGCTTAATAGCAGCGAGCCTTAAGGCTGTATATTTTGCCATTATTTTGGAATGATTTAAAATGAAACACAAATCATGAGCAGAACTTTGGTTCATTGAGTTGGTTTGTCATTTTTTTATGAACAAGTCAAACATTGTTGCCTTTGTTATTCAAATGTAATCAGCCAAGTAACAAATAAGGATTTGAAAATGCTGAAATTCCTATGAAAAAGATACTTGAACTTTTTTTTAAACATATCAACATTGTTATATTAATAACACGTTTTCATGGTTTAAGTGGGGTCACGCACTTAAGAGCAGCTTCACCATGACTCAGTAATGACCATTCTTTTTCAATACTTGTCAAAGGGCTACTGACCTTGGCATTGCAGCATGAAATATGCAATACCCCTCCCATTCTTTCCTAAAAGCATGTCAGAAGTCCTTTGTTGTCGGTTGTACTGCATGACATTTGAGGAGATCAGAATGTGTAGACAAACGTTTTTCAGTGAGTTGAAAACTTTTTTAATCTGCCCTATTTTTCAATATGATTTTAAAACTACTACCTTCTTATTATAATTCACTTCATCTGCATATACATCAATCGGCCACTTCATAAAAACCACCTCCTTGTTTCTACACTCATCATCCATTTTATCAGCTCTACTTACCAAATGGGTGCCGTTTGTATTTCTACAATTACAGACTGTAGTCCACCTGTTTCCCTGCATACTTGTTAGCCCCCTTTCACCCCGTTTCTCAATAGTCAGGACCCCCACAGAGCAGGTACTGTTTGGGTGGTGGATCATTCTCAGCACTGCAGTGACACTGACGTGGTGGTGGTGTGTTAGTGTGTGTTGTGCTGGTCTGAGTGGATCAGACACAGCAGTGCTGCTGGAGTTTTTAAACACCTCATTGTCACTGCTGGACTGAGAATAGTCCACCAACCAAAAACATCCAGCCAACAGCGTCCTGTGGGCAGCGTTCTGTGACCACTGATGAAGGATTAGAAGATGACCAACACAAACTGTGCAGCAGCAGATGAGCTATCGTCTCTGACTTTACATCTAGAAGGTGGATCAACATGGTCAGAGTGTCTAATAGAGTGGACAGTGAGTGGACACAGTGTTTAAAAACTCCAGCAGCACTGCTGTGTCTGATCTACTTGTACCAGCAACACACAATAACACACTACCACATCAGTGTTACTGCAGTGCTGAGAATGATCCACCACCCAAATAGTACCTGCTCCTTGGTGGTCCTGTGGGGGCCCTGACCACTGAAGAACAGGGTCAAAGGGTCTAACAAAGTATGCAGAGAACAGATGGACTACAGTCTGTAATTGTAGAACTACAAAGTGCTCCTCTATGTTGAGCGAAGCTGATTAAATGGACAATGAGTGAAGAAACAGGGTTAATGAAGTGGCCGGTTGGTGAATGTTTACACTTGATATTTTTTAAATTTTGGACCAAAGTCTTAGATGTGAGAAAAATAAACCAATAGTGAACATGGGATGATACCCAACTTGCAGCAGCTTGTCTTTGTCATTGTGGGCGAATGAGCTAAATCAATGTGCAAGTTAGAGCAAAGAAAAGAAAGAAAAGTAGAACATTTTAAATTAGGGACTTCATTGCTCAAAACAGTTAACGCCCCTTACATACATTTGTTTTAACTCTGCCTGAATGTTAATGGTATTGTATATGTGCCATAGAATTTAGTGTGACCCAAAATAAACTTATTGCACAGTCTATGATGGATTAAAAGTGCGTTGTTTTTTGTTTTGCTTTCAAGCTAATCTCTCTCTACTGCATCTGTATTCATGTGGATTACCCTGGACAGTCATTTCAGTGACTTTCTTTTCAAGAACAGAAAAGTTTGTTACTCAAACAATCTGCCCACGGCTTCCATGGTAATGGGACTGTTTCATAAATGCTGGTGTGTTTCTTTATCTCTCCTCCTGCAGTTACCTAGTGGAGGAGACCTGTGGAGCGTGTATATGGATTTTGAGAACAAGCGTCTGGAGCCGTGGGAGAAAATCATTCCGTACTTTAAATACAATAGAGAGACGCCCTTCTTTGAGATGCTGGTGCCCACCACAGACACGGTGCGCTACGGCTACCTGATGGACAAACTGCTGTCAGTCAGACACTCTGTCCTTTTCACCGGCATCACAGGAGTGGGCAAGGTAAGCTGTGTGTTTGTGTGTGATCCACAATAGAGGCCCTCGAGTGGGGATGGCCTGATCTGTTACTTAGCTGTTTCATAGCTCTTACCTAGCAGTAAACAACATTTACATCTGATCTAGAAGATCCACATCAAGGCATGCTGACCTTTTAGATCAGATGGTTAACCTCTCAAAGTTCTTATTACGTAATAAGTCTCATTATTCAGTAACTACAGGAACTTCAAAACAAACTGGCTGAGTTGTTCTGAGGTTATCCATGGTTTTCTTCTTTTCTCAATGGCAGTTGCCGTGACGTAACAACAGTTCCTCTACAATGGGCTAAACTTCCGTGTAGCGCTTTTCACCGGGAGTAATTACAACGCAGTCGAACTGTCTCAAAAGCACAGAACATTATGTGCTGTCAGAGGGGGTCACAACAGCTATCGCAAGCTTAAAACGATGCTGGAAAATAAATGATACGAACACAAAGGCAAGCACAGATCAGAACGTCAGTGTCCGAGGAAGACGAGGCCAAAATAGCATGGCTAGCGGCACTAAACTTAAAACCCCCCCCTGAAATATTCATGTTTGCTCCTTCCATTTTGTAATGAAAACATAAAAAATGCACAAGAGATACATTCTGATGAACAAAGCGAATGAAGAATGCACACCTGATGGTATTTTAGTCGGCCTACAAAATACTTTCCTACTGCAGTGCTAAACTAATAAACCATTATGGCTACTGTGGCAACATAACCAATTATAATGGTTCTCAGAGTTAATGCATCTTAGCTGGCTATGTGTTCTAGTTTCATTTAAAATCCCTAACCTACCTTCCACAAAACAGCTTTGAGAAATGTGAACTGTTCGCGATTGAAACACAGAATCTTTCCAGTTTTATTGCTGTGTAGATAATTATAAGCTTCTGTGCTTTTATAATTTCTCAGCTCCTCACCGTCAACACCTTCAGAAAAAAGCAAGGTAGTTGATAATGTCAACATACGTGACATCTGGCTAGAGTTTCATATCGTCAGCCCAGACTTGGGGTAGGTTTAATAGATGAGGAACAGACTGGGTGACACCGTTTACAGTTCTTGTTAAACATTCTTGTCCAGGATGCCACCGCGACACAACTTCCATCGTCTTGTGTCCAAAAAGCGAAACCTAGCTAGCTACACAGTTTAACAACTAGCTAATGATAAATCTCTTTAGCCTTGAAGCTAATCCATATGCTATCGATTGTCAACAACAAACTACCGGAAGTCGTGCCCATTCTCATTCCAAAGACGCGCAATGCTTAATGGTAAATGTTGTTGTCTAGGAAAACCGTGGATAGAAGTGTGTAATAAAACTTTGGGCTTGCTAGAAGGCCCTGAATTTTAAAGAGGTTAAGTAGCTTTTTCATTCTTGTTCATTTAGTGCCGTCTTGTTTTTCTGTGGAGTTTTCAGCACTGCTGTCCATCTTTTTACGATTCACATAAGTTGCAAAAATCATAATGAACGCTGTAGAGCACTGCTGCATGTGCAAGATTCACACCATTGCACTGAATTTACCTATTTACCTATTTATTTAGCTTCTGTTCCACTTTAAACAGTGCCTCAGTTGGATAAAAATATGATAAAATATGATGATAATATATGGTAAGTATGTTAATTGTCTATGTTTTTCAGTCTGTCGTGGCTCGTGGCTTGTTGAACAGCATTCAGGAGCAGGCGGGCTACGTTCCCGTTTACATCAACTTTTCAGCACAAACCTCTTCAGCTAGAACACAGGAGATCATCGAGTCCAAACTGGAGAAGAAGAGGAAGAACATACTGGGTACAAACAGATACAGTGCACACAAAACACACAGTATTACATTAAAAGTAAGACGTCAAAGTGAAATTTCTTGGCTGGCAGAATATTTGCCTTTTTTTTGGTTTTGACCAAAAATCTAACGTGTTATGTGTTGGCATTTTCAGCCCAATATTTTAAGTGTCCAAAATTGACAGATGCGCAAAATAATACCTTCCAGCCAATCACAGCCATTCTAGGCACTACTTCCTCCATCAAACGAAGGAAGAACTCCTCAGAACAAAGTGGCCTGAGCTGAAAGTTTGACAGACATAGCAGTGAAAAAGAGAGGCAGAACAAAACGGTCAATTTCTGTCAATTTCTTGTCTTCTTCTGACAGATATAGATACATTGCACCTTTGTTGCACATGCAAATAATTTTTTTGAATGACGTTCAGTCATAACTACAGACAAACAGCACAAAGCTGATAGTGACAACCGGCAATTTCAAGAGCGATGGAAATCAGAATGCTTTTTTTTGTCAGAAGCCATAGCAAATGAGACTGAAATAAATTGAATATTAAAATAAAATCTAGCATGGACGATATTCGGAGACCAGGGGAGAAACTAAAGCAGCTGGAGCTTTTTTTTTTGGCACCAGCAACTTTTTATCAGAGTAAATAAATGCAATGTTACTTCTTCTATACATTTGTGTTCTTCATATTTTCAATACTTAATATTTTCAATCATTTATAAATAGTATTTTGGCAAAGAATGACCTGCCCTTTATTTTGGCAGGGCTGTACTTTGATATGGTCCAATCTGGCCCCTTTTAAAAAAGGTTTGGACATTCTGCCATATGCTATGTGTTCACTGAATGTTCAACTCCTTGTCTATGTGTGTCAGGTGCTCCTGCTAATAAGAAGGTGGTGGTGTTTGTGGATGATCTGAACATGCCAAAGTTGGACAGTTACGGCTCGCAGCCCCCAATAGAGCTACTGCGCCAGTTCCAGGACTTTCAGGGCTTCTACGATCGCGAGAAGTTCTTCTGGAAGGAGATACAGGTACCACATCTATACTGACAATCTAAGGCTATGTTCAAACAGCATGAAAGAGGAGCCCAAATCAGATTTTGATGTTTAGTTGATCACATTATCTTTTTAAAGTGGCCTCTGACGTCAGTTTGAACAGATATGAATATCCACCCAGCATGTTCATCCAACAAACAGTCCTCTGTCTTTCCTAAAGAACAACAAGCAGACACTAAACCAAGCAAAAGATTTTAAAAATAGTCCATTTCTTTGCTTGTTTTAATTGTGAAAGCTGAGCAATCAGAGAAAGGAAGTTTAATTTCTTTTGTTTACCCATCGTGAAAAAGAATGCTGGCAAGAACGCAAACTCAGTGCCCAAACAGCAATATATTATAATTATAACAATAATGTAATAATATAATGATACTGGATAAAAGCACTTGATCTGTGTGAAGCTCTTTTACTTCTCTCTTTTTCCAAACTGCCCTTGAAGTAAAGTTTATTTAGAGCATTTTCACACTTGTTCCAAATAGTTGAGTCCACACCCAGGACCAATTCAGGGCTTGTTTGGGGGAGGGGCTCATTATTGCTGGAGTCAAGTGGTGCTGGGTCTTGAAAAAAAAACTCTAGAGTGAAAACACAGTTAGAATAGATGTTAGTTTGATTTTCTGGGAAGCACCATCCTTATTTGTTTACGCTGCCCGTGCTTGTCTTGTTCCTCTAAAATGTAAGACATGAAGTGTAACCACGGTAACAGGTGTTTAGATGACATCGTGGTAAATGCTCAATTACCACATGTGAAATGATGAAGATTAAGTTGGACTGACATAAAATTCACATGAATTCTGATCTGACTGTGTAGACAGACATTGTATTGCGTCATATCGGATGTGTATATGATTTCAGTACCACATACAAAAGTGTCCCAAATCAGAACTGAAACTGATTCTGTATGTTTTTTTCTGTTCACACTGTCACATGAAAAATGAATCTGTATCACATGTGAAGAAAAATATTGGATTTGTGCCACTTTTAAGTGCAGTGTGAATGTAGTCAATGGATACATATCAGATTTCAGTACCACATATGAAAAAGGGCCTAAATCTGAATCAAAACTGTCAGATTCATGTTTTTCACTGTTCACACAGCCACACAAAAATCTGTGCCATATGTAAAGAAGAAGAACAGATTTGAACCATTTTTGCCTGCAGCGTGAACATAGCCTAAGACTGGTTGTACATGGCTTTTACATAACTTTAATTGCTGAATTTCACTTGTGTTGCATAATATTAAGTTTCCTCGTTTGAAATTTAGGCTGTGTTCACACTGCATTGGCCCAAATCCGATCTTTTTCTTTATATGCGAAATAGATTTTTTTGTGTGTGACAGTGTGAACAGTAAAAACTCTAAATCTGAAAGTTTTGGTTCTATTTTGGGCCTCTTTTGTATACGGTGCTGAAATCCAATGTTTATCTGATACATGGCAATGTGATCTCTGTCTGAACAGTCAGATCGGAATTTACAGATGTAAAGTATAAGTGAAAGCCACATGTCAACACCAGGACAGTCCTGAGTTTGAGCTCATCTGAAATGGACTGATGCGCAGTACAAATGTGGGTTGTGGTCTTACGAGTCAACATTTCAGATTGTTTATGGAAATAATGGACATCCAGATTAAAGTTTAAAAGCCAGGGTCTGTCATGGCATAGGGGTGTATGAGTACGCATGGCATGGGTTACTTTCGCAACTGTGAAGGCATCATTAATTCTAAAATGGCAAAAAATATCCACTTTCAAAACTGGATCAATTGGTGTCTTTAGTTCCTAAACGATTATTAAGGATTGTTAATCATCACACAGTGGAAAACATGCTCCTTTCCCAACTTTTTTGGAATGTGTTGCAGGCATCAAATATGGAATAAGCATATATTTACAGAAGGTAATGAAGTTTATAAGGTAAAACGTTAAATGTAGTGTTTTTGTCTGGTTTTCAGTTTAATACAGGTCAAAGAAAATTTCTGAAACTTTTTACTAGCATTTCACATACCGTCCCAACGTTTTGGAACTGATGTTTGTATTCTTTATAATTGGCCGGATTTGCCGTAGGGTGGTTGAAGAAATTAATTTGTTTTTTTTTATTTGAAGCTAGTTGTTATTTTGAGGATGTGCATACACCACACATACACTTTGTGGTACACACTTCCGAAGGTGTGGTATACTAATTAAGACACACCCCCTGTCTGGCTCCTAGAGGGCTGTATAGAGAATTACGAAGTAAATTAAACTTTTAAGCCAACATTAAAGTAATGTGGGTTGATGGTAACCGTTTGATGTTGCAGCTTTCATTTTAATATGGACCCACCCCTGGACAGGGCACTCATCATTTACTTCTCAGACCAGGAGGGAAACCACACACACACACACATGCACAGATAACACAGCATAGTAAACAAGGCTGCAAGGAGAAACACACACTTCAACAAGGTTAAAGAGGAAAAAAGTGATGCTGCAGTCAAACTAAAGCTCATCAATCTAGCATATGAGTTATGAATCGCAATAAAACAAGGGAATATGACGGTGGAGACGAGAGAGAGAGAGGAAAAGTTGCCCTTGAAGGCGCTGGTTTGATGTATTATTGATTTTTGATAGGTGAACGGGAAATGATTTCCTTTGATATGCCAACATTTCTTTTTATATTTTTTTGTCTTCCTGTCATTTAAAAAGTAATTAATGCTTAATCCCGTCAGTCTGCCGTGCTGCTGCAATATTAACTCAAGTTTAATCAATAATACATTAATTTGCTACAGTAAACGGCTGATAGGATTGATCAAAGTGTCAAAAAATTTTATAGATGTTTCACAAATGACATATTTATCCTCCTCTCTGTTTCTCAGGCAGTTGATTCTCCTCTCCTTCACTCTGTCTCTTCCTTTTATAGTTTCTGCTCTCCTCTTTCCTCTTTTCCTGTTTCTATTTTCTCTTCCTCTCACCACTCCTGTCATCTTCTGTTCTCTTTTCTTCTGTCCTCTTTCCTTTCCTCTCCTATTCCCCCTCTCCTCTCACTTCTTCCCTTCTCTGCTCCTTTCCTTTTTCCCCATCTTCTCTCTTCTCTTCTCTTCCCTTCTCTTCTCTTCTCTTCTCTTCTACTGTCTTTTTTCCTCTTCTCTTTTCCCCTCTCCTCTCCTTCTCTCCTCTCCTCTGCTCTCCTCTCTTCTCCTCTTTCTCTCTCTCTCTACCCTCCTATCCATGTTTCTCTTTTGCATTTATCTCCTTTCCTCTCCTTTCCACTTCTTTTCTCCCCCCTCCTCTCCACTCCTCTTATTTCAACACCCCTCTCCTCTCCTCCTCTCATCTCCTCTTTTTTCTTTCCTCTCCTTTCTCCTCTCCTCTGCTTCTATGCTCTCCTCTCCCCTCTCTTCCTCTTATTTTCTCCTCCTCTCCTCCCCTCTCCTCTCCTCTCCTCTCCTCTCCTCCCCTCTCCTCTCCTCTCCTCTCTTCTAATTTCATCACCACTCTTCTCTTCTCTTCTCTTCTTATTCTCTTTTTCTTCTTATATTCTCTTCTTCATGTCATCTCTTATAAATAAAGCACAAATACCTGTCAACTCATAGTATATTCGCTGAATTAGGTGTGACGTGTGAGTGAATGTTGTGTATGTGTGTTTGTGTAGGACATGACTATAGCAGCAGCATGTGCGCCTCCTGGTGGAGGTCGTAATCCGGTGACCCCACGCTTCATCCGCCACTTCAGCATGCTCTGCCTGCCCACGCCCTCCGAGCACAGCCTCAAACAGATCTTTAAGGTCCCTCACACACACACACAGTGCCTCAGCTGGGAGCACTGTAACATGTTGAATGCACACACAGCCTCAGGCTGTACACGTGTGAACTGTGTGTCCTGCTGTACATGTATTTATAGTGTGGCCTGTTCTCTGCCTCTGTTATTTGAATATCTTAACCCTTTTCACCAGCTACGCTACATACATTTATGTGTGCATCTTCATTTGCGTGTATGTAGATGTCTATATATTTGTACACATGTGTCTGTGCACATGTGTCAGTCTAATGAAAACATAATAATGTACAGTTGTGCAACAGTCAGAGACCCTTTTCAGTTAAATGGCCCCTTAAGTATAAATAAGTAATTTTTCAGCATCAGAAAGTTGGTTGCATTTTCTGCTTCTTACAGTCCAAATAATCTCAAACACATTCAGTGATTTTGAGGTCTGAAATCTGAGGTGGTCAGAACAATGGACTGAGAGCACCAGCTTCTTTGTTTGTTTTGTAAATGTAACAGCTTCTTGTCAGCTACACATCCTTTCAGACTCATAGCGCTGAGTTGTCTTCTCACAGTGGAAGGATGGTCAGAAACACCTGTGGATGTTTTCAGATCTGAAGCAAAAGTGGAGAACATGAGAGTCCTAACAACCACCTGCAAGTCCTGGTAGACCACCTGTCCCCATCAGATAAACAGCACTTAAAGCTTCATCTTTGAGAGAGAGAAGAAAATCAAGCTCCACTCTTACTTCAGATCTGAAAACATCCACAGGTGTTTCTGTCCATCCTTCTACTGTGAGAAGACAACTCAGCAGTATGAGTCTGAAAGGATGTGTAGCTGACAAGAAACTCTTACTGAGAAAAGTAAATAGACAAATAGACAATATATTACATTTGCATTAAATCAGATATTATAGTAATATTATTGACTGGAAATACACAAAAAATACACATAACTACACAGTGTTGTATGTATGTGTTTATATGTCTGCGTATGTGTTTTTATCTGTAGGCTATTTTGAGTGGTTTTCTGAGTGATTTCCCAGCTGCAGTGAAACAGGCTGCGGGCAGCATAGTTGACGCTGCAGTAGAGATCTATCACCGCATGAGTGTTGACCTGCTCCCCACTCCAGCCAAATCCCACTACGTCTTCAACCTCCGAGACCTGTCCAAGTGTGTGCAAGGTGAGATAAACATGCACGTCTTGACTCTTGTGTTATGACAACATCGACTCTCAGGTTCAGGTCTGGGTCTGGTTATTGGAATGTACAGAAATCCAAAAGCATAAGGCGTTTATAGGAATAAAAAATGAGGTAAATTATATATTTTCATTTAAAAAAAGTTTATAACTGATTGTGTTTTAACAACAGAGAATGTCGGGACATAAGCAGCTGATATTCAGTCTCAAGATAAACAAAATGACCACAGCTAAGTGGTACCGATAGTAAGTTTGTAAGTTTAGATTACGCTTGTTTCACAGAGATATGAGTGGTTTATTTATAATATTATCAAATATTTCCTTGTTGGGATCCAGGCATGTGCAAAAGTTTGGGCGCCCCTGGTCCAATTACATTTTGTTGATTGTCTAAGTGAAAGTAAGTTTATTTGTGGAATTTTACATATTGGAAAAAAGTAAAACATAAAATGTGGCCTGTGCAAAAGTTATGACACATTTTATATTTTATGTTTTATTTTCCAGTATTTTTTTCCCAAATCTGCACAATTTGCACTAAAATTAGCAGAAAAATGCCATATTTATATGTCCTCTGTAGAGGATGTGTTAACTTACTTGGAGAATCAACAAAACGTGTAAATTGACCAGGAGTGTTTTTGCAAATGACTATATTTGAATGGCAGTTGTTTAATGTGGCTATTCAAAGAAAAAAACAGTTCAAATGCTCCCTGCTTCAGTATTCATGGCACATTTATTCCTTTGAGAAGAAAGATGCAAAATCTTTCTGACTCATCACTTTATTGCTCAAAACAGCTCTTGTGTTCAAACGCTTCTTCTCACCCTGCGGCCTATTAGAAACTCTCTCTGAATCCCCCCTCCAGTGGCCAACAAAAGTGCTCTCTCATGATTTGTGAGGTGCCTGAGGGCCAATAAAAAGAGCCTCCTGTGGGTTAAGACCCTCCCACAGGCTGAGCTGATAAAGCAGCAGTTTCGCTAAACAGGCCAACACACGCTGAGGCCTGTTTAATTGTTATTATTTACCAAACGCTTCAAAGATAACGGCTAAGGTCATTTCTTACTGTGTCTCTGTTAGTCGGTGATGTCAGAATTCTTCACAGTGGTGGTGATAGAACATGTAATGCCTCTAAAAACTACATCACAGGAGGCTATTATATGTAATGGTTATGAATATTTTGCCTTGTGCCGAGACAATGCTTTTACTATAGTTTTGGAAAATGTTTTGGCTTAAAACATAAATGTAAAACCCATTTGGGGTGGAGGGGTACACAAAGAGCATTCTCAGGCAAAAAATATACTTTTTTCAGATTTTCCACTATTTTACCATCGTCCACATTCCATATAAAAGCTCAGAAGACACGTATAGGGTTATTGGCGACCCCTGGTCCTATCACCACCACTGTAAAGAAGTCTGGTAGTTTCGCTCTCACATTTAACCACTCTGCATGACTTTGTTAACAATTAAATTATTAAAATTGCAATTAAGGCAAATATTAGCAGTGAAATAATGTATTAATTTCTTTACAAAACAAAATATTCTCATTATTTTTTAAGGTGTACATTTGTGTGACATTTTCTCTATTTCTGAACTAAAATCAGGCCTGTCACTATCAGTTGGTATCACTTTGAATTTCAGTTTATATTGGTAATTGACTAATCTGGATATTAATATTTCTTGTGTGTTCAACAAAAGACCATAATGGAAATCTAGAACACTCACAGATATAGGCTTAAAAAAAGCCTTTCATCATAAAAACAGGGGAAAACTAAAAGTTTTGTTTTGATAGTGAGTCCAGTCACCTTTGAAACCAAGAGATAGAAATTTAACACAGAGCTTTGAGCCCTAGACTAAGGGGAAATGGTCACAGAAGCACCATATGAGGTCAAAAGTTATAAACGGGAATGGTAAATTTTAAACATGTACAGTCAGCCCAAACTGAATGTCTGCTGCATACCACCTAACTAATAAACTATAACTACAATTTCAGCAGCTCCCTGTTTTGTTCCCTGTTTCCCCACATAACATGCATGAACATGCATGTCGGATGAACAAGTTTGTCTTTGGAGAAAACTACCGCCCACTTGAGCTTAAAAGCAGCATATGCCATTAAAATTACAATGTCATACTCATGTATTTAGCTAAAGGCTGCACGCTTAGCCTTAGAACTCTCCCCAGCTACAGTTTCACAAGGCTGTATGTTTATTTAAATGACTGAAGCAAGAGATGGCCAATGTTTACACAAAAAGAAATAGATGAATATAAGTTTATCTGTTTGGCTATAGTTTTGAAGGAAGGACACTCAGCATGATGAAGCTGTTCACATCCTGGGTCATTCATTTGGCCAGTGTAGCTAAGGAACTGACACCAGCTGGACAGTGGAAACAGACTACGGGCTGGCTAAATAATGCGCCAAGTCATCAATACTGAACGAGATGTATGATTACTAAAGTTATTTTAATATATATTCATATAAAAGATTTACGCTTTGAACTTTCATATCATTGCTGCTATCTCGGTGAGCAGAATTCCTGTCTATCTCCATATCTGAGTGCCCCCTTGTGGAGAAATTTCAGACTGCTAAACATGTCTTTATAATAATCTGTGGATTCTATGTATATTAGTCAAATTGCAACTCACTAAGCTGATTCATCAAGAACGTACATTTTAATCAGTTCAATTGTTAATCGGTTTTAAAAGAGTGATCATGACAGCCCTAATAAACATAAAGAAAAAACATTCATGAGTGTTCAAACTTGTAGCGTATTTCAGGCTAACAGGTTGTGTGTATGTGTGTGTAGGCATGTTGCAGTGTGAGCCCGGCACTGTGCCGGACCAGAACCAGATCTTCCGTCTCTTTTGTCACGAGTGCCAGCGTGTGTTCCACGACCGACTCATCAACAACGAGGACAAGACCTACTTCAACACCATGCTGTCTGAAATGGCCAGTAAGAAGCTTTAAATGCCTTCACCCACCACAATAGCCATGTTACATACCAGCCATGCTTCCTCCATGATTGGCCGATCAATTGATTGGCTGATTAATTGATTTTAGAGTTGCAACGAATGCTTATTTTTAGAGAGTTAGGCCTTCTGTTCAGGCCATACATTTCAAAATTTACTTCTACAATAGGACTAATTTCTGCTAGCACCCCTATGGGATTTCTAATAGTATGTTAGCTCTAAGCTAACACATTACCGTTTTTTTTGGTTGTTCTAGATTAAACACTTTTAAAAGACATTCCATATATTTTTTTGAGGTTTGTAACAAATATTACCACATTTTAGCTTGAATCATTCAGTTTTACGGTGACCCTTTTAGTAAAGAGCCGTGGCATTGAGCTGCCACTGTTTTCAACTTGGCTAGACTACGATTCACAGTCAGTGACGTATCTAGAACTTCTAGAAGGCCTGGGTAATGTTTTTCTCAAGAAATCCATCCCACACATTAGAAATCCATACATGATTGGGTGATTCCACTGTCAGCTCCTAATTATATTGGTAGTTAATCTAACAAGTAAGGCCTTCAATTCATCTTCTGAAGTCCTAACCAATGAGAGAATGACAGACTGGCTTGGCTGTATTGCCTGATTGGACAATTTTCCTTTTTAAGATTTTAACCCTTTTGTTTCCAACCAAAACATAATAATGCAGTGAGAGTATTACTACAATAACAAGGGTGTTTTTTAGGTGCCAGATTTATTGATCACTGCATACAGATGTTCCACACTGTACTAAAACGTGAATCATTTTAAACTAGTTGTGAGGGCACTGAAGCCAAAGCTCTGAGCTGTCCCACAACATTGCCAGCCAAATGTATATGAAGAAGCTAGCTTTCCCCTTTTACTCTCCAGTCTCTCTATGACTTTTAGTCATTACGCTGCTCCCAATCTGTCTAAATTTTAACAAGCTGACAGTGTCTTCATCGTGCCTTTCAGGTAAACATTTCAGCATCAGTTTGGAGCCCAGTTACTTTGCCAAGCAGCCCATCATCTTTGGAGACTTCATCAAGGTAACGATGGAACTTACACTAGTTTACTGCTGTCACTTGATTTTTTTTCTGAAAAAAATGATTAAACGAATAAAGAAAATGGGGCTCCTCACAACCACCTGCAAAACCCGGTAGATCACCAAAACTGTCCCCCTCAGAGGAACAGCACTTGAAGCTTTCATCTTTGAGAGAGAGGAGAAAATCAAGCTCCACTCTTACTTCAGATCTGAAAACGATCCACAGCCATCCTTCCACAGAGAGAAGACCACTCAACGCTATGGGTCTGAAAGGATGTGTAGCTGTCAAGAAGACCTTACTGAGAAAAGGAAATGGACAAATCAAACAAAGAAGCTGCTGTTGCTCTTAGCACAATGGACTGACCACCCCAGAGTTCAGACCTCAAAAAACCCTGAATGTGTTTGGGATTACTCGGATCATGAGAAGCAGAAAGTTGAACTAATTTCTAAGACTGAACTTTGGAGGTGATGGAAAAAAGAACCTCAACAGATTTCTTTGAAAAACAAGTATTATATTTAGTGCTGGATTTCCGCTTTGACTGGAGATATAATTAATGACTGGAGGTCTCTGACTTTTGCACAGTACTGTATTTTGCCATGATTCAAATGATTCAAATTAACCCCTTGAGCCTTAGGCATATAATTCAGTTATATGCCCTAGACATACCATTCAGTTATAAATCATATAATTTAGTATTCAGTACCTACTTTCAAACTAATTTGCAAGTTTTGTAGTTATGAGAGTGAGAACTGAAGCATAGACTTACCCTTTTAAGAGGTTAGGAGAGACAGACAGCCTGTTAAGATTGTTGAAATTATGTTTTATAACTACCCTGTTTAAACGTGGAAAAGTATGAATGACAAATTGGATGATGTCCTATTGCACAGGTGGGATCAGATAAGGCAGACCGTGTCTATGAGGACCTGATGGATATGGAGAGGATCCGGAATGTTCTGCAGGATTACCTGGATGACTACAACATGACCTTCGCCAAAGAAACCAAGCTTGTCTTCTTCCAGGATGCCATTGAACATGTCTCCAGGTAGCAAAGCCAAAAGTTTGTAGATTTTTGTCATAAATTTTAATCAAGCAAATAGGAGCCTAGAAATACAACTCAGACCTGGAATCTAGACATCTAGAATCTATTTTTAGTGATTTAAATTGATTGATTGATTGATAGATAGATTGAAAGTTTCACTGTGTGAAGGCTGCTGTGTGCTGTTTGATTTCCAGCCTGTTATTTCCTGTCTTTTTTTTTTAATAGGATTGCCCGTATGATTCGACAAGAGCGCGGCAATGCCCTCCTGGTGGGCGTGGGTGGCACTGGGAAGCAATCTCTCACACGACTGGCTGCACACATGTGCGGCTACCGCTGCTTCCAGATTGAGCTGAGTCGAGGCTACAACTATGACAGTTTCCATGACGACCTGCGGAAACTTTACAAGATGGCAGGCGTGGAGGGCCAGGATATGGTCTTCCTCTTCACTGACACTCAGGTACAGTCAGAGAGGATGTGTTCCAAATCACCACTTATGCCCTGCATAGGATACTACCCAAATCTTATTCTTTACACAGGCTCAGTATAGCACTTATCCAATCATAAAGCACATGATAACGACCCTGAACTACAGTCAGAAAATCAGCATCCAAATCAGCATTTATGACTTATGTAGGGCACTGTGTAGGCCAGGGCCCACCAGCAGGCCCTATGTTTTACTGCACACTTCTATAACCTGAGAATAACTCAGCTAGTTTGCATTGTAGTGTGTGTAGTTACTGAGTAATAAGCATTACTATGTCATAAGGCTGGGATTTTAAGGGGTTAACTGAGATTTCATTACCATGGTTACTTCCTTAACCAAGACTGTTCACCTGGTTAACCAAGCTTGATTACTGTGGTTATCTGGTTAACTGAGAATGGTCAGCATGGTTACTCGGTTAATGCAGTTTATACAGGTTTGTCAATCAACTGAGGCTGGTCACCGTCATTACTCAGTAAACTAAGATTGGTTACCGTGGTTACTCATTAACCCGAAATTGGTTACCATGGTCACTGGTTAACTGAGATTGGTCACTGTGGTTACTTGGTTAAGCAAGGTTGATTACCATGGTTACTCAGTTAAGCAAGATTGGTCACTGTGTTTTGTTGGTCAACTAAGGCTGGTCACTGTAATTACTCAGGTAACTAAGATTGGTTTCCATGGTTACTCATTAACCAAAATCAGTTACCATGGTTGCCGGTTAACTGAGATTGGTCACACTGGTTACTCAGTTAATTGGGATGGGTTACTCTGTTAACTGAGGTTGGTCATTGTGGTTACTCAATCAACCTGGATTGGTCACTGTAGTCACTCAGTTACCTGAGACTGGTCACTAAGGTTACTTGGCTAATGAGATTGGTCACCATGCTTACTCCATTACCTGAGATTAGTCTCTGTAGTTACTCAGTCAACTGAGGCTGGTCACTGTGATTACTCGGTTAACTAAGATTAGTGTAGACAATGTACTGTAGGTTCAATAATCTGCGGTAATGGAGCATTACATGGTGTACAAGTTAAATGTGGTCCAAACCAATCCTTTTTCTGTAGCACTTTTTATGAGTGCATACTTTATAAAGAGCAGATGTGTGAACATTAGGGACTGACTTATTTCTTGGCTCACCTTCATCTTTGAGGAAATGGTAATGACAATGAAATGGCTTATACGTATCAAGAATAGTAATGGCATCAGTTTGACTCTGATCAGACTGAAGGGAATCTTGGTCTTATTTGTAATGTTCTTGGATTTCCTGCAGGATTTGTAAATATTAAAAATTTGGCTGAACTATGAGATACTTAATTTGGTAAAGGCTGCATTACCTACCTGGGCTGGGTGATATAGTTAAAAACTATATCTTAATATATTTCAGCAATTTGGCCATAAACAGTATATATCTAGATATCATATTCAAACAGGGATTTAGTCAAAACAACAAGAGTTTGGATTTAACTGCCTAAATGCTATGAAATATGCAAAGTTGGATGTAAACAAATACTTTTTTTACCGATTCAGTCACTCCCATTGAATGCGCAGGGCAGTGGTGTTATCCACTTTGCTGTCCAACCTTTTCCTTATCACTTGAGGTTTCCATTTTGCGTAAGAAACATATTGGTGAAATGAGGGGATTTTCTCAGGGTTCTTTGAAAAACTGAAAGCAAGTCTCTGAAAAAGACTGAAAGTTGTAATAAAACATGAAATACTGAAAAAATACAGAATGAACAGCTACAGATCACTTCTTATGCTAGCTACACACAATAATACATGTTAAACCTTTTGTATTATTTTTGATAGCAATATTTAAAATGTTGTTGTTGCAATAGTCAAATAATACTTGCTTTAAAAATGAAGGCATTTAAACAGTGAAAGGGTAAAATTATCCAGCTCTAATTGATGCCCAGTCCTGCACTGTACCACCCAATTAGACTAACAGCTCCCTTCTTTCTTGAGCTCATTAGTCAAACCAGAGAGAACTCAGGCTTAAAACGAATGTCCACAAACCCTGCAGAGCTCAGAAAGCTGAAATGAGAATCTATGGCTAACTTCAACATTCAAAGCTCCTCTTTCTTATAGTATCTTAGAGTATAACTAATTCATTCCTGATTCTTTATGGATAACTGGGACATTCATGTAAATGCAGGCAGTGCACTGTTCTTTCAGTGGAGTTGAGAGTACAGTAGGTCGAGTTCCATAAAGCTCTGCTGTTCGCTCACCTGTATTCACTCCGTTCTTTAACTCTGACTTACTGCCAGAAGGAGTAGTGATGCTCGAGTCAAATGCAGTGAAAATATGAAGAAAGGAGTTCAGTTAGATGCTTTTACCTCCACTACGTTCACACTGCAGGTAGAAGAGGCTCAAATATGATATTTTTATGACAATTTACAGCAACTTTTTTTCAGTCAGAGACTCAAGACATCTCACCTCAGACACTTAAGACTCAGACTCTCAAGACTCAGACTCTCACCTCAGACACTAAAGACTCACACTCTCACCTCAGACACCAGAGATTTAAACATCTCACCTCAGACTCTCAAGACTCAGACTCTCACCTCAGACACTCAAGAGTCAGGCTCTCAAGACTCAGACTCTCACCTCAGACACTCAAGACTCAGGCTCTCACCTCAGACACCAGAGATTCAGACTCTCACCTCAGACACCAGAGATTCAGACTCTCACCTCAGACACTCAAGACTCAGACTCTCACCTCAGACACCAGAGATTCAGACTCTCACCTCAGACACTCAAGACTCAGGCTCTCACCTCAGACACTCAAGACTCACACTCTCACCTCAGACACCAGAGATTCAGACCCTCACCTCAGACACCAGAGATTCAGACTCTCACCTCAGACACTCAAGACTCAGACTCTCACCTCAGACACCAGAGATTCAGACTCTCACCTCAGACACTCAAGACTCAGGCTCTCACCTCAGACACTCAAGACTCACACTCTCACCTCAGACACCAGAGATTCAGACTCTCACCTCAGACACCAGAGATTTAGACTCTCACCTCAGACACTCAAGACTCAGACTCTCAAGACTCAGACTCTCACCTCAGACACTCAAGACTCAAACTCTCACCTCAGACACTCATGTCTTGACTGTGACTCGCACATCAGACACTCAAGACTCAGACTCTCACCTCACACTCTCAGGACTCGACTCAGACTCGCACCTCAAACACTCAAAACTCAAATCAGACTCATATTGAGCAACTTGTAAACATCTCTACTGTTAGGACTTTTAATGTTGTGCAGTGTCCCCAAGGCTTTAAAGAAATTGATGTGTTTGTAGATAAAGGAGAAGGCCGGTCCGACAGCAGAGAGTGAATTATAATGATAATGTGTGTGTGTGTGTGTGTGTGTGTGTGTGTGTGTGTGTGTACAGGCAACAGATGCAGCTCAGGTACACAGTGGGGAATGGCCTATGATGATTTAAACAGAACAGTCTACTCTCATTATGCTCTCTCATTTGCAGCTTGTTATACAGTGCTGTGCAAAGGTCAAAGACCACTGTTCATGTATTTAATTTCCATTTCCAAGTTATTCATTTTACTTGCATGAGGAAGGGCAAAGTCAAAGGAGAAAACAGGAAAACAAAAAATGTTTAAAAGAGAAAATGTAACCCCTAACAACCACCTGTAAGACCTGGTAGACCACCAAAACTGTCCCCATCAGATAAACAGTACTTAAAGCTTTTATCTGTGAGAGAGAGGAGAAAATCAAGCTCCACTCTTGATTCAGATCAGAAAAAATCCACAGCCATGGGCTGACCACCCCTGAAAATGCAACCAACTTCTAAGAATGAACTTTGGAGGTGTGGAAAAACATCTCTGCAGATTTCTTTGAAAAACTAAAAGCAAGTCTCCTGTAAAGAATGGAAGCTCTACTAAAAGCAAAGATGAACATACTAAATACTGAAAAAAATATATTCTGTTTAGTTGTTGAGGCTTCTGTGATTTTCTATTAAATATATGTTCTCTGCTTTTTTTCTGGTCCCTAACTGAATGACCATTCTGACTGGAAATTAAACAAATTTTAGGATGATCTTTGATTCTTGCACAGTATGTGTAAATCTTCAGCTTGTAGATGAGCTGGATGTTTCTGTTACGCAGCTGCCACTTTAAGCTCAGCCTTATCTCTCTTAGCACAGTCCCTTCTTATGAGTGACATCTGATCGAATGGCAGGTTTAATTCCTCATCTGTTCGATCGGGGCACAAACCTGACGTCTCCAACTAATCCCACATGCTTAGACCTTCTGAGCGGAGCTGACCTTTCTGCTATATAAAAAACGTACAGATGCTTGTCTTTTTTCTCAGAGGGCGAATAAAATAATGTCGAATTTTTGCTGTCTGAAATATTGCATTTGGTGTGCAAGACATGTTATACACTTTTTCACATGTTTCTTTAGGCCTGTGAGCTCCTTTCTCCAGTAATGTATTTCAGCATGTTAGGTAATGTTATGACACCACAGAAAAGCATGCTTAAATCAGAGAAAACGTTTGCTTTTCGGCTGAGAAACCTGTAGGCTAGCTTTGTCCATGCTCATATTTTGGTAGTTCTTGGTGTGGTTTGGTAGTTCTAGCTATAGGTTTAGTAAATAGTGTGTTTACAGCTTATAGATCGCTTCTTGTCAAAGTGATAAAACATCTAAACCTTACTATATGAAGGCAGCTGCAGCTGTAGCGTTCTTTTACTGTTATACCTATCTTTTACTGTTAATAATCTTGTAATGAGAACATCTGGGGACAACCATGAGACACTTGGGATAAATATTGGTGGGAATGTAGACTTAGTGGGAACAAACTCATAGTGAAATTTCTAAACCAATCCAACACTTTGTGAAGGCTGGAGCTCCAAGCAGGGGGGCGATGGTGCGCTCGTCAACATTGTCCGATGAAGCCTGTTGTTAGCCCATGGATGTAACATAAGCTAGCTTATCTGAAAAGTCCCTTCAGAAAACTCCAGTTAAGCGTGTGCTGAGAACACATTATAGGCATTACCTCCTGCAAGAGAACAGTTCCATTAGCTAACAGTAACGTTCCGCTAGCTAACTTGTTTGGCTTATGTTATTGATTGTAGTCTGGATGTTAATAGCATGGACTAGAGGGATTTGTGAGCTGGTTTTAGAGGGGACGTTGTCTTGTTTGTAATGCATATCTGGTCCCTGACTATTACTGTTTTTGTAGCCTATTGTTATTAGGCCATTAAAAAATAATATGCTTCATCTTTTCTATTAACCTTCTTGTAACCACAATGTCAAAATCATTTAAGCCCTCATTCACTCATAAGGGACGGCAGACTGCTCATGGAAAGCTGGAGCATGGCTTTATCACATTTACAGGCACGCAGTAAACAAGACAAAATCCTGCCTTGCTCTGCTACACAGCGCTCTGGAGACAACGTATTTAGACTGATAAGGGCATCAAAATAAATGCTGAATAATTCATAAAAGAATACAAAATTATGAGACAAATATGATGAAATATAATTACTTTTTTTTCATCTTAAAGCCGCTATTGGCACTTTTCCTGACATTTAAACTGTCTAGCTTGATTGTTAGTCGTGATGGATGAAATTTGCAATGCTAATGTCAGACAGCTCAAGCCTAGTTTGACTGTCTGTCTGACTGTATGTAAGCATGTAAGTCGTTGGTTTGTGCAGGAGTTTTCCTTTTAAATAAGTGCCTCAGCCTGAATTCAATCAAAAAAAATGGTGGGGCATTGCCCCAGGGTTTTAAAAAAGTGGCAGGTCAAGTGCCAGCTTGGTCCGTTGTTCCAGTAGTCATGGTTTAGAAAGCAAGATTTGTTGTCATTTATCTTAATTTTCCAGTTTAGTAAACAATTAACCATTGTAAAGCAAAGGTTCTGCCAAAAATCAACAGATTTACCTCACATATAGTTGACGAGACGTTTGGTGTTTGAGGTTTGCTTCTTTCATTTTACACTGGAGTTACAAGGCTAATGTAGCTAACAGTGGGGTAATTGTATTTGATTTCTGGTCAAACATTACTTTAAAAGAGTAACGTAGAAAGATATTTGTCGGGTGGTTCTATATATCACATAGTATCTTATTTATTATAAAGTTTTTGGCTGATTCATAAACTTCTCTGTGTGTCTGTTTGAAGAGTTGCTTCAGATGGGATAATAGAACCATTCATTTCTTTACAATTGCAGAGAAAAGAGTGGATAAGATTGACTTTTTGGTCATGGAACTAGCTGCAGAATTGCACCCCCAGTAGTTTAGCCAATGATATTTAGAAGCCTCCTAAAAGACAACAAACACATTAATAAACGTCTAGAAAATTAAGACCTTCAGAGTCACAATGTGAAATAGCTGACACTTTTTTTTTACCAAGATGGAGGTGAAGCAGTTCATGATGAACATTAATAACCATAGCCAACTCATGAATATAAATAATGATGTGTTCCTTGTTAGATTAGTGTGAGCTGATTAATTCCAGCGATGGAGGAGTTCCTGTAGAACACCAGTGACATACTGAACTCATGATTGTAAAGGTGATTAACTGTGGTAAATTAGCTGAGTGCGATGTATCTCGTCCAGGCTGGACTTATTATTATGAAATGGTTTAACATGTTGAACTTGCTACCTGAGCCTCCGTCTGATGTATCTCTCTTGGCTGTGTTCAGATTGTGGTCGAGGAGTTTCTGGAGGACATTAACAACATGCTGAACTCTGGAGAGGTGCCCAGCCTGTTTGAGAAGGACGAGCTGGAGTATGTTCTGGCCGCTACACGGCCCAAAGCCAAAGAGGCCGGCATCGCCGAGGGCAACCGCGATGAGGTATGGGCTGGAGAAAACAGGGAACATAAGGAGTCCTTACATCATTCATTAAGCCATTCCATCCAACCATCATTCATCCCTTTGTTGAACTTTATGTATGTACTGTATGTGTGTACATGTGTATGATTCTCTCCACGCCCAGGTCTTCCAGTACTTCATCTCTCGTGTGCGGGAGAAGCTGCACATTGTGTTGTGTATGAGTCCAGTGGGCGATGCCTTCAGGTCACGATGCCGTATGTTCCCTTCTTTGGTCAACTGTTGTACCATCGACTGGTTTGTACAGGTCAGCATCACCAGCCCCTGCATTTAAACCTGCTACTTAGTCAGTATTGATTAACTTGTGCCATTCACTGCATGACATTTATTTACAATAGCATAAAGGTTATATTACTAATACCAGTCAAGTACTGTATTGCAGGACTTGCAGTGTTGTAGGCCTGAGCTTTATAGCTAAAAACATTTTCTATATCATTAACTATAGATAATTATTGATAATTATTAAGTGAATTTTCTGATTAATAAATTACATGTCTGAAACACAATTTACTTTATAGCTGCAACAGCCCAGTAGCATCTATAATAAGATCAAATTGCGCTTTTGCCTCATTGTGTTTGCATTTATAGGAGTTCCCATCTCAAAAAACTCAAAATAATAGGAGATTATAGTAACGAAGCACCTGTTCACATTTACCGAAGCTGATAGTAAACACTGACTGTGCACTGTTTAAAGCCTGTGATAAACTTCTTACATTATTCTTACTTTGATTAAGGAAATGAAAAATCTGAAATTGTTTTAGTAAAACAATATTTTAAACTGCTGCTGCCCACTGGCGAAAAGTGTCGGTAGACTGTCAGTAATGATCGCCTCTTTTAGTAAACATGCTCCTTATTTTGGGTGCTCTGTATGACTTCTTATTTAAGAAAATTGAACAGTTTCACACAGTAGAGCCTTGTTGTGACAGTCTCCTCTTGTTCCAACACCACCTCTTGCTTCTCCAAGCTCTTAACTCTGCAGACTGTCCCATTGGTTTATGGTGCTGTGAGTGAATGGCTAGACTTATGCTACCCCATGTAGTGAACAAAAGGACATCGCCACCTTGTGTACTTAAATAGCAGTTATTCAAGCTTCAGCCTTGTGCTGCTAATATCGTGTTGAGGAACATAATAGCAGAGTCATTTGATCGTAAATACCTCGAATGATTATTAGATTATTCGATTTTTTGATCTCAGTAATTAGCATTACTATTTTATTGCCCGTACCGGCAGTGCAGTCTAGATCCCAGAGCATTGTTCACTACAAATCCAACCTCATTCTCACAGTGTATCTAAGTGCTTTATCCACCTTTGAAATGCTTTTCTTATACTGTACACTGTCTTTTAACATAAAAGCTGTTCATTCTTTGCTGTCCTTTGGACTGTAATGTGGAAGAGTGAAGTGTAATAGTTGTGGTAAATCGCTCACCACTCTAAGGTCAGTATCCCCATATGCCTTTGGCAGTGGTCTCAGTGACATTACTGTCTGTGGCTAAATGAAGAGTGATGGATGTAATTGTGTCTGGTGTCGTGTCCTCAAAGCAAGCGTGCAAGAGCAAGAGAGAGAGAGAGAGAGAGAGAGAGAGAGAGAGAGAGAGGAAGCGTGTGTTTGGCTGGCATTCTAATTGGCCACAGACGCTTTAGGGCCTCTTATTATTTCATGCATACATCGGCTTCTGCCTGCATCTATCAATCTCTCACCCTCTCTCTCTCACTCTCTCTCTCTCTCTCTCTGTTTCTCTCCTGTTTCTCTCCTCTGTTCGGCGGGCTAACGAGGCACATGCTGACTGATCTCCGGCTGTTTGGACAAGAAGGGTGTTGGGATAATCACTGCCAAGACTGTGTGTGAGGGTCTCTGTCTATGTACTTGTCTTTTTACATAAGTACACTATATATATATATATATATATATATATCTATATATATATATGTATATGTTCTTTTATGTGACATGGTTAAAGATTGACCCCCCTCATTACCTGAAATGGCCATGACCCACTGGCAGTTTTGAATGCAGATTTTTTTGCCATTTTTTCATAATGCAAGTCTTTAGCTACACAACCGTATGGGATCTTTATTGTCGTGTTTTATCCTTCATGTGCCACACATTTTCAATGGGAGACAGCCCAGTCTAGCACTTGCACTCTCTGATTGCACAGCCATGCTGGTTTAACGTGCAGAATGTTTCTTGCTATTGTCATGTTGAAATAAGCAGGTACACCCCTGAAAAAGACGGAGTCTAGAAGGCAGCATATGTTGCTCCAAATGTGTACACATTTTTCAGCGTTAATGGTGCCTTTACAGCTGTACAAGTTGTCCATGTCATGGGCACTAATGCTCCCCCATACCCTTTTTGACAGACCCTGGCTTTTGAACTTTATGCTGCTAACAATGTGGATGATCCTTTTCTTCTTTGGTTCAGAGAACACAACGTCCATTATTTCCATAAATAGTCTGAAAGATTGACAGCATGTGTTTTCACTATGCATCAGTCCACTTCAGGTTGCAAATTGCAAGTGGTGAACCTTGACCCATCCTTGCTCATGAAGGACTAGGCCTTCACTGGATGCTCCTTTTATTTCCAAGCATGATCAACTACATCAAGATTTTGTAACATTTCTTTACTTTCCTAGCCCTAAATTGCCCAGTCCCATCTTTTTTGGAATGTGTTACAGGCATCAATTATATTTTTAGTTCTTTTAAGTGATTTCAGTAAGTAAAATGATTTCACAGTACTGCCAGATAATTTTGCTTGTACTAAGAAATAAGCTTCAGACAAGCAAAATGATCTGCCAATGTAGTGAGATAATTTGACTTACTAAAATCACCTAAAACAAGTAAAAAATGTCTAGAAGTAAATCATCTTATAATAAGCATATTAGGTATATATTATATAACATATATTTAAAATAATTTCAATTGACAAGATACTATTTTTTGCAGTGCATTTCAGTTTAAATGAGCTTGCATGCTTACTTGTTAAAAAAAATTGTTTATTCAAGAATAAAGGAAGTTTAATGCATCTTTTATACAGGAATAGAAAACACTTTAACACACAGAAAGCTCAGATTCTACACATTGATATGTTTCACTGTGGCCGATGTGAACATGAACACACTGTAGTACCTCTGGCTGCAGATATAAAAGAGTTTAAGGCGCTATTCTCTGAATGGATCTCTGGCAAGATGCTCGATTCAATAGGGTCAAGTGGTTAAACGGTAGATTAGGTTGTTCAGAGTGGTTTGATGTGAAATGCTCTGTTAATAACTTAATAACTAAGAAGTGGTGGTGATAGGAACCAGATGTGTGAAGAGTTTAATGCCTCTAAAAGCTCCCTCTCAGAGAGTCATTACATGAAAAGGATATGAATACATTACCTAATGCATGAAATGTTGTTTTATTATAGTTTTGAGATATATAATTCAGGGAACTTTTTTACACGTGTAGGTTCACTGGTGGTTTTGGATAGTAAATAAAATGATTATATTTGCGTTGTAGACATTGTAACCCTTGGGGCCGTATTAGTCCTAAGTTAAGATCTGACAAGCTCAAAATAGTAACGTCCTCTCTTAATTTAAGAATTATATCTTACTTTTCAGCATCTTATTTCAAGTTAGCAGATCCTAATCCACTCAATCATGGTTGATAATCAGTTGTTACAATTGTCGCAGTGTCTGTTTTCAAAGTGAGCCTCACACCTGTAGTAAAAAGTTCAGAGCAGTGCAGAGAATGGTTTTTATGGATGCTGTAGAGAATTCTGAAATGAAATGTCTCAGTGGCATCTATAACAGCCTTTTCTTAAGCTCTGTAATGAACTCAAGTGCTATAGGTTTTACCATTACTGAAAAACACCTACTAGCATCTGAACATAATAGATTATTGAAACTTGAGTCTACAGATATGTAACAAGACCTGACCAATTGTTGCTGTCGGAAGAAAACCTTGTATCTCCATTTTTGTTGTTTTTCAGTTTTTGACATAATTTGAAAATGCCTGTTGCTCTTTACATTGTGTATAGGTTTTATGAGGAATGGACCAAAAGAAATGGCCCAAAATGACTTCGAAAAAAGGTCTGGTTCTATTGACTTACATTAAAAGTAGAGTGGTTTTTTTTCCTTTTCCTGTAAAGTCATAATTTTATCATCATTTTTAAAGTCATCATCAACATGATATTGTTTGATAAATAAAACTAGGGGTGGGCAATGCAGCAAAAATATCATACCACAATACTTCAAGACATTTTCATGATACACAATATGCATCACGATATTTAGTTTTCCAGAGATTTAATACGTTGGAATAGACAAAATAGAACCTGTAGTGCCACAAATAAAAATATCATAAAAATAATGTACCTAGAACTTCAGTGATTTATATTGAATGATTTACAAACTGTGCTGCACTAAATCCAATTAACCAGGCCAATTTTGGCCCTTTTTGTAATGAAACATGTAATTAGTCAGTGTTCTTTAAGTACTGACAATATCTACTTCTAGAAGGCCTATGTGATGATTTTTCTCACAAAATTGGTCCCCCATTGTAAATCTAAATGTGATTGGTTGATTCCACTGTCAGTTCCTAATCATGTTAATCTGGTACATTAGGCCGTCAGTGCAGCACCTGAAGCCCTAACCAATGGGAGAGGAAGGCTGTTTCTACCTAGATACCATGGAAACAGTCCTGTTTAAATACAACCATTGCTACAAACTCCAGCCACCAACTGAAAAAAAGCAACCTGTCTAGGGGAAGTTTAAAGCTTGTCTAGTTAGGGTCCCTAGCCTAATGGCTATGCGTTGCAATTACTGAGCACGGAAGTAAGGTGTGTGAGGCTAAAGTGTGTAAAGTGTGTCCATATAAGCTGAAGGGGGTTCACCTGTCTCACCTGAAGATCCCTGGCCAACTTGATCCCTGGCTCCGTAGCCAGACAGCCCAAGCATTGAGATGACTAAGTTGAAAATGGATGAGGAGTAAAGGCACAATAGTAGTATTTAATAGTTTCTAGTTGTTTGGTGAGGGATTTGGGTGCTCCTCCGCTCCACCACATGTGCTGCTACTCAGCCTCCAGTTTCATTATGTATAGAAAAGATAGTGAGTAGAAAAGAATTTTATATTGTGATAATGTAACTGACAAAATTCATACCCTGATTTGATTATTTCTCATGAGCAAAAATGTATGTAATGAATATTTATGAGCAGTATATTAATATATGATATAGTGGACTATTATTTTTTTCTCTCTCTGTGTCTTCAGCCATCTCTACCTTTTTCTCTTAGTTCAGTTCAGTCCAGAAATGCTATATTGCCATGAATATTTCAAATGACATTACTGCTGAGCAAAGTACAAATGAAAGGACAAAAGTATTAGCAAAGTTATTAATCATAAACGCTAACTCTCCCCCTCTTTCTCTCTGTCAGTGGCCACATGAGGCTCTTCTCTCAGTGTCCCAAACATTTTTCCAGAATGTGGAGTTTGGCAGTGAAAAGATGAAGAGTTGTTTTTCCGAGATGTGTGTGGAGATCCACATGAGTGTGACAGACATGGCTGAACGTTTCTACTCAGAGCTCCGCCGTCGCTACTACACCACCCCAACCTCCTACCTGGAGCTGATTAACCTCTACCTGAGCATGCTGGGGCAGAAGAGACAGCAGCTAGAGGCGGTGAGGGTCATGAACTCATATCTTGACCCACAAGCTTCACAACCTCTGTACACACACAAACCAGTCCCTTAAGTCCCTACGAACTCCATATCTTTACCACACGCATGACACCACAGCCTCTATAAAAATCAGACCACGTGTGACCCCTCAACCTCCCTATACAGCTAGTAGTTACACAAACCTTGCTAACACAAACTATAACAGCTAGAGGTATAGTCACACAGACCTCTGGGATATGACCCTACAACCTCACTTCATAGCTTACAGTCACATACGGTTCAGGCATAAGACACTGCAACCTCAATAAATGGCTTATAGTTACAAAAGCTTCAAGGATACAGTCCCGTAACCTTGAACCTCCACAGCTCAAAGTTGCAAAAAGTTAAAGGATATGATCCTGTAACCTTGTCACACAGCTTAAGTTCCGCAAGGTTCAGGGATATGATCCTACAACCGTCTCACACAGCCATACTATGTGTACTCTATGGCTTACAGATACACAAGCTTCAACCCTTCAACATCCTAAATACATAGCTTACAGTTATACAAACTTCAGGGATATGACACTATGACCTAACTGCATGGCTTACACTTACAAAAGCTTAAGGGAAATGACCCTAGAACCTCCCTACATGGCTTACTCAGGCTCCAAGGATACAGCCTTACCACACAACTTACACTTACCACAAGTTTCAGGGATATGACCCTACAACCTAATCGCATAACATAGAGTCACTTAGACTTTAAAAATATGACCCTAGAACTTGTCTACATGGCTTACAGTTACTCAGGCTCCAGGTATATGACTCCACAACCTCATAACACATTTAGACTTACTTTTAGTTACACAGTGGTATACAAAACTATGATACATGTTAAATATAATGTGTGTGTGTGTGTGTGTGTGTGTGTGTGTGTGTGTGTGTTGTCAGGCTCGTGATCGAGTGAAAAATGGACTGACTAAGTTGTTGGAGACCAATGAGCTGGTGGATAAGATGAAGATCGACCTTTCTGCTCTGGAGCCTGTGCTCAAACAGAAATCCATTGATGTCAACGCTCTTATGAAGAAACTTGCTGTCGACAAAGAAAAAGCTGACCATGTGAGTGTGTGTGCATGCACACAATGCCTGGCTTACTTAGTGCATTTTCAATTTACTGACGTTGCACTCTTCCATGTAATTAAACCATAATACTTTCTTTGCAATATACTCTACACAGTTATAACACTTTGAGTGAAAATCTTCTCATTACACCTGCTTTTAGCCATTGACCTTTGATCCCTCCCAGGTGCGCAGGGTGGTGAAGGAGGATGAGGCTCTGGCTAAGGTGAAAGCAGAGGAGACACAGGCCATTGCAGATGATGCCCAGCGGGACTTGGACGAGGCCCTCCCAGCTTTGGAAAGTGCTAATAAGGCACTGGATGCACTAGACAAGGCCGACATCTCTGAAATCCGTGTTTTTACCAAGCCGCCTGACCTCGTCATGACAGTCATGGAGGCTGTGTGCATCCTGCTGAACAGCAAGTGAGTGCCTGCGCTGTTTGTGTGTGCATATTTAAATACAAGATCATGTCTGGCTCTTAAGAGGATCTTAGAAGAGCTTCCTGTAACTCGTGACCCGATCATATGTAACCTCACAAGCTCCATACAGCTAGTAGTTACATAAGCTTTGAAACTATGACCCTACAACCTTGCCAACTTGTAGTTGCGGTTACATAGACTGGCTTACATGTCACAAAAGCTTCAGGGATATGACCCTACAACCTCGCTAAATGGCTTACAGTTACACAAGCTTCAGGGATATGACCCTACAACCTCACTACATGGCTTACAGTTAGAAAAGCTTTAGGGATATGACCCAACAACCTCACTACATGGCTTACAGTTACATAAGCGTCAGGTATATGACCCTACAACTGCACTACACGGCTTACTGTCCCACAAGCTTCAGGGATATGACCCAGCAACCTCACTACATAGCTTACAGTTACATAAGCGTCAGAGATATAAGCCTACAACCTCGCTACATGGCTTACAGTTACACAAGCATCAGGGATTTGTTAAAACAGCTTGTAGCAATTCACAGCTTGTTGCATGTTGAGTAGGAGTTGAAATTTAGGTAAGGTAATGCAATTTTGGCACATTTTGTTGTGACAGGTTCTGTTAAGGATAATAGGGTTAGGCAAGGGCCTCAGGGGCCAAAATTCCTAATGGCTCCTCTGGACACATATAAAATACCCAGTTGGAAGTTAAAAATCATAATGCTCTGTATTAGCTGGGACTGAGTTTCTTGGGCACTGTTATTGTGTTTATAATTCATTATGTTAACAGTGAACAATAATGCATAACAAACATGATCATGAAGTGTACCATATTTTTATAAATATATTCAGATATGTTTATAATTTCTTATGGGTGCATTATAACATGTTATGAATGTGTTTATTGTTTCTTATAGCCATAGCATTTATAGAAATTATTTCCCTATTTTCCAACACCTTTACATCTGGCTAGTTAGCATGTCTGACCCCTCTGATCTGATCAGTATTATGATCAAAGTAAATCAGAAATTGAATTGGCCTGAAAAAAAACGTTGATTAATCCACCCCTGCTTTTTCCCCTCTCTCTCTCTCTCTCTTGCTCTCTCTCTTGTTATCTCTGTGTACACTGTCTCAACGTGTCTAATATCATTTGATATTACTCCCCCAAGTTGTTTAATATTTCTGGAAATGAAAGTCATGCTGAAGCTCAATTACAGTTGCCCAAAGCCGTCCGTCCTTTTTTCTGAAACAGAGTCATAGTTCACTCTTAGTTTGACTCAAAAGCCAGTGAACAACTCTCTGCACAGACTATACAGCGTTCAGATCTGCTGGTCTTCTTTGTATTGGATGCTGATAAAAATGTAATCACATTAATGCTTTATTTATATTCTCATTCTCTGTTATTGGCTTGATTATTTTTTCATCATCATATGTTTGTAGAATATTTCACAATCCTGTAAGAGTACAACAAAACTTTGCTTGCCTTTTTAAATTTGATAATAAACAGCAAATGTTCCGGTTCCTTAGGAATTCCCTAGCAAACACACATAATAGTTGTTTGTGGCTGAGGTTTGAAAATCACGAAAGGAGTTAAGACTACATTTCCCATGATTCTCTATCCACAGGACTGACTGGGCCAGTGCCAAGCAGGTGCTAGGCGACTCCAACTTCCTGAGGAAGCTGACGGAGTATGACAAGGATAACATCAGGCCTCAGATCCTGCAGAAGCTGCAACGCTACATCCAGAACCCAGACTTCGTTCCTGAGAAAGTGGAGAAGGTGTCCAAGGCCTGCAAGTCCATGTGCATGTGGGTGAGGGCCATGGACCTCTACTCCAGAGTTCTCAAAGAAGTGGGACCCAAACGAGAGAAACTGGCTGCAGCTCAGGTGAGTTATTGCACAAGCTATTGCTGGTGGAATGGAGGAGTTTGTTTGGTGGATGGATGGATTCAAAAATGCATAGATGAATGGAGGGATGATGATTAGATGGATGGATGGATGGATGATGGGTGGATAGATGGATAGATGAATGGAGACATGGATAATGGGTGGACGGATAAGTTTATGAATGGCTGGATGGATGAAGCATTGGATAGAGGGATGGACGGAGATAAGGACAATGGGTGGATAATTAGGTAAATGGATGGCTGGGTGGATGAAGGAGTCGATGGATAGATGGATCGGTGGATGGATAGATAATGTAGTATGGACGATGGGTGAATGGAAGATAAATTACTGGGTGGTTGGATGGATGAAAGTGTAGATGGATTGATGGGTGGTGGTATGATGGATTTGTGGACAGGTTAATAGATGGTTAGATGGATGTAGGTATGGATAATGGGTGGATAGATAGGTTAATGGATGTGTGGATGGATGGATAAGTGGGTGGATGGATAGGTAGATGAATGGATAATAGATGGGTAGACAGGTAGATGGATGGAGGTATGGGTGATGGATGGATGGAATGGTAGATTGATGAACGGATGGGTGGATCAATGAGTGTATGAATCCATAGGTTCATGGATGGATCGATGAATAGGTGAGTGGATAGATGGATAAGTATAGGGATGGATGGATGAAGGAATCATAGAAATAGAAGACTTTTTGGATGATAAGAAATAAGGATGGTTGCAGTAGTAAATAAAACCTCTATTCATATTCTATTAGGGTGGATGGATGAATGGATAAATAAATGATAATAAAACAGACCAGTTTCAAAACATATGAGATAGATGGATGATGGAAATAGACCGTTTGAATTATATGGAATAGATAGATGAATGATAGAAATAGAGCAGTTGAAAGTCTGTGGGATGTATTGGGAGCAGTAAAATTCCATGGCACAGATAGTTGGATGGGGATTCATTATAAGATATTAGGAGTAGAGAGAAGAGTGGAAGTAGCGCAGCTCTGATTTGGATGAGGATGTGAGATGTTATGAGAGTTGTCCTGAATTGCTCTCTGTCCTCAGACTGTGCTTTTATCTAGATTACTCTCTCTGCAGGAACAGTGTTGTGTTCTAGACTACAGTGCTTGCTGTGTCTCATTGTGTTTGTGCTGATGTATTTTTGTGGTTGTTCTTGTTGTTGTTTATAAGGCGGAGCTGGATGCTACCATGGCGACTCTGCGGGAAAAGCAGGCAAAGCTGCAGGAGGTGGAGAATCAGATCAAAGTTCTGCAGGAACAGTTTGACTCCAGCCTGGCCGAGAAAGAGGAACTGGGTACGACAGAGAGAATACAGAATGAGAGAGAGAGAGAGAGAGAGAGAGAGAGAGAGAGAGAGAGAGAGAGGTGGGGTGGAATAATAGGAAGGGGAGAAAAAAAGGAGGAGAAATAAAGAGAGAGAGAAAAAGAGAAAACAGAGAGAGAGAGAGAGAAGATGGAGAAAGGGAAGACAAATGAAAGAGGAAGAAAGAAAAGGATAAGGATAGAGTGAGAGTAATTGGAAGAGGGAAAAGGGAAAAGTGAGTGCGGGAGAAAGACAGGGAGCAAAGAAGAGAGAGAAAAAAGAGAGAGACTGGAGATAGAGACAGACAGAAAGAGGAAATAGGGAGAAAATATAAAAGAGAAAATGGAGCGAGAGAGAGAAAAATAGAAAAAGGAAAGAGGGAAAGAGAAAAAGCATGAGAGAGAGGGAGGAAAGAAAAATGGCAAAAAGAAGAAAAAAGAAAAGGCAAGAGAGGACGAAAGGAAAGGATCAGCATAAAAATAGGGAGTGATTGAAAAAAAAAGGGAATGAGTGAGCGAGGGGATAGAGAGAGAAAAAGAAAGAGAGAAAACAGTAAAGGGAAAAAAAAGAAGGCTGAAGGGAGAGGAGGAAAGATTACAGTGTTTATACTGGACTGTATAGTACATGTAAAAACAGACAGCAGTGCTCCTGCAATAACGGTTCAGAGTCAGTTCTGCATCACTCAGCATGTGTGTGTTTATATGTATGTGTGTAGCTAAGACTATGGCTCTGACGGAAGCTCGGCTGGGCCGTTCGGGGAAGCTGACCGCAGCTCTGGGGGACGAGCAGGTGCGCTGGCAGGAGAGCATCACCCTGTTTGAGCAGGAAATCAACAACGTCATCGGAAACGTCTTCATCGCTGCTGCCTGCGTGGCTTACTACGGAGCCTTCACCTCCCACTACAGACAGCTGGTAGTGTTTAAACTTTTGTGTGGGTGTCATGTTGAGTGTGTTTGTTCTAGTGAAGAAACCTTAAAAAGTCCCATATTCTACATAGTTTTTTATTATTTTTGTCCCTTCAGACTTCAGGAATGATATACGTATAGTACTGCAAACATCAGAGACCATCCTTCATTTATTTAATTTCCAGTCAAAACAGCGATGAAGTACAAGTTCTGCATTTTTCAGGAGATATTAGATATAAGATGGCAAGATAAAGGACAAAGTTTAAAGAAAGAAAGTGACAAAAGGCAGTTTCCAAAACTGGAAATTAAAACCTTGAGAAATGGGACTCCTAACAACCACCTGCAAGAACTGGTAGACCACCAACACTGTCCCCATCAGATAAACAGGACTTGATTCATCCACTCAAGTTAAAAGAGGCACACTATATTTAACATAATTTGGGTGGTTATTAGGACATGTGTTCATGGCTGTGACATCACAACCAGCTTGTGCTTTTTTGCAGCTTAGTTTCCGTGTATGGACTGAAACCTCAACAATGTTTTTCATAGCTCACCAAACTTTTTTCAAACATTTTATTGTAAAAACAAAGCAAGGACAATTTAGCTTTCTGTGCAGTGAGGCCTTTAAGCTTTCTACGTGGAAAAGAATCTTTCTCTCTTTTCTTTCCCACTCTGTGAGTAATGCCACTTGTAAAAAGAGAACAGATGACCCAATCACACTGTCCCCACCTGGATAAGCTCCTGCTGTTCTCCAGCATTCAAGGTCACTCTCACAGTACATTTTTATCAGCCTACATATTTCGGCCCAACACCTCCTCAGCAGTGGATATCACTCTATTTTTGATGTCTTGACTAGAACAGGTAGTTTTGCCAAAACCAAGCAAATGGACAAAAACAACACTTGCGTGCATATCAAGCCAAAATGCTTGATTGAGTCAACAACAACAATCCAAACGTCGACTTTGTGATCCAGAACTAATCGTCCAACATCGGTACCTGACCTGACTAATTGCTCTTGTGGCTGAATGCAATCAAAACCTCTCAGCAGTGTTTCAACATCTAGTGTAAAGCCTTCCCAAAAGAACAGAGAGCAAATGTGGCAAACTCCTTATAAAATCTTCTGATTTCAGATGAAACGTTGGATGAGCAGGTGTGTAAAAACCTTTGGGCGTGTAGTGTATACATATGGGACATATTATTACCTATAAATACATTACATATCATTGCTGTCGCAACAAACCTCATGTCCATTTTTGTAATTTTTAACTTTTTTGTATTATTGGAAAACTCCAGTTACACTTCGCACTGTGTTAAAATTTCATAATTAACAAACTGACAGAAATGGCCCAGAATTACTTCTTTAAATCTTATTACATTAACCTCCATTACAAGTTAAGAATGTTTTTTTTCTTTCTATTATAAAGTTAAAAAAATATATTACATATGGGACATATTATTACGGTAACACTTTCTATGAATGTCACCTTTGTAAGTATCTATAAACACATTCATAACATGTTATAATGCATTCATAAGACATTATAATCATAGCTATAAATATTTATAAAAATGCATTATATGTTATAGCCATGTTTATAATGCATTATGAATTGTTAACATAATACATTATAAGTACTGATCATAACAAATTATAAGAGCTCATAAGTCATATTTGTCCGCTCTAAGTAAAGTGAAGTGTACTGTACTAAAGCCTCCTCCAGTGTTAAGAGTGAGGCTTCAAGTTGAAGTATTTACTGAAGGATTTACTGAAACACTAAAACATTCACAATAAAGCACATTACAGGCTTCAAATGTCAGAGTTTAAACTAGAGCTGCCATCAGTGTTTTACCCAATGTGAGAAAGGTAATGTACACCACCGTTAGCTTGGTATTTGTCTTTACTTTGCAGTCTCCAAGCTGGGACTGACTTCTTTGGCACTGACAGTATAACATGTTATTAACACTACTTATAATGCATTATATTAACAATTCATAATGTATAATAAACATGGCTATAAAGTGTAATTCAGTGTAATTCTTTTTTATAAATATTTATAACCACGTTTATAATGCCTTATGAATACATTATAACATGCTTACAAATGTGACATTCATAGAAAGTGTTACCATTATTACAATGGTATTATAATTTCAAATATTACATATTTAATTGTATTTTTACTTATACGTAGTTATATATGGGACATATATATTTAACCCAGTGTCCTGAGATCATATATAAACAGGGCTGTTTGTGTGTCTGTAGCTGATACAGAAGTGGATTTCGCGCTGTCAGGAGCTGGGCATCCCCATCAGCGATAACTTCAGTCTCATTGGAATCCTTGGGGACCCCTATGAGATCCGTCAGTGGAACGCAGAGGGTCTGCCCCGGGACACTGTCTCCACCGAGAACGGAATCCTTGTGACCCGCGGCCGCCGCTGGCCACTCATGATCGACCCTCAGGATCAGGTGACCTTTCACCCCTCCCGGAGCATGATATTATTACATCATTTGTGACAATCTGTTTTTGAAGCTATGCAACTGATGCACTATTGTTCCTTCCTTATTTCTTCTGTTTTCTTTCCTCTCACACACAAGTTTTTTCAGTGTGAATGGTGTGGGAATAATGTGAGTGTGGAAGAATACTTTCAGCCCCAATTTCAAGCAACAGTTTGCTGAATTATGAATGAGATTCAGAAGGTAGTTGGGATTGTTCAGAGGCAAGAGCAAAATGTGAATAGAAGTTGATGAAATCAGTGTACTCCGTCTACACCAGTGCTCTGCAAGAACGTGCATGGGGGGTATTTTGGTGCTCAGGCTTTAGCAGAGCTCAGTAACACTGAGATTAATAACTGATCGTCACATTGATTTATCAGTCTACTCAGGCTTTAGCAGAGCTCAGTAACACTGAGATTAATAACTGATCATCACATTGATTTATCAGTCTACTCAGGCTTTAGCAGAGCTCAGTAATACTGAGATTAATAACTGATCGTCACATTGATTTATCAGTCTACTCAGGCTTTAGCAGAGCTCAGTAACACTGAGATTAATAACTGATCGTCACATTGATTTATCAGTCTACTCAGACTTTAGCAGAGCTCAGTAATACTGAGATTAATGTCTGATCATCCCATTGATTTATCAGTCTACTCAGGCTTTAGCAGAGCTCAGTAACACTGAGATTAATGTCTGATCATCCCATTGATTTATCAGTCTAATCAGGCTTTAGCAGAGCTCAGTAACACTGAGATTAATGTCTGATCATCCCATTGATTTATCAGTCTAATCAGGCTTTAGCAGAGCTCAGTAACACTGAGATTAATGTCTGATCATCCCATTGATTTATCAGTCTACTCAGGCTTTAGCAGAGCTCAGTAACACTGAGATTAATGTCTGATCATCCCATTGATTTATCAGTCTACTCAGGCTTTAGCAGAGCTCAGTAACACTGAGATTAATAACTGATCATCCCATTGATTTATCGGTCTACTCAGGCTCTAGCAGGAATGTCAGAGTATGGACAGAACCCATTTTTTTGGATTCTTTTTTAGAGTACCTATTACATACCATGTGCTGATAATAAAATAGTTAATAAACAAGAAGTGATTGTGTTTCTAAAGATAGTATTTTTTTTATTTTTTCATTTAGTGGGTAAGTCTTTTAAAAGTATTCTTCTAAAAATTTAAAAGGTAACTGTATTCTGATAGATATTATTATTAGGGGTCAGTAAAGCCAGCAGGAACACAAGGACGGGTCAACACTGGGAGCTGCAGTGCCTCACTTTCTTTTTCTGTTTTAGAGGAGGCACTGCTGTTTTACAACACCAGCAGAACAACAGGGAAGCAGTCCAGAACACAATCAGCCAGCTTCCCTGCATTAACATACAGATGCTTGGCCCCCTCCGTCTTCCTCTGACTTTTCATTACAGCTGCCTGTGATTGTGCTCCCTTCCTCCTTCGGCTCCTTGTCGTTTCGGGTTTTTCTCTCCCTCCATCTCTCCGTCTCTCCTGGGAGGCTCTCCGCGGCTCTTCTGGGAGAGAGACGGAAGCACACGCGCACACACGCAAACAGCCGTTTCCACTGATATTTACATACTGCCCTGATCTCAGCTCCACTCAGCTCATCTCGCTGGCATCCTCTCTGGCACATTCTCCTCTGATCTCGCACACACGCTCCTCTCTTCATCTCAGCAGCGTCTCCTCTGGCCCAGACTCTTTATATAAGAACCCACTGTCACATCCTTCGCATCTCGCATGGCACATTTCAGCTCACAAGACACGCGCACACGCGCTATTTCACTTGACAGTTCTGACACTTCAGCCTGGTCAAGCAGCTTCATCTCCTCCGTACACATCTAACATGTTTGTGCTGCCGCTGAGGCTGACCTTTTTCGCACTTTTCCTCTTCTGGCAAACGTCTGCTCGCAGTGGGGCTACGCTCAGCTCTGGTAAAACACACTCAGCTTATTCAAGAAGAATGTCCTCAGAATTAATTCGAAAGATGTTCTTTTGGGATATTTTTCCCAACAGAAGGTTATAAACGTGGTAGTTTGGCTAAAAATAACAAATTTACATAGTTTACCCCATTGGAGAAACTGGAGCTACAAGGCTTATGTAGCTAACAATTTATGGAAGGCAATTCCTAAAAGAATTTTGGGGGGGCTGGGGTCAAACAGACAACCGATGATGGACCCTTTTTTTTTTAGATGTGTCATTTTATATTTTGATTATCTTCTCACTGTCTACCTTCAGTGTTGTCCATTTTTATGGAAGCAGTAAAGTAAATACCTTTCCTTCTTATTGGCCTGGCTGCATAACAGGATAAGTCTGATAAGCCAGGTTTTATTATTTTCATATATTACATAATATTTTCATTATTTTCGTCTTGTTTTGCTTTTCAATCAATTTTTGCTGGATGTTTAATAAAAAAATACAATTTTGTATAATACAAACATTTTTAATATTTTACGATGATGTGTTCCCTGGATTTTAAGCTATAGGAGTGAGAAATAGAAGCCTGGACCTGCTCACAGCTCCTGAGCATTTTAGGAGGGTACATTAAAAGCACTCATTTTCCATTCTTTGTATAAACTTGTTTAAAACTTTGCTACAACTTTTAATGCATTTAGATGAAAATATATTGATTCGTATGTTGATGCAAACCAAAGGGATACGTCAAGGTTAAACAGTGAAAGCTCTATAGCCTTCTCGGGGAAGCTGTGTGCATATCTGAATGCTATTTGTGTGAGAGTCCATCTTCATGAAGTGCATTATGATGATCTCCTGTTCTCCTTTCGCTTCTGGAATCAGGCGAATCGCTGGATCCGAGCCAAAGAGACAAAGAACGGTCTGAAGGTCATCAAGCTGACAGACGCAGGCTTCCTCCGCACCCTGGAGAACGCAATACGCCTGGGCATGCCTGTCCTACTGGAAGAGGTGAACGTTGACCTCCTTGGTTATCACCTTTTCTCACCATCAAAACTCACTAACAGTGAATTATCACTCCTGTTTGGATTTGAACAAAAATATCAAAATCTGAACATGTGAGACCAGTTACAGTTTCTTTTTCCGGCTGCTGTACTGCCAAATCAGGACCAAAGATTACTGATAAATAACTACACACCACAGTGACCGCTAACAGCTACATGCATCACAGAACACATTTGATTCCAGCTATCAATAGTCATTTGACTTTGTGCTCTCAGATATGAGTCTTTATCCTCTACGTGTGTGTTTTTGAGTAAGAGTTAGCTGGAATCAAGCCTGTACTGTGGAAGGGGTCACTGTCAGCCTGCTAACTAAGCTAGAGGCCAAGATTAGCTTGTCTTATTGTATTGTGACTCATCTGATCTGAATTTTGGTCTTTCACAGACTAACACTGCTTTGGCTTGATTTGATTGCTTTGGACTGAGAGCCTTGTTGTGGACTGATTGTGGAATGGGGCTATTGATTGGCTCTGGCTGTTCTCTGATTGAAGCATTTAATAAGTTGTTTTAAGGATGAGTGCTGTTTATAGCTGAAGTGTTTTCATTATTCCAGTTAGTTCTTTTTCAGCGCAGTGATGGACACACATGTAACACAGCATTAATGACAGACATTTATGACCACACAGGATGAATACTGTCAATATTATTAGAGATAGCACCAGTCTGATACCCTGTATTAGTATTGGATCAATATTAGCAATTCTGCATGAATGAATCAGATTTGTTTCTATAGCAAATATAGCTTGAAATGTCAGAAAATTGTTTGTCGACCAATAAAACAACACATTAAGTAGGTTTTGTGACAACAATGCTATCTTAAGGTTAGCATAAGAATGAGTAGTGAGCTAAGTATTGGAGTACAAGTGCATTGCCTTTATTTTTAAATAACCTAATTTTTCACACATTTGCATTGTAGGCAGTATTTCTGCTATTAATTTTTTGGTGAAAGAGTTGAAATAGCTCATTTTAAACTTTTAGGGTATCTTTTAAAGAAAAAAGTATCAGATGATACTTAAGATTTCGGTCATGATATACAGTTGTATGCAAAAGTTTAATCTCCTGGACAAGTTACATGTTTTGTTGATTTTAAATTAACACCACCTTTACAGAGAACAAACTAAATGTGGCATTTTTAGTACACAATTTCTGTTTATTTGCTGAGTGTAACATATGAAAAATATATATATATAAAATATAAATTTAGCACAGGCCACATTCAGTAAATAAACAGTAATTGTGTATTAAAATGCAGAAGTGTGTTCTCTGTAGAGGATGTGTATTTATTTTCACTCAGAACTTCAACAAAATATTAACATAAACAGTTGCACTATATGGCCCAAAGTATGTGGACACCCTTCACACTCATTGCTAATAGGTGTATAAAATCAAGCACATAGCCATGCAATCTCCATAGACAGTCATTGACACTTAGTGAAATCAGTTATTGAAATTTCATTTGACTGGGACGCCCAAACTTTTGCACACAAATGTATGTATTGGGTGTCGAGCCATCTATGATTATTATGCATGTCATTTGTCTCTTTGTGTTTGTGTACAGCTTAAAGAAACTCTGGACCCTGCTCTAGAGCCTGTTCTCCTAAAGCAGACGTTCGTATCGGGCGGCAGAACGCTGATCCGCCTGGGCGATTCCGACATTGACTACGACAAAAACTTCCGCTTCTACATGACCACCAAGATGGCCAACCCCCATTACCTGCCTGAGGTGCGTGTGTGAGAGAGAGAGTATTGCCTTATAGCAGAGTAAAAGAACTAAAACTGTTGGATATACCCTGGCGGTCAAGGTCACTTTGTCTCATTTTGAAATTTGATTTTCATCCTGTTGCTTTTCATTAATTAATAAAAAAACTTGCAAAAGTTTTAACATAAACAGTTGCACCATATGGCCCAAAGTATGTGGACACCCTTCACACTCATTGCTAATAGGTGTATAAAATCAAGCACATAGCCATGCAATCTCCATAGACAATCACTGACACTTAGTGAAATCAGTTATTGAAATTTCTGCTCTGCTAGATCTGCCCTGGTCAACTCTAAGTACTATTAGCATCTATGAGCAACAACAGCTCAGCCCCAAAGCACAGAGCAGTGCTGCAGAGTGCTGAAGCGCATATCACATAAAAATTGCCTGACCTCTGTTGCGTCACTCACTACAGAGTTCCAAACTGCCTGTGGTAGCAAAATCAGCCTAAGGATTGTGCATTAAGAGCTTCATGAAATGGGTTTCATTAAGCTTCTGATGCAGCTGCCCAACGCCAAGCAGCTGCACTCAAGCCTAAGATAACTTGAGTGGTGTAAAGCACACTGCCACAAAGTGTAGACCCACCAATAAATCCTTAGAATTTAGCATGAGGTGTGCCCAAATTTTTGACAGACAGTGTATTCACTGTAAAAGAAACTGTTGCTTTCACTCCGCTCTGTAATCAAGTGTGAAAATAATGCAGTGTCAATGTTACAGAGCCCCCTTTAGAAGCAAACAGCTGCCCCTAAGGTCCACATGAATTGCAGCTTTTAAGTCGATGCAAATTACTGTCCCTCTGAGATTTTCTGTTTGTTTTCATGAAATCACTGATTGTGTGACATTAGCATAGCTGTGTCTGCCTCCTCCCCATGAAAGGGCTTTTGAGGCATAGTGCCTTGCAGTTTGGCACTGGTTTAAGGTCAACCAGACATAGTCATGTGACCCAGCCTAGGGTGGATTTAATGATTTTGGGGCTTTAGCCAAAAACAGACAGCTAATATTGTGTAGCACAAAATAATTTCATGAACAGTTTCACCAAAGGCTTCCTCTGTTCATGCTGTGTTGCTCGCTGGCTCATATCTGTGTGCCTCCATATAGTGGAGTAGTCACATTCCAACATAAAGTCATACATTAAACCCTGAGCTAGAGTGTATTGCTATAATAGCAAATATGACTGCATGATTAGTCATATGTTTATTGTTATTGTGATCAGTTTCCACAATATATGTGTCAATAAGGACTGCAATGGCAGAATGGATCAAATACACTATATCTGAACAGCACCAGAGTGATGTTATTTGATGGACAGGTAGCGTTAATAGCAGTGGTGTAGATCTTTCCTGAGCAGAACCTGTTCTCCCCCTTGCAGAGAAAGTGACTTAACCACTCTGCTGTTTAGCCAATTAGAAAGCATGGAAATATACACAGTTCAAAAACTACTCTATCCTTGACTGCTAGTCTGTAAATCCCTAAAAAAAAAAGGTTTGGCAAAAAAATCGAATATGCACAATTTTCCACTTACACCAGATCAATCAGCCAAGAGAGGTTTGGTGTACAAAATTGCTTCTTTAGAGCGAAAGCTATAAGGCTAACATTGCTGAAAAACACAAGAAGTCAATAGTCACCCAAATCTTTTCTGTAAATACATCCTCAAAACCTCTTTCAAGCTGCTTAAACCCCATCAAGGTCTTCGTTAAGGTCACACAGACTTGGAGATGCAGTTAGCATATCTGCTGCCTAAATTGTTTTAATATATTAGACACATATATTATATACACACCCCTATAAATGCATCATGAAGCCTGCGAGAGCAGAAGCTGTCCCCCCTCCCCCCAGTTGTTCTCTCAGTTGTTGAACCCCGAGCCTGGGTGCTGTGCCAAACCGCTGTTCGTGGCGGGGTGCATGTGATACCAGACCCACCTGCCAAAAGACAACGGCAGGCGTGTTGCGGTGAGGACTGTGGGGTCCTGCCACATTTTGCTCCCAGCAGTGATGAGTGCAGAGAAAGAGAGAGAGAGAGAGAGAGAGTGCTGCTGGATAGCGCTCTTCTGTCTCAGTGGGTTTGTGCACTCTGACTGCTAACGTTCGAAAGCCCAGGCCTGTCACTTTCTCTTAAGCAGAAGAAATGAGCAGCGCTGGCGCTCTGAAGCAGCTCCCGCACTCAGGGCCAATCAACGCATGCCTCTCAGGGATGCAGAAAGAGAGAGGAGGGAACTGTAGCTTGTCTTCAGGCATATGCTGAGCACTTAGGTCCAATCACTGCGCGCTGCAGGGGATACATTACAATCAGAATGAGTTTATTAGCCAAGTACATTTTCCATGAGTGCTCACATAAAGGCAGAAAATAGAATGGAAAATGCTGAAAAATGTAATATGTGTATATTATGGCAGTGAAATAATGAAATTACATTTTTTTTTTCATTTAAAATTTTTTGCATTTTGCTATCGCTATATGAGTGGACAAAATAAGCTTAATCAGAAGGTAGTTCCTTTTAATGATAAAAGAGGATTCACATGAAATTGAACATGAGCATCACACGATTTCCATAGAGTAACCACAGTTTCAAATGTTCATCACTGATAACCAGTGGCTGCATGTTACAATTCAATACATATATATAAGTAATAAGTAAATGAGTGCATATATCATATATATTACATATAGAGTGAATGAGTCTATAGATCATGTATATACAGTAAGTGAGTCTGTATCATATATCATATATGGTCAGTGTATATATACACAGTGAATTAAGGTGTATTTCATATATATCATATATACAGACAGTGAGTCCGTGTATCATATATACAGTCAGCTTCTCATCGGTTGTAGTCTTTCGCTGTTATAGGCTACCGCTACATTGTGTCTTCTTTCAAAGAGAACTGTAGTTCTGATGGTTTTGCTGTTGCTTTTGTTAGTTTGCTGCTGGTTGATTTATACATAGTTCTCTTGGGGGCACTGTCCAGTATAGTCTGCCTAAAACATGCTAATGTTACTGATATTCCTAATATCGAGGCATCAGCACTGTGTTTTGCTCCTAAATCCTTCCTCAGACTCAACATACTTCAGTGATAAACAAATTCATGGCATGTCAGTAGCTGGAAATATCTTTTTTTGAGATAGCCAACAATGGAAGCTGATATTTGGATTAGAGGACTGCAACCGTAGCAACAGGTCATGAGCAGCTGGACTTCACAGTGGAACTTTGGATAGTTTGAAGGGTCAAACTAGGAAAATGCGTTAAGGGTGTGAATTGTGCTGTTCATCATTTACGATCTTAACATTGACATCACTAATAAAAATACTAGAAATATGCTCTACTGTATAGGTTTAGTAACAGTGCCAAGTATGGTAAACTGTTGTTAGTGCAGTAACTACTTTTGAGTAGAGCAAACATCATTGTGTAGAGTTATCTAGGCAGACAGTAGATACTATAATTATTTTTATTGATACTGAAGTTGTGTTTTGGTCCTAGATTTAACTGGCCTGAATCATTTCCCAAAATAAAATGTGATTGCTAGCATAAAACTACTGGCTGCAGTTTTTGAGGGGCCAGAGATGCATGGCTTTATGGCCTTAATGTATGTTTAATTGAGATTCTTGTAAATTTTCTGTGACAGAATAGTTAAGATAAAGACAGTGTAGCCTTTCTGAGCTAAAGAGGACTCTTTTATAGGTTTTTATTGGCTGGTTTTTGCAGGTGTGTATCAAAGTGACCATTATCAACTTCACTGTGACCAAGTCTGGACTAGAAGACCAGCTTCTCAGGTAAACCTTAAAGCCCTTAACTGTGTTATGATACCTTGAACCAGCAGTTTTGCAAAGAGATTGGTGTTTTATGTTTTATGTAAAAAAGCGAATCTACGAGGAAATGATGTAGAGCACTTTATGATGAGTGTCTTACTCCCCATATAATCTCCTTCAAAAGCTTAGAAAGAGTGAAAACTAATCATGCTTAAGCACCAGAATCAGCATCTTTGTGTTAAAAATATTCATTTGTAAATGTTAAGTGCATTTGACATTAGAGACTGTAGCTCACAGTTTTGTTGTGTTCATCCTCTAGCCCTTCATTAGTGGTCAGTTTCTGCCCACAGGGCCACACTTGGCTGGATATTTTTGAGTGGTAGATCACTCTCAACCACAGCACCACTGCTGTGTCTGAAACACTTGTACCAGCAGCATTTCAGTGTCACTGCTGTGCTGAGAATAATGAATAAGGTAGGGGAGGCTGATAAAAAAAAGTCTGTTATTAAACACTTATATAGCGAACCTATAAGGTAAGGGTATCCAGTATAATGGCCAGTGAGTGGACATACAAAGTAGTTGTTATTAATAAAGTGGCAGGTGAGTGGAAGTACAAAGTAGTTGTTATTAATAAAGTGGCAGGTGAGTGGAAGTACAAGGTAGGTGTTCCTAATAAAGTGGCCAGTAAGTTGAGTTATTATGATAACTGATCATTAGTTGTAGTTTTATTTTGGTTGTTCTTGTTGGTGCTGTTGTTACCATTGTTTGTGTTACAGTGGTTGTTGTCTGAGTGGTCATTGTTGGGGTCTCTGCAGTGATGTGGTGCGTCTGGAGCGGCCGGATTTGGAAGAACAGAGGAATCAGCTGATTGTGCGCATCAACGCTGACCGTAACCAGCTGAAGGCCATCGAGGAGCGCATCCTCAAACTGCTCTTCACCTCAGAGGGCAACATCCTGGACAACCAGGAGCTCGTCCAGACCCTGCAAGAATCAAAGGTCAGACACAAGGACTGAGAGGTCAATGGATGAGAGTATATTTGGTTACCTTAAAGCAAAAATTAAATTTACAAAATTGAACCCTTATTCTAATGTTGCCAATCAGCGAACATGTTTGGTGTCTGAAGTTTGTTTCTTTAGTTTTTGCACTGGAACTATAAGGCTAATGTAGCTAAGAAGTAATAGGAGCTTATAGCATCATTTTAATTCTTTTTTAAACTCTCGCTCTCGTCCGCTTCAACTCACCACTTGGCGGTGTGCCACACCTAAGTCATACAATTGACCACTTGGGGAAGTAGAAGAGGAGGGGACAGTGAGGAGCGTATTATCCAAACGCTCTCAGTTAAGTTAGGCTCAGATGTTTGTCTATAGTCTATAGTCTATAAAACCTCATATAATTCTAATCAAAGGCAAAATAAATATTTTTATGTTTTATGTTTGTTTATGGTCAGCAGTGACATCTTCATAAAATTTGGTGGTCATTGTTCGTAACCTGATCACACTAGAAGCCGCAGCAGATGCCTTAAACATTCAGGTGGACATTTTCTGTATTTGAGTGTGCATTTTTATATTGGATTCAACGAATATTCAGATGACAAATTTTATTTTGACAGCCCTAGTGGGTCCTCCAAGCTAGCTGATGGGTCCAGTTCTTGCCTGCAGTGCCTCTTAAAACAATGTAAACAGATGTTAGAGACACACACACATGCAGGGCCCTACAGCAGTGTGTGTTTGTGTGTGTGTGTATGAAAGCAGCGATTGAGATTGCATTTCACTTTGTGTCACCCTCCCACAGCCCTGACAGAGTGATGCAGGGATAAACAGGAGAGCACAATGGGTGGAGAGTTGGACAGATAGATAGATGGATGGACGGATGGATGGATGGCTTCAGTGATTAATGAAGTCTCTTGGGTCCAATAAATCTGTTTGTCCATATAGCTTCACTGATTGCCCCAAAACTTTTTTAGACAAAACAATTTTTAGATTTGGAAATATTTATATACCAATTAGGGCTGCCCAATATGTTGTTTGTTAATCACAATAAACCAAATCAGAATAGCTATTAGCATTTATGCTAGTGGCCACAGAATGCACAGCAGAGAAAAATTTAAGCTTTGTTTGATCCTACACCTGATGTGTTAGACATTTGTGAGAGTGGTGAGCAGAACAGTGCAGTGTATCGTTTCACATCAGCCAATAAGGTAAGTTAACTAGCAAGCAAGGTGGCTAATGAGCCAAACTAAATGCTTTAGAGTGATATCACGTTACCATCTTAAAAATTCTTATTATAATAATTATAATTGGTGCGGCTCTGTTCTTGTTTTTGAATGAGCCATGGGAAAACACCTTTGTAAAGCAAATGCTCTTTTATTAACCCCTTAAATGGCCAGGACGAACCGGCGGGTCCAAAGTTTTACTACACACTTCTCTAACCTATGAGTAACTCCACCAGTTTCACTGTAGTCCATGTAGTTGTTGAGTAATAAGCCTGCAGTGCTACCTGGAAGTAAGCTATTTGCTGTTGTGATATAACACTGATTTATCCTGTCTTGGCCGTTGCAGTACTCATCTGCTGAGCCAGAGTCATTCAGTAAAAGTTACTCATTTGTCAACATCATGAAAAAAGCAGAAAACATATATTTAAAAGAAAATTACCTGAACAATTAAGTATAATATTAAGTTAGCAATTAATATTACTGATTATAGCAGTATTTAATGTGCCCACCCTTTACTCTTTACTGATGTAAACATAACATAAAACTCAAATATCATGCCACGTTCTTTTTTTTTAAACATCAAATCACTTTACATATTCTAGACGGTAAAAAAATATTCAAATAGTTTATTTCGTCAAGAGTGTAGTTGGTTTCAGTGTCACATTATGTTTCATTTATTATCCAAAAGACCAGTGAACCTATGTGTGTTTTACATATTGGTAATTGTAAATGATTTTTGAGACTATTTTGCTTCACAACACCTTCTCCGCCATGAATGGCCTAAAATAGACATTTTAGACCGAAGTCTTAAAACTATTGTAAAACAACACCTCAAGCAGTGTAGTATTAGTAACTATTTCATGTAATACCTTTCTGTAAGAGAGCTTTTAAAGGCATTAAACTCTTCGTTCCTATCACCACCCCTGTGTACAATTCTGAATCAGACAGATTCTCTAGAACGGAACATTTCACACCAGTCCACTCTGAATGACTCTGCTCCTCCACAATCTAACACCTCTGACCATCAGCGACACAACCTTCAGTGTCTCCCTCCCCCTCTTCTATTATAAACACTGGTGAAGTGCTATTACATCTCCCCACAGTGACCACTGACTCACCACCTCCTTCACCCTTTCCATCACTGACTCCCCGTCACACCATCAGGCCAACATTCACAGCTGACCAGGTGAAGAAGGACCTGAGGAAACTCAGAAGGAATAAGTCTGCAGGACCAGATGGCATGAAGGATAGAGTGTGTCTTCAATCTGAGCAGTAGCCTGGAGAAGGTCCCAGTTATGTGGAAGACATCTTGTGTGGTCCATGTCCCCAAGAAAGTGCAACCTAAAGTCTGAAATGACTTTGGACTAGTGGCCCTGACATCACAAGTAATGAAGACTCGAAAAAGTTGAAAAGTTGGCTTTAGCTCACCTTTGACCACTGGTCAGAACATCCATGAACATCCCAGTGCAGTTTTCCCATCAGGGTACTTTCTGGTCTGTAGACCAGACAGGAGGGTGAATACAGGACCCTGGTGAAGGACTTTGTTGAGTGGTATAGAAGGAACCAGCCAGTGATGGACATTGTCGGCCACTAAAAGAGTGAGAGACAAATACATGGTCATTTCTGTATGTAGTCCTATGTAAAATAAATGGAGAGCAGACAGCATAAGAGCAGGCTTGGTTGGGGGGTGGAGCATTTTCACTGCTTTTGAGGGTCATGGTGAAGGGGAGGTCATTGTGTTTGTAATGGGCTGGTCTAGACAAATGTCCAGGGCTAAATTGAGTTCCATGTCCAGCCCTGGAACCAGCTGCAGCTCAATGTCAATAAAAGAAAGGAGATGATGGTTAGCAAGAGGTTCAACCCCCCCATGTCCCCAGTCATTATTGACAGTGTGGATGTCGAGGTGGTGAGGACATACAAATATCTGGGGGTGCACTTGGATGACAGACTGGAATGGACTTTCAATTTGCCCCTCACTATAACCCTGTACATTTATATATAGCTGAGATCTTTTACACCCCTTTATGCCCTTTTTGGTGGATACTAGATGTTGTTTAATGCATTTTTTTATGTTCCTCCTGCTATACTGATGTAATTTCCCTCTGGATCAATAGAGTTCTATGTATCTTATATCTTAACCATTCAATTAAGTAGAAATTTGGAATGTGTGGTATTGCCCCAATTAAATTCGCCAATGAAATGTAAGTGAGTACCCAGTGCAGCTGAAGTGAAACTATTAATAATATTGTGTTAAATATATTCATGAAACATTTGATTATCACTCACCTCTATTCAGCTCTAATCCAAATATCAGAGTACTGCATTTGCTGGCCTTGTTTATCGAGCAGCATTTCATGCCTGCAGAATATCTATTCATTTTCCCTGCTAGCAAATTCATCCATCATTGTTATTGACAATCTAGCAGTTTAATGAGCTTAAAACATGACAGAAGCAAGCGTAGCGCACACATTACTGAAATAGCCACATGCTGACACGCGTGTATGTCTGGCAGGTGACGTCGGAGGCTATTAAGTCTCGTCTGGAGGAGGCGGAGGCCACGGAGCTGATGATAAACACAGCCAGAGAGAAGTACCGGCCCGTGGCCACACGTGGCTCCGTCATGTACTTTGTTATCGCCAGCCTGTCCGAGATAGACCCCATGTACCAGTTCTCCCTCAAGTATTTCAAACAGGTAAGACACTGCTAATGCTAATCTGATGCAGATGATTCAGCCCATCAGATAAATATTAGGTCCTGCAGTTACTAAAGCAATAGTTTGTCAAAAAATCTGATTCACACAGTCTTTCCCTCAAAATACAGCTACAGTTCTAAAAAGCTGGGATAGTATGTGGAATGCTAATAAAAATAGAAGGCAGTAAAATCTGTTTGACCAGTATTAAATAGAAAATGATGTAAAAATACAATAGTTTATGTTTTACTTTATGAACTTTATTGTTTTTTTGTAAATATATGCTCATTCCAAAGATGATGCCTGCAACATGTTCTAATAAAGTTGGGACAGGAGCATGTTATCACTGTGCTACATCACCTTTATTTTAATAACACGTAATATTCAGTTTACAGACTGGAGCCGCCGTCTGATCCAGTTTTGAAAGTAGATTTTTTGCCATTCTTCTATTAAACAAGTCTTCATCTGTGCAGCCCAATGGGGCCTTTGTTGCAGTATTGTAGTTTTCAATGGGAGACAGATCTGAATGCAGACAGGTCAATTTAGCACCCGCATTCTCTAATTATGCAGCCACGCTGTTGAAACGTGCAAAATGTGACTTGCCATTACATTGAAATAAGCATGGCTGTCGCTGAAAAAGATGTCATCAAGAAGGCAGCATATGTTGCTCCAATATGTGTTCAGTAATAATGCTGCTTTCACATATATACATGTTACCCACTAATACCCTCCTCACTGTATCATGATAAACCCTGGATTTTGAACCTTATGCTGATTTATGCTGATTCATTTTTGGCAAAGGGGAGAGCTTCAACCTGTCCTCACTCATAGAGGGCTATATCTTTCCTGGAAGCTCATTTTGAGCTATGATTGCATCACTTGTTTAATTTTTTTTATTTTACAATGTTCTAAGTCTTAAATTGCCCCATCCCATTTTTTTGGAACATGTTGCAGGCATCAATATCAGACTGAGTGTATATTTACAAAAACAGTGAAGTTGAACTTTAAATATCAAAACACAAAACAAAACACCACTTTCTGTTAATATTAGCATTTTACATACTGTCCTCACTTTTTTACAACTCGTTTCTAGTCAGTCAGCCAAGACATGGTGTGGTGCACTGGAGCTACAAGGCTAATGTAGCTAATAACTAATAGAAACTTTTATTTGTTTGTATTTGTTTGTATTTCTGTACTTTTTTATTTTCTTTTGTGGTGTAGTTGTTTAACAGCACTATCGAGACAGCGGAGCAGATGAGTGATCTAAGCTTGAGGCTGCAGGTTCTGCTGGATCAGACGCTCCTTAGTTCCTACACTAATGTGTCCCGCGGCCTCTTTGAGCAGCATAAGACCATCTACAGCTTCATGCTGTGTGTGGAGATTATGATGCAGAGAGGAGAAATCACCCAGCACGAGTGGCTCTACTTCCTCAGAGGAGCTGGAGGCATGGACAAGGTGAGCGTATGTGTTAGGGCCTGACCAGTATGAACATTTTATTACCGATACTAATACTGAGCTAAAATATCAATAATAACAAAAATATTGACCAACATGATTTAATATAGGCAAAAATTAAACAGACTCAAATAGTTCATTTTACTGGCTAATATGGTAAAAAAATTAGTACAGCTCCTCAAATAAACCACTTAAATACAAACTCACAGTGCTGAGTTCTCAATCAAGTCCCATGTTTTTATGTCACTACCGAAACATAAAGAGTTGTAGTTCATAGGTGGAGCCTTATTTTAGCCACACCCCTGAATTTTAAAGCAGGAAGTGAGACTGCATCCCTGTCCCTCATGACCACTTGGTGAGCAGTTAGATCCCTCTGCTTTAAAGTAAATGTGTCCCAAAGCCTGAAAATTAGAAAGGAACATTAAAAATATTCACTACCGAAACACAGATTTTATGCAATAAAGCAAATTTTTTGTCTTTTATTAAAGAAAATTATGATTTTATGTGTGTACATCTGTTAAAAGCTGTGTTTGCTAGTCATGTTCTGGCTAGCATTTTTGAGTTCTGCTCAAAATGAGCTAAAATTGCTACTACCTGAACAGTCACTACTGAAACATTTGGTAATGATTTGTTCTGATTGTTTTGGCAGTGACAGAATGGAATGTTCAATCATTAGTGTTAATAAACATAATTAAGGTACAGAGTCACTCAAAGCAAAATAACTTTAGTCTGAAGTCAGTTAAAATTCAGTGTTTTTATCTTTGACTTTGAACCAGTTCAGTAAAATGATCCATGAATTCACTAGAAATGTATTGAATAACAATAAGTGTGAAATGTTCTGCATCAGTGTTATGTCAGTGTTGTATGAGTGCATGTTTTTTTCATTCTTGCCTTTTCCTCGACCTCAGTGGCCCAAAGCCCCCAGCTAAACATGCACGCATAAACACTCCCACCCAAGTCATGAATGAGACGTAATTGTGTTAATTGCAAAATTAAAGCATGGAGCAGATTGCTATTTTGGCTGCGTCCCTGCAGGGCCTGCGCTCTGTGTTTTCATGAGCGTATGTGTGTGACTGTGTGTTGTCACTGGTTCACTTCCTAAAGCGCAGTGTGATACAGTCATCGCCCACCCCTGCTCTCGCTTTCTCTCAGCGAAAAAATGACACCAATTCAGCCATCTGTCATTTCCTCCGCCACCGAGGAGATTCCCCCATCAGCGCTCTTTAACTAATCATTTGCTTTGGCCCGCTTCATATTTCACTCGTCTCAAGCGGCAATTACACACATCAAAATTTTCTGAGCGGCCGCCGTTAATCATAGTCACATTCTCCAGTCAGAGCTGTCTGCATTTTAATTTCATTTAAACAGCGTCTCATTTCGACCGTTTGAGCGATCGATCCATCGCTTTTAAAGCTGAGGGAATGTTCCACTTACCGCTGTGGAGCATTGCTGCTGGCAGTGGCTGAATTGTCAGTTGTGGCTCTATTGAAAACAATGGAATGCTGGGTTTGCAGTCGTCTACTGCCAACATGTGAACGCAACATCAGCCCTAAGAGTGAACAGTATGGAAACATTTAACATCACAATACTTACAGAATCACAATACATATCATGATATTTAGATTTTTTTCTGACGTGTAAACATTTGGAACAGACTTAATGAACCAAAATAGGGGAGATGCACTATTTTGGCCACTAAAAATTTTTGACCGGCAACTAAAAGTGCCATTTTTGGCCATTTTCAGCCAATATTTTGGTGCAAGAGGAAACATTTGCACAGAAAAAGCATCACTTAAACATCACAGTGATATCAAAATCAAAGACTTTACAAACAATTTTAATAGTAATGAAAATGAGAAATAGTGCTATTTCATCCTTTCCACGATGGCAGTGGCCTCTTTCTGCAGTATAATGTACCCTGCCGCACTGCACACATTGTTCAGGAATGTTTTGAGCAACATGACACCGTTTAAACCCAAAACTTACATTTAAAAGTGAACTCCTCAGCTGCCGTTCGCTCCTCTGCTGATGGTACCATATTCTTGAATCCTTGCCGGCACGCAAAGAACCTCAGGATATGTTGGCTGGTGAAGGATCCACCCATTGGAACCTTCGTTGCCATGGAAAAGGAGGACACTTTTCTCAGCCGCATATGAAGGAGCCTTTGAAATGGGACAGCCTAGTCACGCTGCTGTGATGCAGCCTGAGGGACACAGCTTGAGTCTTGAGTCTCTGAAGCTTGAGTCCAAGTAAAGCCTAGGCAAGAGTCCAGGTTGAGTCTCTAGTCTCTCTGAGGCACAAGTCCAAGTCATTTTCTGATGCGTGAGTCCGAGTAGAGCCTTGATTCTCTGAGGTGTTAATCGTAGTCAAGTCTCTAGTCTCTGAGGTGCGAATCCAAGTCGAGTCTCCAGTCTCTGTGGCCCAAGTCTGAGTTTCGAGTCTCTGATGTGCGAATCCGAGTTGGGTCTCTAGTCTTTGTGGTCCAAGTCCGAGTCTCTGAGGTGCGAATTAGAGTCAAGTCTCAATTGTCTGATGCGTGCGTCGGAGTTGAGTCTCGATTTTCTGAGGCATTAATCTGAGTCAGTTCTCGAGTCTTTGAGGCCCAAGTCTGAATCTTAAGTCTCTAAAGAAGTTTGATTGAGTCTCGAGTGTCTAAGGCATGAGTCAGAGTCAAGTTTTGTGTCTCTGAAGCCCGAGTCTGAGTCTCAAGTCTCTGGTGGTGTGAATCTGAATCGAATCTTGAGTCTCGAGTGTCTAAGGTGTGAATCCAAGTCGATTCTCGAGTCTCAAGTGTCTAAGGTGCAAATCCAAATGGAGTCTCGAGTCTGTGATGCACCAGTCTGTGTTGTGTCTCATGTCTTAAACGTGATAACTGAGATATTCTCATATTGCCAACTTCTACTCAATCATTTTATCTCTCTCTCTCTCTCTCTCTCTCTCTCTCTCTCACTCCCTGTCTCTCTTTCTGTAGGAGTTGTCAGAGAAGCCGAATGTTCCGTGGCTGTCTGATTTTGTGTGGGAGACGTGTTGTGATCTAGAGAACAGACTGCCTTGCTTCAGAGGCATTAAGAAAGACATTGTATCCACACCTATTGCTGTTCAACTAGGTAAGCTACCCTTTTTCCCATACAGTAATCTGGCCTTTATTTTATGTAAACAGTCAGCTCTATGTAGTGTTTCATCGCTGTTGTAGCCCTGTTAGCTCCAACACAGCAGCTTTATAAGGGACAGAAAAAACATTTATAACATTATATCTGTTAATGTAACTCAAAACATGCTTTTTAGAATTTCTGTTGCTCAGTTTGTCATGAAATATTCATAGAATGTAAAGTGCAGCTGCCATTTTTGAGTGACACTATAAATGCTTCAGGGCGTCTGGAGGTGACTGTGAACCCAGAAGAGTGGGAGGGCTACATGAAAGACCTCCCCCCATACTCACAGGACATGCCTGCCGACCAGCAGCCAGATGTCAGAGGTCACTGGAATGAGCGCCTCGGAGCCTTCCAGAAACTCATCCTCATCAAGAGCTTCAGTGAGGAGAAGGTAGAGGAAGCTACACTCCTGAAGGCCACTTCATTAAGTACACTTACACAAGGATCTACACTCATTGTCCACTTTATCAGCTCCACTTAAAATATAGGAGCACTTTCTAGTCCGACAATTACAGACTGAAGTTCATCTGTTTCTCTGCATACTTTGTTAGGCCCATTTTAGATACTCAGACTATGATTAATCCAGGTTTAGAGACTAAGACTATGATTAATCTAGGTTAAGATACTTAGGGCTTTGATGAATCCAGGTTTAGATACTCAGGACTGTGATCAAACCAGGGTTAGATACTCAGACTATGATTAAACGAGGTTTAGATACTCAGACTGTGATTAATCCAGGTTTAGGTACTCAGATTGTGATTAAACGGGGTTTAGATACTCAGACTGTGATTAATAATCTAGGTTAAAATGCTTAGGACTTTGAATAATCCAGGTTTAGATACTCAGCCTGTGATTAATTCAGGTTTAGATACTTAGTGATGTAAATAATCGAGGTTTAGATACTCCGTGATGTGATTAATCCAGGTCTGGATACTCCGTGATGTGATTAATCCAGGTTTAGATACTCAGACTTTGATTAATCCACGTTTAGATACTCAGCCTGTGATTAATCCAGGTTTAGATACTCAGCCTGTGATTAGTCCAAGTTTAGATATTCACTGCTGTGATTAATCCAGGTTTAGATACTCAGACTGTTATTAATCCAGGTTTAGATACTTTGTACTGCAATTAATCCAGGTTTAGATACTCAGTGCTGTGATTAATCTAGGTTTAGATACTCAGGACTTTGATTAATCCAAGTTTAGGTACTCTGCGCTGTGATTAATCCAAGTTTAGGTACTCTGCGCTGTGATTAATCCAGGTTTAGATACTCAGCCTGTGATTAATCCAGGTTTAGATACTCAGAACATCAGCTAGCAAGAAGGGGCCCTGCTTAAAGCCCTCAAAAAGGCCTTTTTCAGCCTTTTATTCAGATTTTACAGTGACCTGAAATGACCAGAACACTGGCCAGTGCGGTCATACTCTGTTCTAGTGACCCAGTGGATACCCATATGGTGGATATCTCTGGGGCTTTGTAAAGAGCAGGGGCAGAGGAGCTCTTCCACTTCTCTCTTCTAGAACATTATGGCTGCTTAGCTTTCTGCATGTACACTCAGTCAGTGCAGCAATGCATTCAAGGTGCCGAGTCTAATGTCTTTTATTATTAAGCTGCAGCTATTTTCGTGTGTGGAGTTGTGTGTGAGTGTATCCATGCAGAATGCAGATACCGCAGTGCATTATTAGGTGTGAGTGTACGTGTGTGTACAGTTCATGTGGGAGTTTTTATGAGTTCACAGCTGTGCAAAAGCTCCAAGCCTGATTTTATAGGCCGTCTTGGGAAACAGTCGAACTTACAGCAGAGACTAAATCAATTCCTCTCGTCTCAGAGAAAGTTAGAGAAGGATTTTATCCTGGTGTAAGTGTGAACAAAAACTCCTGTTTGCTGTTTTTTAACACTGTTTTTTCTAGTTTGACCCTTCAAACCATCTGTAGTTCCAGGCTGAAGCCCAGCTGTTCATGTGCTGTATGAAGCTATATAGAAACCTGATTTCCAGTCAGAACAGCCAGAGTTGGTTTGTGTGGTTTTGTTGACCCTCAGTCTTCCTGTCTGTGTGTTTCCAGGTTGTGTTTGCAGTGACGGAGTTTGTGATAGTAAGTCTGGGGAAGCAGTTTGTGGAGAATCCCCCAGTGGATCTGGCAACCCTGTACACAGACATGTCTCCCTCCACTCCGCTGGTGTTCATCCTCAGCACCGGCTCTGACCCCATGGGGGCTTTTCAGAGATTCGCCAAGGAGAGGGGATACTTTGGAGAGGCAAGTACACACACACACCAAAGATTTCTCCCATAGGCCCCTGTTCTATATTTTATTTTCTACTTATTCTACATTTCACTTATTACGTTTCTATGCTTTAATATATCAAGCATAGTTCTGAATGATATATACATGACCATTTTCCAACCTTTCATTATTCCTTAAAATCAAACAGGCTTTTTTTGTTACTGTGCCTTTAAGACTAATATACTGTTAAACACTGTTTCCACTCACTGTCCACTCTAGTAGACACTCCTACCTTGTTGCTCCACCTTATAGATGTAAAGTCAGAGACAGTAGCTCATCTGTTGCTGCGCAGTGTGTGTTGGTCATCCACTAGTCCCTCATCAGTGGTCACAGGATGCTTTAGGCGGGATATTTCTGGTGGGTGGACTATTCTCAGTCCAACAGCGACACTGAGGTGTTTAAAAACTCCAGCAGCACTGCTGAGTCTGATCCACTCAGAGCTGCGCAACACACACTAACACACCACCACCACGTCAGTGTTACTGAAGTGCTGAGAATAACCTATCACCCAAATAATACCTGCTCTGTGGTGGTCCTGTGGGGGGTCCTGACCACTGAAGAACAGGGTAAAAGGGGGCTAACAAAGTATGCAGAGAAACAGATGGACTACAGTCTGTAACTGTAGAACTACAAAGTGGATTTTTTGAGCAAATTGAAGTTTCTTTGGTGGACTTTTTTAGCCAACTTGCGCTACATCAATGGGTTAACGATATGCTTGTTGTTCATTGGACAGTATTGACAAGTGCAACAGTGCCCCCTACTTTAAGTTCGCCTTCACTAACTGATTCGTTTAGAAATGTCACACTCAGTTTGATCCCACAATAATAAGTCTACTTTTCCACCCACATGTAGCCCACAGCTTCTCGTGGATGTCCTCAGTTGTTCTAGTTACATCAGACTGTATCCAATGTAGCAACAGCACAAATAAAACTGAATTGAATCCATCGTAGTGGATTCTAACAGCAGTCCAGAAGAGGAAATCTTACCAAACAGCAGCCACACACACAAGTATTTCCACACATATGTGCAGCTGTCAAAGCAAGTGTGAGCAGTATCCACTGCGAGAGCTCCTAATGGACTGTATGAGAAGTATAGAAGCCTTCCATTCTCTCCTCTCCGTACGCATGTTACTGCATTCATAAAACATGAAAAGCCACACAGTGCTATAGTGTGGAGTCATACATGACCTACCACACGATAACTGTTCATTATTCAGAGCATGTTTCAATGGCACTAAACCCACAGATATAAATAAATACGTCTCTATTTCTTAGAGTTTGAGTACAAACTCCATCACAGACATTCCTGACTGCCTTGCCCTGTTCTGTTTTTACTGCAAACTTTGTCATTTAGTGTCTTGCTATCGCTTTTGTCTATCTTTCTGGCATTGGCTAGTGGGGTGGGTGTATTTACTTCTCCCCAGCGTGTGTGTGTGGTCTATCTCTGTGAGATTGGGCAGCAGTGTGGTTTGTGATGTGTTTTCTTCTCTGCGGTGTGTCTGTGTGTGTACAGAGTGGAGTCTATCTCTCTGGGCCAGGGTCAGGGTCCTATAGCGGAGAAGATGATAGCGGAGGCTGTGAAGAACGGAAACTGGATCTTTCTGCAGAACTGCCACCTTGCTGTCTCCTGGATGCTCTCCATGGAGGAAATCATCAAGACCTTCACCGAGCCTGGTGGGTGTTTCTGAGATACATACACTACCACTCAAATCACCTTCCAAAAGTTTAGAATCACTGTTCAGAAGTTTAGAATCACCGTTCAAAAGTTTAAAATTGTTGTTAAAAGTGTGGCATCACATTCAAAAGTTCAGAAATTTTGAATCATGTTCAAAAATTTGGAATCGCTGGTCACATGTCTAGCATTGCCGTTAAAAAGTTTAGAATTGCTGTTCAACAGTTTAGAATCACCGTTCAAAAGTTTAAAATTGCTATTTAAAAGTTTAGAATTGCTGTTTAAAAGTATCGCTATTCAAAAGTTTAGAATCGCTATTCAAAAGTTTAGAATCACTGTCCAAAAGTTTAGAATAGTTGTTAAAATGTTAAGTATTGCTGTTCAGAAGTTTGGCATTGCTACTGAAAAATGTAGGTTCACATTCCAAAATTTTGAGTCACTTTTAAAAACTTCAGAATCACTTTCAAAAATATAGAGTCATGTATAAAAGCTTAGAATTTGTTGCTGTTTATAGTTTAAGCATCGTTATTCAGAATTTTGGAAAATTTTGGAAAAGTATCGCTATTCAAAAGTTTAGAATCACTGTTGAAAAGTTTAGAATCACATTTAAAACCACATTAAAAAGTTACTGGCTAATATGAAACAATGTACTGCACTGTTCTGCACACTCACACAAATGTCTGAATGTGTAATATCAAGAAAGGTTTTTTTTTTCTGTCAAGTGTGAATTTATGAGCAAAAACGTTTGATCATTTATCTCTTTATAAATGATAATAGCGTTATCATATATCACTTTATAGTGAACTTTTTACAAAGTAATAAATTTAACAATAGCAGTCAACACATCAACATTTCATTTTAGTTCAGATTCTAAGTGGTGATGTAACAGTGCTTGGTGACTTTATCTTCACTTGAAAAAGTAAAGAATTTGTAAAATTGTTATTGTGTTTTCCCATCACTGCGATTCATACTACTTACAGCAGCTTTTCCTGCTTTTAAAGCTAGATAATGGGAAATTCCATTGTGGTAGATGTTGACATTACAGCCTCAAACAAAACAAGATTGCACCATTATTGCCCATGTTTTGTCTATTCTGTTTATATTTACTGTTACTTATATTGAGCTACTTCCACGCTGACTAGATTTGAGGTATCCAATCGGAAGTATAGCCGACCTTTATGCTAGACCGATTCATAGATTGTCCTTTTCAGTACTGAAATGGGATTGGTTGGTTTTGCAGACACTGTTATCCATGAGAACTTCAGACTGTTCCTCAGCTCAATGCCCACCAGTGCGTTCCCTGTCACTGTGCTCCAAAACTCTGTTAAGGTAACACACACACACACACACACACACACCGGTGTAGTGGAACATACAAACTGCTACAGCCGTCCAAACTTCCATGTAAGAAAGTATGCATTCACATCTGATCTGTGGAGTGAAGTAGAATATCTGACGTGAAGCTTCAATGAAAAAATAAGAGAGCATATTGAAAGTTAAGTTTGCCAAATCATGTAAATCAGCTTATCTTGCAGAGCTCATAGATCACACGCAGCATTGCTCAGCCCCGTGGTTAGCACAACATTTTTTCAACAGATTCAATCTCAAAATCATCCTCATGCCTTGTGTGAAGGGCCTTTTATCATTAAGGCCTCAGGGAACCTCAATCCGTGACTGCTGTGTAATTGGGTTACTGGTGGTCTTGTGGGTACGCAGTATACACAAATGTTTTTCCTTTGAATATTTGGTGAATTTCTTCAAGTATTTTTCTCCTTCTATGCAGATTGGGTGGTTCTAGTCTTGGGTAAAACTTAAGCATTACCTTCGCCAATCACAGGGCTGATGTTGCCGGTCCCTCCCACAGCTTTTATCAAAACGCTCCTACGGCTTTTATCAAACACTCTCTTTGAGCCTGAGCGTTCGAGCAAACAAAGCTGAATGTATAGCACTGCTAGTGCTAACATAATATTGAAATGCTAGCAGAAATTACCATATTTGTCAAAGCATATATTTTCTTTTGTGCCCTATTAGAAAAAATTAGAACCTACATTCCGTCACCACCCATGAGTGCAGGTTATGCAGTGGTGGAACTTCTTACAACTCTTTCAAAAGAGTTCTTTATTAAAATCAATGTTTATATGTAGAACAGTCAGTTGTTTAAATGGTTCTTTGCATGGTAAAATAGTTTGTCAGACTGACAATGTTTTGTATATGGTTCTATGTAGAACCTTTTAGAAAATGGTTCTATATAGCACCAAAAAACATGACATTGTAACAGTAGAAGAACACTTTTTATGGTGCTAAATAGAACCATTTTCAAAAAGTTTATTCATAGAACCATGTACAGGGCATTCTCCATCAATCTGAAGAGCGATTTCACCATGCAAAGAACCATTTAAGCATGAAATGGTTCTATATAGAACTTAAGGTTCTAAATTGAACCACTCGCTTTATGAAGAACCCTAAAGAACCATCTTTTTAAGAGTGTACGCTCGTAGATGTCAGGTTGAACAGTCGCTTGACATTGTGTGTAATGTTAGTTCTGCTTGAGTGACGTAGCAGACTGATGAATGTCAATCCAGCATGCTCAGGACGGTTTCATAGAGGTGAAGCTCCTCAGGGATCTGGCTTACAACTCACTTAGTCAATCACATTTGAGCAGGCTGAAGGTTCTCCACAAGGGGGCGTCATTAGATGCTGCTCTAGTACCTTTTGGTGCTTCATAAGAGCTGTGCTTCGCATTAATGACACTATGTGACTTGTTTCATTCAAATTTTGCAAGATTTTTAAAATAACACTTAAGTTTAATATCTGTCTGAATCATTTTGGACACAACTTAAGTCTAGGAGTGACAAACTCTATAAAAATGAGAGCGTTAGTCAATGTTTTCTCACAGTTAACAGCGTGAAAGGCAACTTGAGACGGCCCAAATCGAACTTGACCTCCCTCAGTGTGTCCTCATAATGGTAAAACGTTTCAACTGAACTGCATCATTATTACTATTATTATTATATATTATTAGAATAAAAAAACTTGTTTAAGATGCCATTATTCATCACCAGTTGCTCGACAGAAACGCCCCCTAAACCTAATGACACTCAACAGCATTTCGGGTTTTATTTGTAGTGCACCATTTTTTAATCTGTTCTAGACGATTACATTGTTAATCAAGATATTAAACGATGGTACATCACAAGCAGGGAAAAATCAATATTGCACAAGCCTAGTGTTACGTGGGGACTTAAGACAAGGGCTTGGTGTCAAGTGCTGGTTTAACGTAGTAAACTCATATTCTTATACAGGCAGGGTCAAATCTGGTTAACCACATACTGAACCAGTAAACTCGAGGCAAAAACACAAACCAATACTCAGAAACCAAAATACAGAGCAAGAGATCGTTACCATAAATAAACCGCTTTAGAACTATATAGCATGGCTAGAACAAGGCCTGGACTGTGTGCTTATATACAAAATGGCTGCTAATGAAGATCAGGTGACATAACTCCTCACAGAGCGACCTCTGTGGGCGAGGAGGTGAAACTTAAGCAGTGGACCTGACACCTAGGTTACACGAGATGCAATTGTATAAGAATTGCATAGAACTCATTATTAAAGCATTGCACTGCACGGTTCTGATCTGAGCGTTTTCACTGTGGTTGCATGGCCACGAATTAGATACGTATCCAATCTAGGACCACATTTGAAAAGATCAGACTTGAAAAGATCAGATTTGTGTGTCCACATTAGGGCAAAAAATCAAATTTGTGGTTCTTCAGCCTATGAATGTGAACGTAGTTTGAGTCGGGTGACTTGTAGTGTTTTCAAGTTGAGTTAACTCAAGAAAAGCAGTTTAATCAGTTACCTTATCATTTTAAGTTGAGCTGTGTTTTCACTTTTTACAGTGTACCGAGATTTCTTATTCTCTGTGAATGGGTCATAAATATTACAGACATCCTTCATGGAAGACTAATCCAGTCCGAGTCGTGTTTTTTACTGTGTAGAAATGGAATAAAGAGACGTGTGCAGGTCACAAAAACATTCACATTGGAAATTACAATGCACACACATTCCTTCTCGGCCCCCGTCTGCTCTGTTATAATGAAACAGTGAGGGCGTCAGATGCTGTCTAACAGTCACTTTATTAAGTAGAGCTGTGACAACAAATGAAAACACATCTCACTGATTGAACCCTCACATCGAGCACATCTGTGAGAGAGAGTGAGAGAGAGATAGAGAGAGAGATAGAGAGAGAGAGAGAAAGAGCGATTATCCTCACTCATTAGCCATTAGGAATCTGGTGGATGTGACGTGTGTGTGTGAACTGTATTGATATTTCTGACACATATGCACAAACACCCTCAGCGCTGCGGGCTGAATGATAGCACTTCACAGAAAAAGAACCCTTTCATGTCTTATTCACGCTTCACTGCCCCCCCCCCGATTGGTTACAGCACTAGATACATCAAAATGTTGCTTTTTTTAACCCTTTAGATCCTTTTAGTACCGGGGGGTTCAGTCCAGTGCTGTAATAAAGGCAGTGAGTGGACACACTAAATACCGGACAGTTTGATATTATATGTAGTCGTTTAATTTACCATAAAACATGTTTTCTGCTTTTCCTGGCACTAACTTGATAGTATTTGATGGCTGTTTTGACTGGAAATTATATAGATGATGGGTCTCTGACCTTTGCAGAGTTCTGTATATATAGAGATTTTTTTCTTTATCAAGAAAAGAGCTGATCCTAAAAATGTTCTCTCAGATAATAACAGCGACAGTGTCAAGTCATACAAACTCTTTGTTTGACCACTATTTTATTGTTGCATTCTCTGGGTTATTGCACCATTTAAGACAAAAGGGGCAGGGGCTCAAATTTTATACACCTCCCATATCACAATGAAACAAGTACCCTAGCAAACACCACAGCAACCACTTAGGAATACTCTAGCAACCACCTTGAGAACCACCACCCATGAGATACACTAGAGCAACCACATGGCAACACACTAGCAACCACCAAACAACGCACTAGCAACCACCAAACAATACTCTAGCAATCACCATAGCAACACCCACATCTTAGCAACACTCTAGCAACTACAAGAGATAGCAACCACCTAACAACCTTGCAGTCAATAACCACATATACATAAACATCCTAGATATCACCTGGAACACCATATGAACCTCTCAGCAACATCTGAGCAACCACCTGATAGCACCTAATAGCAACCTCTTAGCCAATCCCTAGCAACCACCTGAAACACTATAGAAACCACCTACTGACACACTACCAACCGGTGTGATTTCTGTGTAAGAAAGGTGCTACACAAATACATGTATCGATCTAAGATTTAATATTAATGATATTATTAATGATTAGAAAAATAGTGAAAGATGATAATAATTTGTTAATTTACATTTACAGTGTTTTTTTTCTAAATGTATCAACAAATTGAACGCATATCAGTATCAGAAAGAGCCATGTATACTGAAAGCACTGCAATATTACAGTTAGCTTGAGCACATTAGATCATGGAAGAAAACTACTGAATGAATCAGTACTTACCACTAACTCTTCAAATCAGTACATTCATGCTTTTCTCATGAGGTTTTCATCATCAGTTTATTCATTTTGGCTGATGAAAACCATCACTGACTGTCTTTCCTTTCAATATAACAGATATTACCATGAATTACCAGATAACAGAAGCCGTTTGTGCAAACAGTGGAAATGCTAATACGCTCTAATATAACACTCTAAAGAACATCCTCTTTTCTCACTGTACTAAAACCAATATGTATGTATATTTTCATAAGACATCTTCTCTAATGAGCCTGTGCTAATATATTGCTAGGTGACTAATGAGCCTCCCAAAGGGCTTCGTGCCAACGTGCGACGGGCCTTCACTGAGATCAGCAGCACCTTCTTCGAGGAGCATATCCTGGGCAGGAAGTGGAGGAAGATCATCTTCGGAGTCTGCTTCTTCCACGCCATCATACAGGTCAGAGCTCAGGGCTTAGAGTGTAATTATTTATTTTATTTTACATTATTTATCGTGTTAAATATAAATTGAGAGATGGCTGTTTTAATGTATTTATTTGCATTTTTTTGTTTATTATTTTTAATGATTAATTAATGTAATTTTATCTATTTAATTTTGTTAATTAGTCTATTAACTTTTGTTCTGTTGTTATATATTAAAATACATTGTGTTTTTAATTAACGATTTCACCAGGTCACTTAAAGATAAACTGTTCATCAAAATAATATAACTAAACCATAATAGCTTACAGTACTTTTACTTTTGATACTAAAGTACATTTTTAAAAAGTGAGTAAATTTGTACTAAGCTTATATCTACCTTCGCTCAAGTACAGGGTTTTTATAGGGCTTTGGAATATTGGCCTCACAAGTTTGCCTTACAAGTTTCTTTACTTGGGAATGATGCTTCATAACAGTGTCATAAATGGACCGGTCACTTTAGTTTAAGACTAGGCCTTTCCTGGATGCTCCTTTTAAACCCAAACATGATTTCCTCTCCTGTTTAAGATGCTTGTTGAACACGTACAGTGTAGTACAGCTTGTTTTGAACATGTTGCAGGCAACATTTTCAGAATGAGCATATTTTTACAAAAAACAATGACATAGATTTACAAATTTTTACCTTCTGCCTTAACTTTTTTGGACTCATGTTTGTAATTGTTGTAGTTTGTGTGTAATTAAATAGTCTGTTAAATAAATAATGCTTTCTGCTTTTTCCTGGTGCTGAAAAGTGAAGATTATGATTTTTTTGATTGGTAATTAAATAATTGAACATTAGTGTAGATGGTAGGTGTTACCGATGAATTGTCTGAAGTAGGTAGAAGGCAGGTGTTTCTAAGTGGCCTCTCAGTGTATATATTTCATGCTCTTACTGAATCCTATGCATCCTTAGCCTAGACAGGCTTTCTGCACAGCCTGTCTATGAAGTGTTTTACTAATTCACACATCTTTAACACTCATTTATTCGTTTAGCCCAGTATCTGACTGACAGGATGGTGTGCTCTCTCTCTGTCTGTCTCTCTCTCTATGTCTCTCTCTCGCTCTCTTTATGTCTCGATCTGTCTCGCTCTCGCTCTCTCTATGTCTCTTTCTCTATCTCTCGCTCTCTCTGTCTCTCTCTCTTTCTTTCTCTGTCTCTCTCTCTCTATATTTATGTCTCAATCTCTCTCTCTCTCTCTCTCTCTCTCTGTCTCTCGCTCTCTATGTCTCTCTCTTGCTCTCTTTATGTCTCGATCTGTCTCTCTCTCGCTCTTTCTATGTCTCTTTCTCTCTCTCTCTCTCTCTCACTCCCTCGATGTCTCTCCTCTCTCTCTGTCTCTCTCTCTTCCTGTCTCTCTCTCTCTCTCTCTGTCTCTCTCTCTCTCTCTCTCTCTCTCTCTCTCTGTGTCTCTTTCTCTCTCTCTCTCTCTATCTCTCTTCCTGTCTCTCTCTCTCTATGTCTCAATCTGTCTCTCTCTATCTCTCTCTCTCTCTCTCTCTCTCTCTCTCTCTCTGCTCTCTCTATGTCTCTGTGTCTCTCTTGCGCTCTCTCTATGTCTCTCTGTTTCTCTCTATGTCTCTCTCTGTCTCTCTCTCTCCCTTTCTGTTCCTCTCTCTCTCTCTCTCCCTCTCTCTCTCTCTCTCTCTCTCTCTCTCTCTCTCTCTCCCCTCGCTCTCTAGGAGAGGAAGAAGTTTGGGCCTCTGGGCTGGAACATTCGTTATGAGTTCAATGACAGTGACAGGGAGTGCGCTCTGCTCAACCTGAACCTGTACTGCCAGAGCGGTCACATCCCCTGGGACGCTCTCATCTACATTACCGGTGTGTGTGTGTGTGTGTGTGTGTGTGTGTTTCCTGTCTAAATGCTTGTTTAGGTGAGAATTATTCATGGCATTATTCATTGATCCACACTGTCACTCCCGGCCCTCATCCGTGACTGAAGGAGGAGACTGTGCGCAGTACATGCAGGCATGTAGAGATGTTATACGCAGCAGAGCCGAACTCCAGCGGTCAGTGTGTGTGTGCAGCTGTTTAAAAGGCAGTTTAAAGATGGATGAGTGTATTAAATGGTATTGAAATGCAGCTGCGAGAGAGACAGAGCCAGTTTTCTTTACCTTTGTCTCTTTCTTTGAGGTCATTCAGTTATATCACTGGAGAGCATCCTTGCAAATAGAATGGGACATACATATAATTTAATATGATTTAGCAAACTGTTTAAAGGTAAATCAGTCCTAGTTATTTGTCAGTTCTCTTTCCCTATCTAGAGCTCCACACACTCCACTCTGTGCTACCAAGCTGGGAGAGTGAAGGCCAGCACACCCTTCATCTACACTTTTACAAACTGCCACTATCACAATGCTGTTGAACAGGTCAACATATTTAGAGGACACTAAGGGCCCAATTCTGTTACTGTTCTTGGACTCCTGGACACAGATAGCTGTGGCATCGCTGGGGATAGAACTTACGATATCATGACAATATGGCCAATGATTAGACAGTTGTACCACTCTGGAGCATGTGTGCTCTGGAAGTTGGACTCAACCTGAGAATATGCTGCAGTGATTTCCATGTTGTTGCAGGTTTAGGCTGGAGTTGAAGTCATATGCTATGATGTGATGTCAGGATGAAAGCACTGAATTTACGCTCAGTGACACTGATGTCTCATTAATTGCTGGAAAGGTGTCAGTCACTGATGCAACGGACTGAAATGTGTGTGTGTAGGGGAAATTACATATGGAGGGAGAGTAACGGACGCGTGGGATCAGCGCTGTTTGCGCACCATCCTCAAAAGCTTCTTCTCGCCAGCAACTCTGGAGGAAGGCTACAAGTTCTCTGCATCAGGTACACACACAATCAGCAAGGACGCTTTCATCATGTGTTCCCTCACAGATTACCAGCTGCTTGATTAGAATGAGGACGTAATCTAGAAGAACCATTATGTATAGGATTATTCTATACCAGTAACATATTCTGGCTATTTTCCATTACTTTTAAATTACAGTTCATTTAGTTTCACACTGAATGATAGAAGCAGGTTTTGTCTGCACTGAAATATATGAAAGCCTGACTGAAGGCTGTACTAAGCGTGAGTGTGCCACGCTCGGCTGATCTTTTTAATTTTCTTTCTTGTGCTGAGAGGGAACATGTATAGCTTGAATCCAAGCCTTTTCCTCCTAATGAGATTTTCCATAGAATCTCTAATCTCATTACAGTCTTACCCTGTGAATTACTCTTACCTTCCTTTTTTAAATTTACTGTAAACATGTAATCCGGTTACATGTGCACATCATTTCTGTTTCTCTCCTGAACGAGAATGTCTGAAATAAACCTTAATGTGTACACATAAATCATGTGGATAAATATTTCAATTAAGCATTTCAGCATCTTACTATTACTGTGTTAAACCCAGGACCAGAGCACAAATTCTTAGTAGATGACATTTGGGTTGAAATTTGCAGCGAGAAAGTTGACAATCTAAAGACTTAAAGATCTAGTCGTCTGTTTCCACCTCTAACATTACGAGCCTAATTACATCATAACTTATTTAATTTTGTAATTTTTAGGCTGAAATGTGTGAAGAGATAGTTGATATCAAACACGATAAATTCACTAATTGTGGAGAAAATTTTATTCTACTATGTGCATAAAGGAACAGTGTAGGATGAACTTGTGCTTGATGTCAGCGCTTTTCTGCAACACATCCTATGTGCTATAGCTACACCCTGTACCATTTACTAGAGGTAGCCTTTCTGCAGTAGAAAGGATGTGTATCTGTCAAGAAGCAATGACTGATAAAAGAGCACAGAAAAAGAACAATCAGATTACTTTAATAAGCTGCTGGTGTTCTCAGAACAATAGACTGTCCACCTCAGGGTCCAAATCTCAACATCTTTGAATGTTTTTGGGATTATTTGGATTATGAGGAACAGAAAATGTAACCAACTTCTATGAATGAACTTTGGAGTTGTGGAAAAGTATCTCTGCAGATTTCTTTAAGAAACTTTAAGTGAGTCTCCTGAAAAGAATGGAGGTAGTAGTGAAGGCAAAGCGTGGACACACGAAATACTGAAAGAAATGATATTATATTTAGTTATTGAGGCTTCTGTGTAATTTTCTGTTACATATGTGGTTACTGCTTTTTTCTTGATGCTAAAGTATAAATAACCTATTTAATAGCCATTGTGAATGGAAATTAAATATAATAAAAGGCTGGTCTCTGGCACTGTACTTTATATCGTGCAGCCCTAACACATGACTTAATATTGTTTTTTGTGTGCAGGGATCTACTTTGCTCCTGAATCTGACAGTCTAAAGGAATATAACAGCTACATTGAAAATCTGCCCATCATTGATGACCCTGAAATCTTTGGAATGCATGAGAACGCCAACCTGGCTTTTCAGGTAAAATCACTCCAACTGCTCCTGCTCAGAAACCTGGTAGGTACCTAACTGAAGGTACCTAAGACATACCCTTGAAGGTGCCCTAGACAAGTGAGAGTTTAGTACCTTTTTTATGAGAGTGTAGAGTGTAGTAAGCCATTTGAGGTTCAGCCTTTGACAAAGAAGTCATTGTTCCATTTAATTTTGGTGTTGGATAAGACCTCTCATTTGTGTGCATCAGTGCTGCAAACACATTTATAATAGTATAAATATAAATAAGCACCGATGCACCAAAATGAACAGTCTTGGCCACTGCCAGCTGGAAACAGTCAAACCCAATAACGGTATGTCTTTCATGCTTTCAGACACAGCAGCAGCCTCACCTGCAGCTCTCTTAGAAACAGAATAACCCTCTCTGCTTTGTTAATTACAGAGACAGGAGACGCTGACTGTGATTAACACCATCCTGGAGGTGCAGCCGCGCTCCACGGCAGCTGGAGGGGGGAAGAGTAATGACGAGGTGGTCCATGAGCTTGCAGACTCCATCCTGGCCAAGATCCCTGGTGAGAATCCCTCCTAAACTACATCAAATGCAGAATCATCACACAACTACAACTACGAAAACTGTATGAAACTACATTAACGACATAATGTTTATTAAACTACACCAGCTGCAGAATCCTCACTAAACTACATCAACTACAGAATCCTCACTAAACTACATCAACTACAGAATCCTCACTAAACTACATCAACTTCAGGGTCTTCACAAAACTACATCAACTACAAAATCCTCATAAAACTACATCAACTACACAATACTCACAAAACTACATCAACTACAGAATCCTCACCAAACTACATCAACTACACAATACTCACAAAACTACATCAACTACAAAATCCTCACAAAACTACATCAACCTTTGAATCCTCACAAAACTACGGAAATTATAGAATCCTTACTAAACTACATCAACTACATAATCCTCACTAAACTACATCAACTACATAATCCTCACAAACTACATCAACTACAGAATCCTCACAAAACTACATCAACTACAGAATCCTCACAAAACTACATCAACCTTTGAATCCTCACAAAACTACATAAATTATAGAATCCTTACTAAACTACATCAACTACAGAATCCTTAGTAAACCATATTAGTTGCAGAATAAACTCCACCAGCTACAGAATCATCACTAAACTATATCAACTACGGAGTTCTCAGCAAACCACATCAGCTATAAATATCTCTGCAGATTTCTTTGAAAAACTAAAAGCAAGTCTCTTGAAAAGAATGAAAGCTGTAATAAAGGTGAAAGTGTGGACACACTAAATGCTGAAAATTGTACAGTATATTTAGTTGTTGAGGCTTCTATGTCACATTATTTTAAATATTCTGCTTCTTTTCCTAAAAAATAAAAAATATATCATTTGTATGACAAAGTAAAGTACAGGTGATCTGAATTCTGCACAGTACTGTGTGTGAAAGCGGGTGAAATGCATGAAAATGTGCTTAGAGATGAGCGGAAAATACATAAAAATGTGTTCAGTGAAAGGATGGAAAATACATAAAAGTTTATCCTTCCGTAACCCCATACTGTCATTAGCTGCTCTAAATCCTTCCTCCATAACTTTCTCTCACATCAGCTCTGCACTGTTGTGTTTATATTCAGCTCTACACAGGTAACCTTACGTAAGCCCTGCGACTGAGTCAGCAGCTTCAGCAGCTTCAGCCGCTCAGCAGCTAGTGACTGTTTACTCCTTGTGTAAGACTGCTGTGAAGTGACCTGACCTTCGGAGGGACGGAGAGACACCCGCAGTCATCATTTATCAGTTATCAACATGCTGTATGTTTGTGATTGTAGAGAAGCTGGACATGGACAGTGCGGCTGAGAGTCTGTTTGTGCGTGATGCTAACGGCCGAGTGAACTCCCTGACCACTGTGCTGGGACAGGAGGTGGACCGTTTCAACATCCTGCTGCGTATACTAAGGGTGAGTATTTCAAAGAAGGTCCACAGCACAGGGTCAGAGGTCACATACGGCTGACCGGTTAACTCCATTTGACCCATAAGCACTGAAGAGTTAGCACAGTACATTCAAGTTTCAGTGTAACGGTATGAACTGGGAACAGTGCGTCATGGAGACACATTGTGTTCCGATCACTCAGACCACCTTCTAAGGTGGTCAAGGACTCATATGACCACATAACACGTTGTGAACACTAAAGTGTCTTGATGCATCTTTAACAGTAGCAAAGGATCTTAATCAGCTTCATCATAACAGCAGAGAAGAAAGTAGCTGTGTAGCTACTTGTGTTTAAAACAGCCCTTTCATTTACACAAACACAGACCTGCGAGACTGACGTAGTAAATGTGACATAGTAAATTTTCCTCCAGCCATGAAATCTGAACCCTGGAGACCAGGGTTGGGCAAAATACTTTGGGAAAATAGTGATGGCAGAATATTGAATACACTGTCCTAAACATATGTAGTAACATATTCCTGTACAACACATAACAAAGTAATGTATTCAGAACACATTTAGAATACATATTGATATTACATGGGAAAACTCTGCTGTAAGTTGTATGTATTTCACATTGTTCCTCGCTGATACATCCTTCTGATGATATGTTTCATGGAAAATTCAATGATTCAAACCAATACAAAAATAAATTTCATGACCTAAGCCAACAATTCACCATATCCCAATAACAAAAACCTGCAAATTTGACCATAAAATGAGTAGCAATGTGATTTTCAGTTAATGATATGCACAAGTCCAGTACATGCCAAGCTGAGTTTAGAACTTTAGAAAATGTCCAGCGTTCTGTTCGGTCATCCCACACCGTCCTGTGTCTCACTGTCCACTTATGATCAGATCACTCCAGACAGATGTTAATACCAAGTGTGAACAGGGCCTTAGCTAAAAAAAAACACACGCAGCCAAAATAACAAAACAACCAAATAACTTTTTTGAATTGTTATGTTATGTTATGTTAAATGTTATGAATGTTTTGTTTAATTTGTCACAGGTTTATACTGAACAGTGGCAGACAAAGTACACAACTCCTGAAAGGAGAGATAGCCTTTGTAAAATATTACTCGCGTAAAGGTCAGTTAGAGGTCCTCTATGTATATTGAATGTTTAAAAAAAGGCACATGTAATACATACGTAGTTTGAGATGAAAGATGTTATTTTCGTCGTGAGACAGAATCACTTACCAAATCATTAGATAGCCTTAGAGTTAAATAAAAGCTGTTACAAATAAACAGTGATATATTACAATACTGAATTTAAGTTGTGTTGTTTATTGAAGCAATAGGCCACAAGATACCATGTTACTGCAACATTATCACAGGAAGGGTGTTCTAAGGCATGACGCAAAGTGGAATGCCTAAAACTCCCTTCCCCTTTTATAAAACGGCAGCCAACATAAAATATGATAATATTTTTCAGAAAATAATGTATTATTGATAATAATCAACATAAACAAGTATTCTACCATGAAATGCAGTTCCTTTAGAGTATGGTATCATTGTCAAGCAACCATGGACCACTGAATGAGGAGAATGTTCGGTCTCCCATCAGTGTTTACTGCGGTCATTTCATAAACTTTTTAACTTTTTGTCAGATAACAATGAACATTTGATAACACAGCACTGTTTAATGCAAAAACATTCGATTTATAAGTACTTTTTGGTCACCAAACTACCACCGCAAGTCTTATTTAGCACCAATCTAATGGAGCTGAATTTCAAATGGAGCCCTGCTGCCTACATAGTGCACTACGAAAAAGAATTTAAATACTGGATGCTGCACCTCAATGGTGATTTGGGATTCAGCCACATCCATACTCAATAAATGATGCACGATTTAGCTGTAGAGGTGAGACTTCCTAAACTTTCATAGCTAGCACACTATTTAGGAAGTACAGAGCCGTTTGGGATTCAGCCTGGGTTTGACGCGACTTCTGACTGAAACATGAATATTTGAAGCGTGTAAGACATTCAGGTTTTAGACTTTTATATTGCTGATTTATGGTTAATCATACCGTAAGTACTTTAATTCAAGCCTGTGATATTAATGATAGAGTTGTTTAAGCTGTTAGCAGTATTTTAGCCTGTTAACTAGCTGACCAGCCTAGTTCTAGTTAAGAAAATACGTTCCAAGCTAAAATGAAATATGTTTGTGATGATAGCCTTACCTGTGCCGATTATGTGCAGTTTATTTCACAGATCTCTAAACTAATCACTGCCTGCTTCTCTAGGTTCACTAGAACATACTTCACCATACAAACACAACTGAGCAACAGCACAACCTGTGCCTGCAGGTTTGCTGGTGTTTGCTCATTTGGTGCTTATGTTAAAAAATGAGAAGATTGTAACTATTGTGAATATTGGACGGTAAAATGGTTTGTGGGAATCAAATCCTGAGATTTCAAGCCTTCTAGTAGTATATTACATCACTGTATTGCTGAATGATTTGATGCAAAAAAAAATGATGTATATAAGTGTACAGTGTTCTAGAAAAGGTTAACAGGTATGATTGTGCTATATTCAAACTTTTGGTACTGCTGTTGGGACTGTTTGATGGGTTTCACCACTAATTCCTGGGCAAGACAAACACTAACACTACAGTCACCTACGTCTGATTAAACTGTCAGTCAGTCTGGATAAGTGTGTCTGCCAAATACCGTAAGTATAAATAAAAGTGTAAATAATGGGGGCCATTTAGTTGACAACAGTGACTCCAGTGCTTGGAGCAGCATTCTAAAACAATAATGGCTTATGCTAAATAATGTTATCCATACACCCAGACTGCTAGACAAGAACCCAATAAATAATAGTGAATTTCAGGAATGGTTCTTCTATGGTTCTTTCTATAAAGCACTCAGTTCTTCATGGAACTTAGTAGTACATTTTGGATGCTTTTACTGGACCAATAAGAGCTTCTGTTAAAAATCTGCATATGACCTAGATTTGTAGCTCCTGCCAGTGTTCTGGAGGATTCCCGTGTTGCTCATGGAGGCTTTGCTAATGGGCTGATGAGTTGAATCAGGTGTGTTAGGGGGAAAAATCCTGAACTGTGCAGAAGGGGTCCCTCAGGACTGGGCTAGAAAATCACTGACCTACATAGTGATTTGGAGATTAATGCTGCATTCTCTGATTTCTGAGCTCAAACCCTTCTTTTGTGTGTGTTTGTGAATTTCTGCAGGTCTCTCTTAGCACTCTGCAGAAGGCCATAGCAGGGTTGGTGGTCATGTCAGAGGAGATGGAGAAGATCTACGGCAGTTTTCTGAACAATCAGGTTCCGGAGCACTGGGCCAGTTCAGCCTATCCCTCACTGAAGCCCCTGGGCAGCTGGGTCAAAGACCTCGCCCTGCGCACTGCCTTCATACAGGTACAGCACATCTTCGCATACTTTCCTTAGTTCATTTTGGGGTGCCATTATTCGACTGAGATAGGAGCCTTGTAGCTCCTCTCTACTTGTGTACAGCCATGTACAGTTTATGTTAACCATCTTCCAGTCCAGTGGCTCAACACTTCTCATACAACAGCTTCTTCCAGAATCATGGGTAAGTATGGGGAGCTGATGAAATGAAATTATATTTTTAAATTTTAAATTTTATATATTTTTAAATTATATATTTTATAATTATAAATTTTATTTATAAATGCTAAATAATTATACAGCTTCCTTTCAGTTAAAAAAAATCTGCAGGAATATTTTTCCATGCCTCCAAAGTTCCTAGAAGTTGGTTGGACTTTCTGCTTCTCATGTTCCAAATAATCCCAAACCCATTTAGTGATGTTGAGGTCTGGACTCTGGGGTGGTCAGTGCATTGTTCTGAGAACACCAGCAGCTTCTTTGTTTGTTTTGCCTGTTTCCTTTACTCAGTAAGAGCTTCTTGTCTGCTACACATCCTTCCAGACTCACAGTGCTGAGTCGTCTTCTTACAGTGGAAGGATGGACAGAAACACCTGTGGATGTTTTCAGATCTGAATCCAGAGTGGGGCTTGATATTCTTCTCTGTCTCAAAGGTGGAAGCTTTAAGTGCTGTTTATCTGATGGGGACAGTTTTGGTGTCTATCAGGTCTTGCAGGTGGTTGTTAGGGGTCCCATTTTCTCTGTAGCTTTTATTAATTTTCTGAACTCCTTTTTTTTTTTACACTTTTTGTCGGTCTTCCTCCTAATATCATCATTGGTGTCTTGTATCACTTACCAGAGCATCTGAGATTTCTTCAGTCGGTTCATCCACCATGCTCGTTAGTTTGCTAGCCTGGTTAGCATTAGCTGCAGCCCTGGGCTTGGTTTTCTTGCTACCAGGTGTTGCATGGTTATTAGGAGTTTCATCTTCTTTGTATCTTCTAATCATTTTTTGAATTCCAGTTTTGGAAACTCCTGTTTTTTCACTTAGTTTCCTGAATATCTCCTGAAAAATTACTTGTACTTGGCTGTTGCTTTCAGTTTTTCAAAGAAATCTGCAGGGCTATTTTTCGACACCTCCAAAGTTCAGTCTTAGAAGTTGCATTCTCTACTTCTCACCTGAAAATGAACTTGTACTAAGTGGCAGTGATAAACGTAAATGAAATAAATGAAAAGTGGTCTCTGTACATTTAAAATACACTGATCAGGCATTATTAACATTATGACCACCTCCTTGTTTCTACGCTTGTTGTCCATTTTATCAGCTCCACTTACTATATAGGTGCACTTTGTAGTTCTACAGTTACAGACTGTAGTCCATCTGTTTCTCTGCATACTTTGTTGGCCTCCTTTTACCCTGTTCTTCAATGGTCATGAGCCCCCACAGGACCACCGCAGAGCAGGTATTATTTGGGTGGTGGATCATTCTCAGCACTGCAGTAACACTGACGTGGTAGTGGTGTGTCTGGATATTTTTGGTTGGTGGACTATTCTCAGTCCAGCAGTGACACTGAGGTGTTTAAAAACTCCAGCAGCACTGCTGTGTCTGATCCACTTAGACCAGCACAACACACACTAACACACCACCACCATGTCAGTGTCACTGCAGTGCTGAGAATGATCCACTACCCAAATAGTACCTGCTCTGTGAGGGTCCATGGGGGTCCTGACCACTGAAGAACAAAGTAAAGGGGGCTAACAAAGTATGCAGAGAAACAGATGGACTACAGTCATCTGTATGGACTACAAGTGGTCATAATGTTATGCCTGATCGGTGTACATACACATTCCATATGTTGAGAAATGCATAATGAAAATATATACAGTTTTATAATACTAAGTAAATAATATGTCATAAGATGAACAGCTGGATAAGATATTAGAGCAATTAGACTGAGCAGTAGGAGAAAAGTGCACACATTAGTTTTATGACTGAGAGCTAACTGAAGGCCTCCTCTGAAGCCAGTGAGATATGAGCTCCTTATTGTACTGCAAAGAGGAGTGCTAGGAGGACACACACTCACACACACACACATACACACAGCCAAAACATAATATTTTCCAATACTTCCTACACAGGCACATATCCTCAAAGCTTTCTCACATTTCCTCTCCCCCAGGCTTTCCTGCATGGTTTAGTAGGTGCACTGTTCACTCTCATACCAAAGCTGACTGAGCGTGCTGTTCCATGTGGCTGGTCTGGACTATTCCCTTACATAACACACAGCAGCACACACACCAACACAATTCAACACACACATGCACACACACACACTGTACTAATATGAGTGCATGCGTTATGAGGCATATTGTAATGGTGAAATGGCTGGGCTGCTGACTGAGAGCGGAACATTGGCTTAGTGTGTGTGTGAGTGTGTGTGAGTGTGTGTGTGTGTGTGTGTGTGTGTGTGTGTGTGTGTGTGTGTGAGCAGTGAGGTAGGAAATCGCTTCCACCGCAACAATCCACTCTGAGAAAAACCCACACTAAGCCTGCACTGCTGATGAACCACAGACCTCATTAACCCACAGACATCACAAACACTAATATAGTTATTACCATGCTGTCGCTACGCTGTTTACAAAGTCAGAGACCGATTTCATTTCCAGTCAAACAAGTCATTTTTCAGGAGATGTTTCTGAGGAGATTAGATATAAGATAATCTTCTTACATAAGGAAGTAGAAAGTCAAAAGAAAAGAGAAAAAGAGTTATAGAGAAAATGGGACTCCTGACTAGGAGAACAAATCTTCATAATCGATTTTTGTCCCATTATGATTTCAATTAAAAAATGAATTGAGAAACAAAAAAGCTGCAGATTTTAGTCTGGCAATAATGTTTCATTCGACAGATTCAAAATACAAAAAAAAATCTCATGAATATCATCTAAGTAGGGTTTTTTTAAACCCGAATTACAGCAACACATCCTCCGCATCACTCGAGAAAGGTGCAGAAACAGTTTCCAGTCTTTGTAAGAATGCACAGATGAAATTACGGGGTTAATTACAGTGGTAATTGCTCTGGATTCAATTAACACTGACATGTTCTGTGGCAATAAAATAATTAATCAATCAATAAAGGAGCAATGCAAGCTGTATTTCTTCTCTAATGATCAGAACTATTATAATTATTAAAACTGTTACTAGAATTAAAACTAGCAGTGAAAAAATGTGCTCATTAATATTCAAAAGCACTGAATTAAATCAAACCTATAATGTCCACTGAAAAACAAACTAAAACTAAATAGAATTAATGAGAATTTTCTTCAGTGCATGAATCAGAGATTAGAAGTGTGTTTCTGTGTTTGGCTGTTTTCAAGGAAAACTGGAGCTGAGCTGAGCTGAGCTGAGCTTACTGATTTTGTTAAACTAAATAAAAACTAAAGCAAAACTATTACTTTTCAGAAAATAAAAAACCTTAACTATTAATGCACCATTAAAACTAAACTGAAATCGAAAAACCAAAATGAAAAACTAAATAAGAATAAGAACTACTGAAAATCAGAACTATAATAACCCTGCTAATGGTAAAACAGAAATGGTGAAATTTGATATTACAGATTAACGCTAATATTCCACACATCAACTGTGTCAGATACAGACACCTAAAGCAGCTCCTCACATGTAAAACGGCAGTTAACATGCTTGGTGTTTTCAAACGTGTGTTTTTATCAGTCCACATTCAAAAACTGATAATAGTCTTAGGAAATTTCACGGAAGCTCTGGTTTTGTGGATGGGAGGCTAAAACTAAACACATCTGAGCTGGTCTGTATGCGTTAGTGTACAAGCTAATGCACACAGGGGATACCTGCAGAGTTTAGCTGTGCAGTTTAGACCAACAGTTTCACAATGTAGCTCAACCCTTCAGCCAGTGATGCTTATTCTCTCTGCTAAACTGAAACAGAATCTGCAGGAAAGCAGACAGCGATGCACTGTTGTTTACTTCTGACTGTGGATTTGTAAGAATAAGATATTAGTATCGAGTTTTGAGTTAGTACAGAGTTTTGGCTGTTGACGCCGTGTAGATTCTCTCTCATACTCGTGCCTGAAGGCCGACATTAAAATGAAGTGTTTTGGTAGTTTTAGATTTTTTTTGGATTGTGCATGACTGTACTGCAGTGTCCACTATCTGTATCAAGCCAGCTAATCAATAACTTCATTCGTTGACAACAATTTTTTGTCACTGACGTTAGCAATAATGTTGATTAGTTCATGCAGCCCTACTCCTAACAACCATAGAAGACCATCAGATAAACACACAAAGCTTTCATCTTTGAGAGAGAGAGGAGAAAATCACTCTTGATTCAGATCTGAAAAACATCCACAGGTGTTTCAGTCCATCCTTCCACGGTGAGGAGACTTTTTCACACTTTGAAAATAGTCCAAAAACTTTATTTTGTCCCAAAAATTCTTGCATACGTTACTGTTTAATAGAACAGTAATCAGTTCTAATGTTCCAAAAATCAAAGCAGTCGAATCGCCACCATCACAATGCTGCATCATGATGCACTGCTGCGTTTCTACACCTAGTTAACATGCTTTAGCTTTTCTCGCATCCCGTCTTAGCGCATTTTAATCTCAAGCCAGCTTATACAATTTCCAACATCTTTCATGATTGGAACGATTCATCTTGAACATAAACAGTGACGGGTAATTTCGGAGGAAGGTCGTGAGCAGGGAGTACACACTTTAGTCTGGAAGAACTTCGGACAGAAAGTCCTGCTCAAGGACAAAAGGGAGCCAACGCTCTGCATGTGTTATAACCTGCAGCCCTCTGCTCTAGTTAGCAAGTCAGATTTCTTTCATGCCCTAGATGGGAATTGAACCAGAAGTGATTGTTGCCTGTTAGAGAAACCTCTGGCTGCAAAAAGTGCCTTTTTATTAACCCCACTGAGGTAATACTACACATACAGTATGCATCTGTAGTATAACATGCTAACAGTAGGTCTTATATAAATGTAATGTAGTGAGTTAAATGAACCAGACCCTCCTAGCAAATGTTAGTGTTGAATATCTATGGAATAAACAGCTTTTGCTCTTTGTGCATGTGTTTGTAGAGCTGGGTAACGAGAGGGCAGCCCAAGTCTTTCTGGATCTCTGGCTTCTTCTTCCCTCAAGGCTTCCTCACAGGTTGGTGTTCTAAAACTCCAATGAGCCGTTCGTTCTTGCAGAGAAAAATACTGCAACATACGTTCTCCTGTCCTGCAGGCGCACTGCAGAACCATGCACGCAAGTACAACCTGCCCATAGACGAGCTCAACTTCCGCTTCAACGTGATCCCTGCGTACCGAGACCAGGCGGTGGTCACTGAAGCCCTGAAGAACCTCAGCCCCGGTGTGGAACTTGAACTGGACCAGGAGGTCAGCTCAGGGCCGATGGGTTATGGGTCAAGCTTTATTTCTGATTAGTTTAATACACTTATCTCTAAGAACTTTATTAGAAGTACCTACCTTATTGGTTCACCGAACAATTACAGGCTGTAGTTCATCTATTGCAGCAATTTATCCGTCCATTTCTGGCAACAGGACGGCCAGATTGAGAGTTGTCTGCCAAGTTGAGAGTCCAGTTTCAAACTGTGCATCAACAGATGGACTAAAGTGTCTGAACATACCCCAGTAAAGTGGCTGTTTCTTGGTCGCTATTGTGGAAGTGTTAACAGGGCACCAGTGTGTTTATTGATCACTGTCTGTGTGAACGTGTTATTTTTTTTAGCTTCCTCCTGTGGAGGATGGAGTGTTAGTGCATGGAATGTTCATGGACTCCAGTCGCTGGGATGACAAAAACATGGCGATGGAGGACGCGTTGCCACGGGTGATGAACCCAGTGCTGCCAGTGGTGCACTTTGAGCCCCAGCAGAACTACGTGCCTGATCCATCACTGTACCACGCTCCACTCTACAAAACCTCAGCCAGAGCCGGCACACTCTCCACTACAGGTAACATAGATCAAAGTAGAAAAAATATGTAAGTACAATATACAAAATATACTGTAAGATAAACTATAGAGCAACACACAACACTGTGGAGCCACATTACATGATAAACGAGCCACATGATATCATTAAGGTAACATGATAAACTAGAAAAGTGTATTACCTGAAGAGTGATTGCAAAGTTTTTGCTTGCTAAGATGTTGTCATTGCTATGGCATCATAAATGGTTGCTAAGTTGTTGCTACGTGGTTGCTGTTGCACCTTAGGTGGTTGCTAAGGTGTTGCTACGTGGTTGGTATGGTATCCCAGGTAGTTGTTATGGTATCCCAGGTAGTTGCTAGGTTATCCCAGGTAGTTGCTAGGTTGTCCCAGGTAGTTGCTAGGGGGTTTTCAAAACTGGAGTTCAACAAGTTATTAAATGATACAGATAAACAGCACTTAAAGCTTTAATCTTTGAGAGAGAGTAGAAAATCAAGCTCCACTCTTACTTTAGATCTGAAAACATCCACAGCTGTTTCTGTCCATCCTTCAGCACTATGAGTCTGAAAGGATGTGTAGCTGACAAGAAGCTCTTAAAGAGAAAAGGAATGAAGAAAACTTGCAAATCACCCAGATAAGCTGCTTGTGTTCTTAGAACAATGGATTGACCACCCAGAGTCCAAACATCAACATCACTGAATGTGTTTGGGATTACTCATATCAGGTGAAGCAGAAAGTTCAACCAACTTCTGAGACTGAACTTACTGCAGATTTCTTTGAGAAACTGGAAGCGAGTCGCCTGAAAAGAATGGAAGCTGTAATAAAGGCAAAGAGTGGACACTGTCCTAACTTGGAAATTATATAAATGAAGTGTCTGTGACTTTTCCACAGTACTGTATGTTAAACTGTATAAGAACCACATTATATGATAAATATGAAACATCAAACAATAGAAAAAAACTAATTGTTATAAACGTTACACAGATTCTCGAATCATATTTTTCTGAATGCTATGATTTTCCTGTTTTGCAGGACACTCCACTAATTTTGTGGTGACAGTGCTGTTACCATCCAACAGGCCCAGTGACTACTGGATCTCCAAAGCCTCAGCACTGCTCTGTCAACTCAACGAGTAACAGACGCACCTTCTGCACACCTTTGTTTATTTACACTTCTGTTGGTCTTCACACCTTCTAAATGCTGTTTATGCTGCAACTGTAAGCTAATAAACCAGTCAAAATGAATCCTGAATAAATATAAACATGAACAGCACAGGCATAAGTGGCACTGGTGTGGATCTACTTTCAACAAAGCAGTTTAAAACAAAAAATACCCCAAAACATCTGGATCACAAGAAACGCTGGAGCTTTTTTTATTGAGGTTTTATTTAAAATCTATATTTTCTATTAAAATGTTAGTTCATGGTGTTTACATAATGTCTGTACATATTGCAAAGCGGATTCACAGAGAGAACAATACAGGACAAATCAGATTGGAGCACAACACACGCTACAGGTGAAATACTGTACTTTGACCACAGTGCTGATATTATACATATATAAGTACATTTTACATAAAAATATCAGATCAGATCGGTTACAGGGACACCAGACTACATCTCATCACATGTTCCTGAATGCACGATTGAAATTCTTCTCATGTTTTCAGTCTTTCCGATCTGAGCAACCCTGGAACATCATTGTCCATGTCGTTGATAGTGCGCTTCGAGCGATAGAAACTGACAGAACACTATACATGTGCAATCAAATGAATTCAGAACTACAAATAAAGAATGGTCACAACAAAGAAAGCATATATTTTAGGGTGGTTCCAGGATTTAGAGTGTGGGCCCTCTTTTTCGGCAGAGTTCTAGGCTTTCCCAGCGAATTACCAAACCCATCGAAATTCCTGAGTTGACTCAGGTACATTAAAACAGGGAAAACAGCAAATTTTAACATGGATCACCTGGATGTGTGATGCAAACCCTCATCGAAATATGGAGTACGGTTTCATGACAGGCTTCGAGGATCACAGTGGAGGAAAAACTCTTAGGGAAGTCGCTCTGGTGTCCGTTATAATTCCGACAAAATTCATGGCACTCTAACTTTTCCATTATAAAGCTTTCTTAGATTCTTCAGCAGGGTGGTGGATTTCTACATTTGCACAGTGACTGAGTGACAAACCGATTAATAAAACCAAAACAGCAACAACGACAACGAAAGCAGTGATACGCAGCTGTGATGTGGGAGGAGCTTAGCAACAGCACAGTGTTCGGAGAGCAGTATATGGAGAGGCAAAGAGAGTGTCAACATCACACTCAGTACACCAAACTACTGCACCACGCCTGCTCCAGAGAGAGGCTACAGTGGACAACCACAATAAACTAAAGTCCAGAAGTTTTTCTGAAGGTCTACATGTTTGCTGAGAAGTAACTAGATTTGAAAAATACACTCAGTTTGGTCAATATTTTTTTTTCTTTTTCATTTTGTTCATGTTTCTCAAAAATGACCAGGAACGAAACAACTTTGGCAGTACACAATGATTCAAACGCACTCACTCAGTCACACGTCTTAAAATCACTCAAACTGATTCACACTTCTCACACTGACTCACACTTACACTGAATCACAGTGCCTCAATGAATCGCAGCAACTCACAGTACCACACTGAATCTTACTGATTCACACCAAATCGTACTGATTCACACTGTCACACCTGACCTGACACACTGAATCTCACTGATTCTCTCCAAAACTCATTGATTCACTGCAGATTTTGTTATTCATATTGAATCTCACTGATTCACACTGAGTCACACTTAAACAGACTCAAAAAGTCCAAGTGATTCCTGCTGAATTGCACCAATTCACACTGCTGAATTTCACCAATTTTACACCAAAACTCACAAGCTTAAACTGACTCGGTGAATCGCTGTGACTCAGTGAATTACAACAAACCTCACTGACTCACACTTGCACCAAATCACAATGAATGGCAGTGACTCACGTTTCACACTGATTCACACTGAAAATCACTGATTTACACCTAAACAGACTCAATGAATCACAGTGACTCACTGTGACTCACACAGAATCTCACTGATTTACATTGAACTTCAATCATTCACACACAATCTCAGTGATTCACACTGCTGACACTGATACGAATTCAGTGAATCGCAGCGACTCACACTGAATCACACTGACTCTCATTCATTCACACTCCTCACACTGATTCACACACAAAATCACAATGACTCACAACGAATCTCATTTCTCATACAGAGTCATGTGGTGGTGGTTAGTTTTTCTCTAGCACATCTAATTTATCTACAAAAAACAAAATAATAATAGCAAAGCGAGGACCACGTGATTATGTGTAGTCCTTGGAGACGGCCTCGATGAAGTTGGGCGCCGACATGAGGATGGTGAAGGTGCAGATGATGGAGAAGAGCGAGAAGGTGACGAGGCAGAGACGGTCCACCACGGCGGCGGCGAATTTCCACTCGCTGCACACGGCCTCGGCCTCGTCCTGCGCTCGAAAACGCTGCGAGATGTACAGCACCTCGGCCAGAATGCGCTGGATCTCCCTCTCGCCCGCCACCGCCACCACCTCCCCCCGCTGCTGCTCATGACCCGGAGAGCCCCCCGCCGGCCGCCCGCCACACGACACGCCCGAGTCACTGCTGGCAGGGCAGCAGGCGCTGTCCATCGAGTGATAGCCGAAGTAGAGGTTCATGTGGCCGTTGGTGGCCGAGCTGGCTGAGGAGGAGGGTGCCTGGCCAGGCACGGCGCCCATCTGGATGCTGCTGGCGCTGGCGTGGTGCAGTGGTGGGTGAGCGTACTTATAGCCTGACTTGCGCTCTTCGCCCGGCTTCTTCATACGCAAGAACCAGGCGCACCAGTTTAGAAGGATCACCCGCACCTGAGAAATGGAAGCGGACACTACAGTCAGGTTTTTCTTACTGACCGACAGATTAGTGGAACCAAAACAGCAACAAAAGCAGTCACACATAGAGGATTCTGGCAAAAGCAGTGTTTGGAGAGCAGGATGTGGAGAAGCAAAAGAGCACTTGGGCATGTTTTTCATCATGTTGTGTAGTTTTTGATACAACTATTGTTGTCACGTTTTGTCCTTCAGTGTTCTCTTACTACAATACCCAGCATGCATTTCGCCAATACATCATACAACCATTGGTACTTCCTACTGCAATCAACCAATCCACACTGCTAGCAACAAGGCTAATAATGCACCCATGTGGCTAACTAGCATTGGTGGTGTAGTGCTTAACTGGTCGTGGAACAAGATACGTGTTATTTTATCAACGACATAATTCAGTACAGAAATGTGGAAATTATAAAGATGTTTTTCACCATTTTCCCTGATGAAGATGTCAGACACAAGTTTTCAGTCAGATAAATGGAGCTAAACTGAGGTGAGGTATCTAGCTAGCTAGGTAGTTCGCTTTGTCTTTGTTATCACCTCTCATAAAATGTTTGTCATTACATGTTAATATTTTACCAATAGCATTTCTACCTTAAGTAATATTTTACCAATAGCATTTCTACTTAAGTATATTTGAGCAATAGTATTTCTACTTAAGTAATATTTTACCAATAGCATTTCTACCTTAAGTATATTTTACCAATAGCATTTCTACTTAGTAATATTTTACAAATGGCATTTCTACTTAAGTAATATTTCACCAATAGCATTTCTACTTAAGTCATATTTTACCAATAAGCATTTCTAACTTAAGTATATATTACAAATAGCATTTCTACCTTATGTAGATGGTACCAGTAACATTTCTACTTAAGTAATATTTACCAATAGCATTTCTAATTAAGTAATATTTTACTAATAGCATTTCTACTTTTACTCAAGTAATATTTTGCCAGTAGTTTTTGAACTGTATGTAATATTTTACCAATAGCATTTCTATTTTAACTTAAGTAAACTGTTATGTTCAAGAACGTATATTTATACATATAGTCAGCTAGGCCTTGTATTATATGTATTATAAATACTCAAGTATTTCTTTCTAAATACTTTTTGTGATGCTTGTTCATGTGTTATTAAGTCTGAATGGAAGTGGCCTTTAAATAAGGGTAAGTTGTCTAATTACTGCTGAAAATAAGGGATAATGAAACAGGAACTGGTTTTGGGAGCTGGGATTTAAATGAGAAATGAAATGTTTGGGGTCATTTTAGTGTGTTCTGTTGTTTTTCCTTTTGTCTGGTGAAGCGGGCAGTCTGAGCCCCGCTGGGCACTGGTTATGTTAGGCAGATGGAGTGTGTGTGGCCTTCAGCGAGGCCTGCTCTGTTTAAAGATTCAGACCTGTCTCAGTGCAGGCAGCTCCCGGCGGGCCTGAGCTAAATAAGAAACGCCGGCCAGCCGGACTTCCAGAGAGGCTTTTTTCTCTAATAAGAGTTGAGAAGAAGACATTAAAATTTTATCGACGGGACCTGATTAACGGTGTATAACCTCGCCATCTGCCTGTGTCACTTCTGCATTCTAGAACTTTCCACACCTACACAGACTGTTGGTTCACTGTACAGTGTCATTTACTGCTCACTGAAACTCCAGTGACTTATCACAACGGCATCATGAGGAACACCACTGAGGAATCAAAGTGGACTTGAAAAAAGAAGGAAACCTGTAATAACAGTCCATAATATAAGTCTAGTTTCATTCTCTGTATTTTGGTACTAGACTTTACTCTGTTTCATCAGCATTACAGGAGAATGTAAATGGTCAATCCTAATGTACTTCAGCATTAGCTACTAACCTACTCTAACTGACCACTTTATTAGGTCCAGCTATCTTGTATCTGCACTCATTGTCCATTTTCTACAGATTGCAGTCCATCTGTTTCTCGGCATACTTTGTTAGTCTTTCTTTACTGCATTCATCAGTGAACAGGTGGTGGATTATTTGGGTGGTGGACCATTCTTAGCACAGCAGTGACACTGGCTTTATTAGGGCTAATACAGTGGTTAGTGAAGCTGTTCAGCTTTAACATTATAATTTTTAGCTTTTTAAATGTTTTTACAGTGTAGATAAGATTTACATATTATTTTTGCCATGGTGAGTATGCAAATACAGCCATGTAACTTTTATTTTTTCTAATTCTTTTAAATTTATGTTGTCTTCTAGTGGTGTCGGAAACTGGGAAATAGCAATTTTCCACTCAAACAGCCGAAAAGTTGGATTTCCAGGTAGGAAACTGCAAGTCTAGATGATATACGAGTGTTTTTTCCAGTGTAGTGGCTGTTTCTTTCAATAAGCACCACAGAATGAGGTCATAGTTACTAGTTAACCATCTGGTAGATACGAAAAGCACCTGATGAGAAACCAAATGCAGCATTCGTCATCATTAATTCCACCACCTAGCTATGTCTCCTCTATCATACACTCTTAAAAAAAGATGGTTCTTCAAGGGTGAAGGCCATGGTTCTATTTAAAACCATGAGTTCTGTATAGATCCATTTCATGTTTAAATTCTTTGCATGGTAAAATGTTCTTCAGATCGATGGAGAATGTGTGGTGTATGATTCTATATCGAACCTTTTTGAAAATGGTTCTATATAGCACCAAAAAGGGTTCTGCTACTCTTACGATGTCAAGCTTGTGACAATAGAAGAACGCTGTGTGGTGCTATATAGAACCAGACCTTAGAATCATATACAACACAGTCTCCATCAATCTGAAGAACCATTTCACTATGCAAAGAACCATTTATGTGTCTAAATAGAACCATTTCCTTTACTAAAACCCTTAAAGAACCAAGAAGAGTGTACAGTGCTGCCAAGCAGAGAGGGTGAAAACCAGTTCTGGGTCACAAGAAGCACCAGCACATCTTTTCGAACTGCAGCCAACATCACTGGACAGCTCAACGTGCTTGGAGAGCACTGATGGAGGGAGGGATGGAGGGAAGGGGCCATCCTAGCCACCCAGAGAGAGTGAGGCCAAAATGTGCAAATCTAATTGGTGTTCTTGGAGCAATGGACTGGTCACCCCTTGGTCAACATCACTGAACGTGTTTAACGGATTTGGATTGTAAAAAGCAGAAAATGCCACCAAATTCTAAGACTGAACTTTGGAGGTGTGAAAAATATCCCTGCAGATTTCTTTGAGAAGCTGAAAGTGAGTCTCCTGAAAAGAATGGAAGCTGTAATAAAGGTAAAGAGTGACACACATTAAAACTGAAAACTATGATATTATACTTAATTGTTGAGGCTTCTGTGTAACTTTCTGTTAAATATGTTTTCTGCTTTTTTGTGACACTGAAAAATGAACGACTTCATCACTACTTCCAGGACCTTATCATTTATAGATGAAGGTCTGCACTCTTACAGCAGTGGAGTGTTCATTCTTTTAGAGCTGCAATGTCTCCACTCACCCATTTTGGCATTTTCCCCCCTTGTGGATCATGATGGTGGAACTGCAGAACCAGGACTGTGACCACCACCGACAAACCCACAATCATCATCGTACTCGCAAAGTACTGGGCTGCACACACACACACACACACACACACACACACACACACACACACACACACACACACAAAGAGCTGTTAAAAGCAGTGGTTTTCTGAAAAATGTAATGTACAACACAGTCATGCAGTACCAAGTTTGCTTCTTTACTTTTACACTGGAGCCACGAGGCCAATGAAACTAACAGGTAATAGAAGCTTATCATTGCTTTTGGAAAAAAAACTCAGATTTCCAAACATTTTTTTAAATTTATTTTATTATCAGCATTTACTTTTTAGTTATTGCTTAGTTATTGATTTACACTTTACATTCTATTACTTATTTTATGACCAACATTTCTATTATTTTATCCCTATTCAATTTGTCATTTATTATGATTCAGTTTATTCAGATTTTTTAAAATCGTACTATTATTATTACTATTGTATATAGGCTTCAATATGTTATTAGCAAAGCATTTAATATGTTTTTCAATCTGATTTTCTTCAGTCCCTCATTTTTGTTTAGGCTCAGCTAAACTGTAAATATGGGCCATCGGCAATGTACTCTGAGTTTAAATAAAGGTTGATCGATTGACTGAAAAGTAACTTTACAGGAGAAAGAAAAACTTTAAGTTTCAATGTAAGTTAATGTAACAACATGAAACTCATGAAGTACTGACACTGTAAACAGCAGCTAGAAGTTTAAAATTATGTAAAAGAAAAGAAGACAACAAAAATGGAAATAAGATGTTTTGTTCTGACAAAACTTGTACCTAAGTTAGCATTGCGCTAACTGCATGCCTAAATCCTCAAACCTGCTGAGTTGTTCAGTATCTCTAAGTGGTTTCTGACACTGTATGACGCACTGTTGTCTATAAACATGGATGAAAGTAGCTAGAATAGCTAAAACAGTATTATTATCCATCTTGAAGCCTGAACTCTGTCTGTATAGATAAAATCTCATACATACTAAACATTGCTGTGCGTTTTTCATAGAGACTCCTGAGCTTGTAATGACTTCTTTGGATAGATTAAAGATGGCTGTACTAGTGTTTTTAGCTATACGTCATAATTTGGTGACAGTTTACTGAAGGACAGCATTCATAAGGCAGCATTAGACCTTCATATACGTATATTTATGATATTTTTCTGCAGTTTAACACTGGAAAAAATAACATGAAATATAAAATGTGCCATAATTTTTGCACAGACCACATTTAATGTTTTATTGATTTTTCCACGCCACAAATCTTTAGCCCGCTGCTGAAAAAGTACTTCAACTTTAGTGGTCAATCAAGACCCTCCCTCTGTAACGAGTAATAGACATACATACTCAACATTAGCCTGTCTTCCGTGGCCTGTAGGTGGAGCCGTTCAGTAGAACTTGTATGCACTCATCAACATTGTTTCCTCTGTGTTTGATAAGGTATATGTCTTCTAGCATCACACTTGCGACCTGCCTGGAACCACATCGCAACGCCCAAGGTGGTCCTGACCCCCAGGTTAAGAACCCCTGATTTAGGCATACAGTTTGGATGGTGCTAATTGGTTGGATATTAGTTTCCATTACTTGTCCAGTGTAAAACTGAAGAAGCCAACTTCAGCCACCAAACATGCCTCGGCTGACTGACTAGATTTGGAGTACAGCTGTGATAACAGCTGATTTTTCTGCACCAACTTTAAGAAATGTTTAGAGAACTGGAAACATGCCACTGGTAAAGACTCACTGAGCAGCGCTGAAGACATGTTTACTGGGTTGTTTGGTAAGTGTTAGAGAATAAGTAAAGATGTACCTATGAGAGGAACTGAATCGGAAGTGGCCGGCATGATCTCCGCCACCAGCAGCATGAAGACGGTCAGCGAGAGCAGAACAGTGATACCTGATGGACGGAGGGAAAAGAAATAGAAATCAATTCTGCCCTTTCACCTGCTTTTACACCCCTGACATCAATCTGCGCAGACATTAATAACCTGCAGGACAGGGGTCAGGGGTCAGGGTCAGTGTGTGAGTGTTTGTGAGTACAAGTGGAAATGGTGTTTGTGAGTGTGGGTGTCTGAGAGAGTGCTTATCTATTGATCTATCTTCTCATCTATTTCTGTCCATCTACAGGACACTGAAAACCACCCTGCATTTATTTAATTTCCAGTCAAAACAGCCATAAAGTACAACTAACAACTAAGAAAAAAACAAGAAATATCAGAAAACATTTTATGTATATATGTAATATATATTTATTACATATATTTAACAGAAAGTTACACAGAAGCCTCAACAACTAAATATTATATTAATTTTTCAGTATTTATTGTGTCATTCTTTAAAGCTTCAGTTCTTTTCAGGAGACTCACTTTCAGCTGTATACAGAAATTCAGGGATGTTTTTCACACCTCCAAAGTTTAGTCTTAGAAGTTTGTTGCATTTTCTGCTTCTCACGATCCAAATAATGAAAAACACTTTCAGTGATGTTGAGGTCTGGACTCTGGGGTGGTCAGTCCATTGTTCTGAGAACACCAGCAGCTTCTTTGTTTGATCTGCAATTTTTTTTCTTCTTTTTTCTATTTTCTTTTCTCAGTAAGAGCTTCTTGACAGCTACACATCCTTTCAGACTCATAGTGTTGAGTTGTCTTCTCACAGTGGAAGGATGGCTGTGGAGCTTGATTTTCTCCTCTCTCTTAAAGATGAAAGCTTTAAGTGCTGTTTCTCTGATGGAGACAGTTTTGAAGGCCTACCAGGTATTTCAGGTGGTTGTTATGAGTCCCATTTTCTTTGTAGCTTTCAATCATTTTTTGAACTACAATTGTGAAGCTTGTTTTTCCTCATGCAAGTGCAAAATCTATACCTCCTTAAAAACAAATGACTTGTTTGACTGGAAGTGAAATAAATGACAGCTGGTCTCTGATGTTTGAAGGCAGTGAATGTTTGTAAAATTACTACTTGCTTTTGTTAATTCAGGAGATACCGGCAACATGCAAGAGTTAATGTTGTGTGTATCTGAAAGTACATGGGTTCATGTGTGTGTGTGTGTACATGTGTGTGTGTGTGTGTGTGTGTGTGTGTGTGTGTGTGTATGTGTGTTTTTGTATGTGTGTGCGTGTGTGTGTGTGCGCGTGTGTGTATGTGTGTGTGTGTGTGTGTGTGTGTGTGTGTTACCCAATGAGATCTTCTCTCCGGAGTCTGCAGGCAGTAGAAACACCAGCAGTGCTAACCCTGAGATTAGCACGCAGGGGATGAGCAGATTGAGGCCGTAGTACAGCGTCCGTCTGCGCATGGTCACCGTGAATGTCACGTCAGGGTAGGGCTCCTTACAGCACTCATAGTAAAGCTCATTACGCTTCCCCGGAACACCTACACACACATACACACACACATACACATACGACGAACACTGTAAAACAGCTTTTACAGCTCCTGTATAACAGCTCATTACACTCAGCCAATAGGGAAAATGAAAGAGAACACAGTGTTTACAGCTACATCAATACCTCAGTCAAAACAGACTCAGCCTAATGACACTGTGTGTACCTGCACTACTCGCTACGGCAGATTTGACAGTTTGACAACCATTTAAAGGCGACTTGGACTGTGGAGTGACCTTTGAGTGACCTTATACCGCAATGATGTCTATTTTAACAAAATGTTTCATTAAACATTTTGACAAAACACTTTGTCACTACCAAAACAATCATAACGCTACTGAAACTTAACCAGATGTTTCGGTAGTGACTGTTTTAGCACAATTTGAGCAGAATTCAAAGAAAGCCATTACATGACTAGCAACCACAGCTTTGAACCGATATATAATAAAATAATAATATCTTTATTAAAACACAAAAAAGTTGACTAAATTGCAGAAAACGTGTTTCAGTAGTGACAGTTCTTCATGTTCCACACTGATTTTCAAACAGTGAAATCTAACTGATCACCATGTGGCCATGAGGGACAGGGATGCAGTCTCACTCCCTGCTCTAAAATGCAGGGGTGTGGCTAAAATCAGGCTCCGCCTATGGACTAAAACTCTTGCTGTGTTTAAAAATAGTGCATTACAGAAATAGTGCACTATAGCATGTCAGCCAGTTTGTAGTGTTGTTCAAAATCTCAACGGCAAACTTCACTCCCTGTATAGTTCTCTATCGAACACCCACAATGCATAGCAAATTTTCGTGTACAGACCATGTACACTACAAATTCCAGTGTATGTCAGAGTGCAACGGTGGCTAAATAAACTAGTAGAAGAAGAAGCAGTAAGAGTTTGGAGCGAGGCTCATATCCTCAGATGTGGCGGTTTGCCCTCATTAATTACAGCTGCTTATCACGAACGCCTCCACATAATCTAAGGTAAACATAAACATGGTTCACAGATTGACATTATTGGAAGAAAACAGTTCAAACAGCTTTCCACCAAAATGTCAATCTATAGTGCTGCATGCTGAAAGGCGAAATCAGTTCCCCCCCGAAAAAACTTTTCCATCACATTTTCTCAGTGTTAGAGGAACAAAGTATCTCTGATGCTCATTTCTGAATTATTCCTAGATTAAACTCGTGAGGAGAAAAGAGGAGCTGAACAGGAACATTGTCAGAAGTGCTGGAGATAAATGAGAAACTGAAAGATCTCCAGCTCTGAGAGATGCTGAAAGGTTTCTGAGATGCAGAAGAAAACTTTACACTTCAAAACAACCACGAACAGGCAGTGGTGGACAAGGTACACAAATCCTGTACTTGAGTTAAAGTAGAGATACCCAAGGTAAAATATTACTCTAGTAAAAGTAGAAGTTCCTCCCTTTAGACCTCCACTTGAGTAAAAGTACAGAAGTATTTGCCTTCAAATGTACTTATGTATCAAAAGTGAAAGTACTAAAAGATTAATTATGGCTCTAATGTCCTATTATCATTTTTGTAAGAAGACTCTGCTTCATTAACTCATTTTAGGTGAGAATACTCCAGTGTCTCTCTTGGTAAACCAGTCTTTTAATAGAATGTCATTAATTAGTGATGCTGATGTCTATTAAAATGATCAGCACAAAACACTGAAGGCCAACAGTTTCCATTAGGTAGAACTGAGTGGCTCTGAAATAACTTTTTGCAAACAAGCAAAGTTTCAGTTTAAGATTTATTTATTTAATACCGGGAACAATTGCAATACTGTGGCCAAAGGCTTTGCAAAGGGAAGCAGCACCTCCCCGTGTTAAATGAGGGGCGCTGAGGAGTTGGTGGAGTTATACTTTCATATCGATTCACCCATAAAGAAATACTCAGTCTCCCTGTCTCTCCTGGCACATCAGCACGAGCCTATTATTAGTACAAGAAACAGCTGAAACGGCTGAGCAGAAAACTGTGTGTATTTAGAATAAAGAGCCAGACAGACTCGGGGGAAACTGTCTGTGTTGTTGAAGGAGAATCGCAGGTGTTGGAGTAACAATAAAAAGTCGCCCAAAATGGAAATACTTCAGAAAAGTACAGATACACGAAAAAAAGTACTTAAGTACAGTAACGAATTACATTTACTTCGTTACCGTCCACCACTATGAACAAGTGTCTGTTATTTACGTAACACTTGAACAGTGAGTAACCGAACATTTTATTACAGGAAACCTGTTAACTACAACACACAGCTGTGTAACCTACAGGTGAATTAACCTACAAGCTCATTATGAAACCATTGGAATGTCTATTAAAATCCATTGTTGACAGCTCTTCTACACAGTTTAATCATTTTCAGCTTGATGTGTAAACATCTTTATTACAGCTGGTATTTTCCAAAATCAATAAAACAGGTCAGCAGTTCATAGGGCTCTCACGTGTGTTTGACTTGTTTGTGTCACATGTGCACACAAACATCCTTCGCTTTTATGAAGCAGTGTTTCCGAATGTACTGAAAAGTCTTTTCATCGCTCCCTAGTGAGTTCACCACAGTAAACAGTGAATGAGTTCATGAGTGAAGCTTTCTGAACACAGCTTTTGTATTTCAGTTGTGACATAAAACATGGGACAGCATGTTTTTTTTTTATTTAATTTTATTCAAAAATTAAACTCATGATTAATCTAAATCTTATACCTTTAAATCAAAATATCAAAATATAATCTAAATCTTTTACTTTTTTCCACCCACTAGTTAGGACTCCCCCAATCACACATTACCACCAGCGCTAGGAGAGCGAAGGCTAGCATAGGCTTCCTCCAAGACGCGCTCAGAGGAAAGCACCAACCGCAAGATCTGCTACGTCAGCTAAGAGATGCCTGTGCTGACTAGCATTGTGTTGGGGCCATCCTACCCACCCAGACAGAGCGAGGTCAATTGTGCTCTCCTGGACTCCAAGCCATGAATGGCTGTAGCATCACCAGGGACCGACCTCACAATCTCCTTATGATAGGGCCAAAGCTTAGACCTTCACTTTAAAGGAAATCAAAACATCTTCTTCCCATTCCACCTTAAATGGTGCCCAGTTACATGCTGGCACTTCAGGCATTGTTATAATAACTGCAGCACCATTTAAGATGGAATGGAAACATTCGAACAAGAAACTGGCGAATAGGAAGCCAACTTTAGCCCTGTGTTAAAACACAGGCTGGATAGTTTGACAGTCTAAATGTCCTCATCAGAAAATGTTATCAGGATTAAAGAATAATTAGGATTTTCTGAATCAGCCTAAATCAGGGGGAAAGTAGTAATATTAACCTGAATCTGTACTGAATTAAAATTTGGTAGCATAGCACAAATCGCTAACTGCTAGAAAGCCTAAGTTTGAATGTGTTGTTAGCTGTCCTGATAACCAGCGCAACTAATTTTGTATTGCTTATGGTTGTTAATATTTTCAGCTGTAAGGAGATGAGCAGCCTTTTCACAGCATTCATTTTGCATCTTTTCACATCTTTTCATGTCATATCTTTGTTTTTTGCATCAAATTAGTAGAAGTAGAATCAATGAGTATCAATAAGTATCTGTATCGACATGCAGTATCAAGTATCAATATCTGTATCATTAAAATCCTCACGATACCCAGTCCTAGGTTTTACTCTCCTAGCTTGGTAGGTCCGAATGCTAGTGGGCATTAGCAGTGACAAAATTGAATAAAAATAAAATAAGTTGGCCAAAATCGTTCTTAATATGACAGATAATTATCACAGTTCTTGCAGGATACTGTGGCTCATAATAAAAGATGGTTTATGGAAATATGTTGACGACCCCTTTAAAAGACAGACTGGATGATTATTTCAATCTGCCATGAAAATCCCCATTAAACAAAACACTGGGCATATTTTCATGCGTGTCCCTGTCTCAGTATGCTGGGACCACTCTGTCCATCCTGTCACTAACTATTCTGTCCTCTTCACTTTTTCCATCTCTGGTGTCCTCAATGCATCTGAGCTTCAACCTTTTCCACTAAAACCTTGCTCAAACAAAGCGACTGTGATTACGCTTCTCCTGCTCGCCATGTTTATTCAGCGCTCTGATATTTACTTTGTGTTTTTCTCATTTTTAATCCGTTTATCCTTGTCATAGCCCTGAAGGAAAGAAAATCAATACCAGGATCAGGGTCAAAACAAACCCAACATCTGGGAGGGTAAACAGGCTAATAAATACGATAATCAGACGATCCTAAAATCATCCTCCTTTAAAGGCTTTGTTACTTTAATAAAAATAACAACTCAAGTAGAAAACAACTGACAGAGGCTAAAAGTGCCCTGGAGAACTGCAGAGGAACTTCTTAGTCCATCCAGTGTCTATCAGTACGTTGACCAACATCCATCCATTCTGTCAGGATGTTAGAATCTGTTAAAGTAGGGAAACTTTTTGCTTTTTCAGTATTAAAACAGAGAGATTTTGAAAACACTCATTTTACTTAGTAGAAGTGGCAAACAGCTGTATTTTAATAGATGATTTAGAAGTTAAGGATAATTAATGCTAGCTAGCTAACATGAAGTTAAAACAGAGTTGAGTCCTGGTGTGGGTGGGGTTGGTTACCACATTCATTTTGTTGTTGGTTGGCTCTTCTCATAAATATATATCGTATCTCCATTTTTGACATTTTTCAGTTTTTGACATAATTTGAAAATGCCTGTTGTCCTTTACATTGTGTGTAAATTTCATGATGAATGGACCAAAAGAAAAGGCACAAAATGACTTGTAAAAATGTTTGGTTCCATTGACTTACATTGAAAGTAAAGTAGGTTTTTTCCTTCTCCTGTAAAGTTTTCTTTTTGGAGATACAAGGTTTTCTTCTGACCACAGTGATATATTATTTTACATTATATGCTGCACACATCCCAATTAGCACCTAACTGAGGCAACTGGACTGCAGTACTGTTCTTTTAAAATGTGGTGATGGACGAATACTGAATACTGTCCT